TAAAAAATATTTATTCCCCGATTGTTCCTACTACAGTAGGGTAGGACTTAACTTCTTCGCTGAGTTAAATTACTAAGGGTATAAATATGTCGGTTAACTACTATTTAGCTTGAAATGTTGTTGTTTTTGTCTTATTATAGAAAATTCTTTTTCGTTTCTATATTACGAGCCGGGTTTACATAATGCATATAGGTTAAACCTAAATGTAAATGAAAATGTCACATTGAAATAAAAGAAGCAACCATGCAAAATGAAATTATTTTCAAAGAGACCGGAAAGAAAGTGGAACTTAAACAATAATGTGCAAGCGTTAGCGTGGTGTAGGAGGTTAAAGTAAATCGGGGATAATATGAAAACAAGGCAGATAAATATCACAAAAATAGCTTACGTATGGGCCTGCGGCGCATGCGGGTCTCATTTTTCTCGCCGCCACTGTTAATCGGCTGCATCTTGCGACTGACAACAAGTTGTATTTATTTGATTCGTGTGGCAAAGCAGATACATATGTGAAAAGAAACAGAAAAGAACCAAAAGAAAGGCAAGGATTTAAGTAACAAAAAATTTAAAAAGCAAAGCAACCTATTATTACAACAATTTGATGTTTCTGGGAAAACCCGTTTGACATTATACAGGTAAAATATTTTTGTCTGTATTTAAAGTATACTTAAAAAAAAAAAACAAATAAAATAAATATTGTTCGTCAGGGTTAATTGATTGCAGGATTTATAATACTTAATTCTATGCAGTGTAAAATTGCCTTAATCAAGAATCTAAATTGGAAACTGTAGCGGTAACACCAACTGTCCTTTCGGTAAGGCGTGCCTAATTGTTGGTGACAACACTGTTACTTCACTTGTGTACAGATAACAGCAACGTCAAAATTAATCGGCTCGGCGTCACTGCCAGTGGCAAACAAAAACTAATTTTGGCAAATACATTTCTGGTTCCCTGCTTTCGGCTTGCTTCTTGCTGCTTTGTTTTGGGCTGCTGGTTCATTCTAGTTTCTTCTTTTCGTTACCTTTCCCCTTTTTTTTCTGCACAGACGCGACAAGCTCAATGTTCGAAGGCAACTGAAAGCAGCAAACGGAAATTCTCTGGCGTCGACCGGCAAACAAAATACAATCGCAGCCGCAGTAGCAACAAAAGGCACTTTTAGGCTGTTCTCATAAACGAAAACGTTTCGCTTAAATGTTTTTCTTGACACTTTAATTTAATAAGTTCCCCGTTTACAGCATTAAAATTTTGTTTGTCTTTAATCATAAATATTCTTACCATATCGCATAACAAGAAAATATAAAATAAAATTTGTTTGAATGGAGTAACCCAATTTCTCAAAGTGTATATAAAATTATACACAGTTATAACGAATTTAACAGTAAAAGCATAGCCTTAACCGGGAATTCAGGCTTTTTATTTTCAAGATGCACTAACACCTTAGCTGGAGCGTTAGTATTAGTAGAAATAGGTAATGAGAATTGCTCCTCACTCTTTTATCACATAAAGCCGCGTTTGAGCGACACATGTCGAAACCGAGGACTGAACGAGACAGGGAAAACGGCGAACTTATCTTAAGACTCACTCCCTCCGACAATAGATAAGATAGGCGGGAGAACAGGATAGTTGTATAAGTGATGTTGATAAGGTCTTCAATATATTGGTCGGATTTCATCAATTAAATGTTTGCAAAAACAAATGTTGCGACTGCAGGCACTTAGCAACTCTGAAAGTTCGAAGGTCGCAGACGTCGAGACGACTTTGCAAAAATGCTCGAATAACCCATGACATTGACCTCAACACCTGGCAGACGGCGATAAAGCATGACTGAGCCGACAAAAATTCCAAACCGAACCTATTTATGTCAGTAAAAACTTGACCCAGTTAATAAAAAAGAGACGTAGAATTCGAGAAAGGAGACGAAAATTTCATTCAAGATTGTGGGAAAGAGATGCGGTGTAAACAAATCAAACGGCGGAATGGGACAGGGCGACACGCGTTCAACAAACTTGATTAACCGTTTATCGATTCGCACACACACGCGAGCGGACGAGCGAGCGGAATAGAGGAGAGGGGGGGAAACACGTGCTTTGTCTCTCCTATTGATTTTTACCCGCAGCGCGAGGGAGACAGCATGGAAATAACTGCACTTTGTCGCACGGGTCCTTCTCGCTCTTTCGAATTTCATAACGGGACGAAAGACCAGAACAGGAATTTTTGTTGTTCTTGTTTCAGCCACGTGTTTTTGTTGTTGTTAATGAGCGAATCGATTCGATATTAGTTAGTTATTATTTTAGTGACTGTTTGGTTATGTTTTGACTTGATTTGACAAAAAGGAACCATCAAAAAACATAAAAAAATACGGATAGTATTGCCGCTGAGAGATGGAGATAATGTAGAGTAGGATGGATGAAACACCGAGAAATTAAACACTCACAATACAACTAATAACGACAATTAACGATTGAAATTGGAAACGAAAAACGGGAAAAACAATAGACACACTCACACACAGCCACTCACATCTCTTCCAGACAACTTTAGTCGCGGTAACAGCGCGAACTTGAAGTTTACTCCTGGCTTCATTGACTTGCAATTTCAAACTGAGCCCGAACTGAACCAAAGCCCAGTGGACGGACAACAACAAGGCGTGGAAAGCGCGGCGTCGACATTTTCCACCCCCTAAGAAGACCCAGCAACAACACTAAAACAAGAACGCCGAAAAAAACACTGTCTGGCGCTTTCAGGGATGACATTAAACAGATGTTATGCCTATCGGCGAAACCGATTGCACCGATACGCCATTTCCTTGGGCGTTAAGAAAGTTTCGCATTTAAATTTGAAGTCTCCTTGCTTTGCATTTCTAAGCCAATGGTAAACAAAATAATTTTAATGTTTTTAAGATGAATTTATAATATTTAACAAGACATTGATTAATTGAAAACAAATGCTAGCAGAATTTATCGGTGTTAACTCTTCGTTTATAAGTTTTGCGAAATTGCACGACTCCAATTTTAATGTTTTTTGATTTCTTATCAAAATGTTTAAAAGTTTTTACAACTTAAATGTTGTTTCAACCGTAATATTAGTTTTAAAATCTCTTACTTGATAAAATGTCTCCATTATTAGAGATTGCAGATTATATTTCCATAAATTATAATTTAAAACATTATAAATCATAAATAGTGATGTTAAAAAACATTAAAGTAATTCCTACTATCATTTTATTCATCTATACATACTATATTTACAGTTTTACAGCAAGGGTTTTGCATTTTCTTCTACATTTAACGATCGTTTTTATATATCATTTATAGTCCTCTGATTTTTTAAGCATAAAAATCCAAATAATACAAAATGGCTATATGTCAAATTAATTAATTAATCTGATAAAAACTGGAATAGTTATAATATTTTTCTTTAAATTTTAACTATCGTTCCTATATCAGCAATATATTACAAGGAAGAATATATAGAAGACTGACTGCAAATTTCATTCAAAACTAAGGTGCTAGTTTGCGTAAAAACGGGCAGAAGGACAGACGGACATGGCTAGACCGACTCAGCTGTTGATGCTGATTATAATATTATTACTTTATGGCAAAATTTATACTAAAATTATAATACTCTATAAAGGGTAAAAATAAGGCAGAAATTGTTTATTAAATAAGTGGTTGATTTTTTCTTTTAAAAATTTGGCCGATAATATTCATTTACAGTCACTGGTTTATTTACAATGATTTACCTACAAACCATCGTGTATGCAGTTTCTATTCCGATGGTATCAATTTAATTTTAATGCAGCATAAACAGTATGTTTCATTCCTCTTATCAATATGGTACAAATAATACAATAAATAAGTATTTAAATCTGTGTTTTTAGTAGTATCAACTATTTTGAAATTTACGTATTTGGCAATACAAAATTAGTTGTTGTCCACTGCAACTATTATTTTTACCGAATCCAAAATGTGCTTAGAAAAACAAATATTCATAAAATAAATACCTGCAAAATTGATCAATTGATGGTGTTGAATAAACACAGTTTGATCAATGAGGAAACTATTTGAATGAATGCTCTCTTTCCACACAGTCCATCCGTATAAAACAGTCGCGTATTTTGGCAGATGCGGATCTCCGATTCCCGCAAAGCTCCACCATCATCCGACAACAGCTGACATAATTATTGTGGCTTCTCTAAAGTGTAAACAATTTTAAAATGCTTGGACGGGACAAAAATTAATAGATTACCAATTATTTCGGCTGTTGTACAAATGCAAATGCAATTTAAATCAAATTTAATTGATGCGGATGCGGATATATTACTTATACTAGCCGTATATGGCTACATTACGGAAAATATTGGAAATATATTTAGCCGTATAGGGAACGTAAAAGTCACCTAATAAATGTTCAACCAAAACCGAGTCGCAAAACATGTGTATTCCTTACGAGTTCTCCTATATAATGTTTAAATATTTTAAAGTACAGAATCTTAAATTTAATAGTTCAATTTCTGAAGCCACACTGGCCTCACATTAATATCAACAATATTTTAAGCGTCCTTGGAGAGGCTGAAAATATTAAATAAGCATTTTAATGGGAACAGCTGTTGTTGGCTGCCAATATTTCCCGTCATTCAGTCGTTTACGGAATCTCCTGTATAAAATATATATATATATATATCTTCGGATGAACTTTTTTTTTTTTAATTTTATGGTTATTCCCTATACTGCTAAAATATTGGCGATATACTAAGAGACTTTGTCATCCTAAATTATATATATGTTTATGACTTTAGTGTTAAAATATATATGCAAATGTGCAATAATTAAATTGAATTTATACATTTAATTTTGTGTGATATTTCACACTTTTCAGTTAGTGAAAGAGAAGTACCGTCCCATTGGCGCTCTTCGCATTCTTCCCGCCAATTTTGTTCCTTCTTACCATTCCCTGTTCCAGCTTCCACAATATCGATAATTTTCAAGCGATCGCCGAGGGAACTTCATTCTTCGTCTAGCGGTGCTGAGCGCGGTTGCAACCTAAAGTTAACTCTGGTAGTGCGAATGCTAGTGAAAAAGCGCGGAGAAGGACAAGTAACTCTGTCAGCCCATATTAATCGTTTCGTTTTTTATTATTTTTAATATTTTCGTTGTGATTTTTTTTTACGCGATCACTGTGTGCCGGTCAACGCTTAAGTCCTCTAATATATTAAAGTGATCCCTGTGTTTTTTCTCTTCGCTTCTGAAAGTTTTTACGGTAAGTGCAATAAGCGCTAATGTACATAAACATGTATACATATACACATGTACGTATGTATTTATATATTGCCCGAGTTTCGTTTTTGGCTCCGTTTTGCGTTAGCTTTTGGCGCCATATTGAAATTGCCTGCAGCTATTGCTATCCCATTCTATTTCATGGCTTAACATGAATGTAGTTCTGCTTAATTTTATGGGTTTTTGGGAAATAGTCTTGCTGGATACAAATAAATATATAATTAGTCTTTTAGCCTAATTTTGAAAGTGTCTTGCTATAAATATTGCTCCATTAGATAAAAAGCTTCCGCGTACAATTTATTTTTCACGAACCTGATCGAGCCTGTGTGTATATGCATACATACATACATACATACACATGTACATATAAGCAAATGGTTAAGACCCGTTACTTGATGAAAAAAATACAATTTTGAGGTTACAGTTATGATTTTATATGCATTAATCTTATTGTCCGTCGCAAGATTTTGTGTGGTGAAATATAATTTTAGTTTATAGTTTACTTTATTTTAAATATAATATCATCTAAATGTATTTATGTATGCATCATTAATATTATAACTAAGTATGAGATAATTAAGCTGTTGGGATACCAAATCGGTTTTTTTTTTTTGTTTTGAGTTCATGGAACTAGATGTGTATGTATGTATGTATGTAATACATATGTATAAGATAACTGCGGTCGGTATACCGAATCGGTTTTTTTGTTTTGGGTTCATGGAACTAGATATGTACATAAGTATGTATGTATGTATTTTCCTACGAAAATATGAAAGATGCTTGATGCAATTATATTACCTTTATTGAAATTATATTTAATTTAGAGGACTCGCCATGGCTATGATGATGCGGCGACCTATAACATCCGGCAGCCGTCAAGCACCGGATCCGTACGACCAGTATTTGGAGAGCCGTTGTCTTTACCGGAAGCACACGGCACGGGATGCCTCCAGTTTGTTCCGTGCAATCGCTGAGCAGATGTACGACACTCAAATGCTGCACTACGAAGTTCGACTTGAGTGTGTCCGCTTTATGACCCAAAAACGACGCATCTTTGAAAAGGTTAGTGAATCTTCATTTTCAACTTTAGCGGAACATAGTAATAAATGCATGTGTGCTTATTAAATTAATTAATATCAGTATGTATGATGAAAAAGAGTCGTTCGTCATCTTACTTTGTAGGTGGATTAAGCCAAATATGTTAATTTAATACATGTGTTTATAGTAATTAAATATTTTTGTTCTTGATGTTGTATATTTGTATATAGGACATCCGTGGCGACTTTGACAGCTACATGATTGACATGTCCAAGCCCAAGACATATGGAACCATGACCGAACTGCGAGCTATGTGCTGCTTGTATCGGTAAGTCTGGAAGAATTATTTGCTTTACACACGCTTATTTATTTTGAAATGTTATTTTTGAACACTTGTGCATGATCACACATGATTAAAATTGTTAATTTTCTTGTTTATTGACTTTTTTTAGACGCAATGTAATCTTGTTCGAGCCTTACAACATGGGAACTAGCGTCATCTTTAATCGTCGCTATACTGATAATTTCCGGGTCTTTTACAACAACGAAAATCATTACGATTCTGTCTACAAAGTAGAATACATTGAGAAGGCAGCAATTTGCCAGTGTAAGTATTGAGAGAATGTATACATGTACATATCGGTGCAAATGTCTTATTGTCCATCATTAGCCATCACCTTTAAGCTGCTCTACAAGATGTTGTTTAAGCTGCCCGACGTAAACTTTGCTGTTGAAAGCATGTTGCATCCACTTACTTTCGAGTGGAATACGTGCGATGAGGAGTTCGACAACAAGGGCTATATGATCCGCCTGCAGTGCTCTGATGGTCGCAAGTTCCAGCTGGATTTGCCGGAATACACAAACTGCATCCTGGAGAACTACAAACTGTGCAATTTTCACAGCATTGCTGGAAACCAGAACAACAATAATAGCCGGAAGGCAGGAGGAGGCAAGCGAGAATTGAAGTCACAGCCGGACCACGATTCTACCGGGAATAATGGCAGTGGATCAAGCGATATAATGCACATGTGTCCCAACCGATTGGTGTCCTGTGTGCGTCAGCTGCTAGATGATGGTCAGTATATCTTACTTACTGCTTTTAGATGGTTTACCTCTACATATATTCTCGTTTGCAGGCATCACACCATTTCCATACAAGGTAGCCAAGTCCTTGGATCCGTTCATGTATCGTAATATTGAGTTTGACTGCTGGAACGACATCCGCAAGGAAGCCAAGCGCTATAACGCATATGCCAATGACTATAACTTCAAGGTAAAGCCGATAGACACTAGAGAACTTCTCTCATTCAAATTCCAGTGCACATACATACGTTCCATGTTTTCTAAACTCATTCTCTTTCATCACTGATCCAAGTCCTTGCGTTCAACTTTTATCCTTGGCCAACTCTTTCGACTTTGTGCTGTTTGTTTTGCAGGTGGGAGCCAAGTGCCGGGTGGAAATGGAGCACGCGTTCGAGCTTAGCACGTGCCATATTCAAATGATCTTCAGAGACAAGACCCATTGCTTGGTCTTCGTGGAGAAGATTGGCAAAAAGCTATTGGTACAGCTTTACTTATCTACCTTTTTCTTTGTGCTCTGTTAATCTTTTAATAATATATAATAATATGTCGTGGTATTTAGGGAATCTGATTAGATTATTCGTCACTAATTAAGTTTTTTTTTTTTTTGTATCTTTCGCGTGGTTTTTAGGTACCCTACGAGTCCCTGCATCCCTTGCCGCCCGATGAGTTCCGCCCGTGGTCGCTTCCCTATCGCTATCAGCGCCACATGCATAACCACCGCATGCAGTTGCCCAAGTTTATGGGCAAGCCCAACAAGATGCCCAAATGGAAGAAGACCAAGCTGTTCCAAGTGGGCCAGTATTTTGAGCCCACTAAGTGTGACTTGCCGCCGATGCCGGGCTATTTGCCGCTGGAAAACTGCTACCGCGAGGTGGCTCAGAATGACGAGCAACGTGGCCTAGACCAGCAGGACCATGGCCTTACTCAGGATCAGAGGGAGCAGAGCCATCGAGAGGGCACCCAAAAGCCGAGGCAGCAGCGCCCTAAGGAGTTAGGGGCACCGCGCCAGATCGCCAATACTTCAAGCCATGGCCACGAGTCGGCCGCTTCTGCAGCTTTGCCGCCATCCACTCACTTTATGAACTACTTGCCTATGATGTCGTCTGGACATTCTGGAGATCAGGCTCCTGCACCATGGCCAGCATCTCCGTTGACCATCACTGAGGATTTCCAGTATCCGATGGGCGGGCCACCACCGCCACCACCAGCTGACGGTTGCATGTATATGCCTTTCAACGGGTATGGCCCGCCGGCAACGGGTTCAATGAGTCTACCAGGACCGCATTCGTTCTTGCCGCCATCTCATGGAGGACTGAATACCCAAACAGCTGGCGGGGAACCCCGTCGCTCCCTTCACATGAACGGTGAAGATTTGCCCGCAGATATGGGCACTTTGCGCTATTTCTACAACATTGGCGTTGATATGCATTTGCGGATGTCGTCCCATCCATCGTCACCTGAAGAGATTGCCATGATGCCGGGTTATCATCAACAGAACAGCACTGAACCACCGGCATTGAAGAACGCTGGAGCTGATCATCAGTCTGGTGTGGCGGCAACACCACCGCCATCTCCAGATGCAGGCACCGCCGCGGACCAGCCGCCTCTTATGGATAAGGCCTACGTGAAGCGTCACTTGAATGCCGGCAAAGTCCGTGCTAAGCGCCCGGAGCAGCTACATGACCTGAAGGATCCAGTGGGGCATGCTGCTCTCATGCTGACACCCACACCGACACCCTCGCCCAGCACGAACGGCAATCAGTTCAGTTTCTACAGCTCGCCGCCGCAGGCTGTGCCGCCTCCGCCGCCGCATCATCATCTGATGTCACCACCCAGGATGATGCAACAGCCGCCGCCACCACCGATCTTCTTTCACAAGGCACCGGCACCGGGATTGCCACCGCAACTAACAGGAGCAGCTGCCGGACAGGTGAGGGTTTAGTATTCAAATTGAAAATATTTAAAGTCCCTTCAACTGGTTATTTGGTGCACTAAGTTTAAAATTTCTCATTTACTTTACTTTTAAATTGGAATTTAAAGCAGGACTACAAGTTACAGCTCGCCAGACTCTTACAATTACTGTCTGGAAATGGAAAGAAAAACTGAATCAAGAAAAGACGACAGAAAGGTTTTCGTATTTAAAAAAAAAATCCCTCATTCATTCCATCATACTTGAAGCTAAATAGGCATGTTAAGAATAAATAATAGTTATTTACCAATCATCTGAAGCAATTAAATAACACCATATAGCTGCTAACGCTTTTTAACGCTTAACTAACTTGAATACACACTGCTTTGAATAGTTTTCTGCTTTTAATTAATATTTATTTTGTAGTTTAGTGCATTTTGCTGCTTATTTACAAGTTAGGCTTAGGCTTTGGTATTTTAAAAGGCATGTTTATTTTAAATTTAGAAGGAAATTTACATTTAGAAACTTGTTTAATTTAAATGATTTCTGTTATCCGTAGAACCCTTATGCCTGGGGCATGCCACCGCCAACGTTGGTGGCCCCTTACGAGATGATTACCAATTTACCCATCGAACAACCACCGCAACAGCCACCACAACATCAGCCGACGACCATGCCACTAACACCCCCATCCCAATCCCAGCCAGCAGCCATCTATGCTGCCGCACGTCATCACTAAAAATGGGGGCACAAATACGGAAAATCGGATCAGAGAGGCGTGTATATATATGGCAATACATATACACTATAAAATATAATTCAACCTAACCTTTTTAAAATTTAATTCCACTTTTAAAAATCTGTTTTCATATTTTTAAAGACACTTCACTACACAAAAAACCAAACTGTAAAACCAATAATTGATTGCATAAGGCCAACTCACTTAACTCCATTTTAAATTTGTAACCCAAAACCATTTTTATGCGATTTTATTAACACACTTATTGAACGCATCTCGTAATCGATCAAAATCGTAACTTAAAGGCAACTAAACCCTAAAAAAGAGTAAGAAAACAATTATTTATATGATTTATTTAAAAACTATTATCTAACAAGTACTCTATAAATATATATTCTCCCATATACGATATCTATTGCTACCCTAACGCTGTTCAGCTAAAAACTTAAATATGTACCCGAAAATTAACTATAAATAAAACAAGAAAGACAAAGAAGACACTCATTTTAAACATTTTATGTTTGTTAGCAGCAAAGAATCAAGTACGATTAATAATGAAGGGCAAGTTTAACCACATGTTATATGTTTCGTTTGATATTTCGTTATATATCATAGTTCCTAGTTCTGTGTCCGATTAATAAGATATTCAATATTTGCATTTGATTTTAAAAAATTTTTATTTATTATATATGTTCCTAGTTTTGTTATAAAGTATAGAAACTATGCAACTATGGAGTGGGAAGATACATTTTAAGATTAAATTGCTGTTGAAATAATTTGTTCAGATGTCCTATTGTAGTGCAGGCTGAAGATTTTGAAGACATTTTTCTTTTCTAAGCATTTTATAAATAGTAAGACAACGAAATAATATATGAATATAAAGTAGGGAAAACAAGATTAAAGTAAAGAAAAAGAAAGAAAGAAAAGAAAAAGAAAGAAAGAAAAGAAAACGAAAGAAAGAAAAGATAAAGAAAAAGAAAAGAAAGAAAGAAAAGAAAAATAGTATAAGATACAAAAAAAATATTGGCTTCAACTTCAACTTCTTTCAAAAATTCAAAATCGATTAAAGCTAAACTTTTCAGCCGATAAAACTAGAAAGAGATGAACACGATCAATGTTATCCATCGAGAATTGAAAGGATTAGCTGGGTTAAGGACTGGAATGCCTGCGTGCTGATATCCGCCGATCGTTTATAGGAGGGCTATTTAAATAAATAGAAAATATAAAACTATTACCATGTTTCCCACAAATAAGTACAGTAATATCTAAAGATTTTAGATCACATCAGAAATTTTGAAATTCTTTGAAAAGTAAGGAGGGGATATGTGCATGTAAACGGTCAACATTTTATTTTAAAGAAGAAATCAAGCAATCATTTCGAAAATTAGAAGAAATTTATGATGATGATTTTTAAATTTATTTTTGTATAAACAAAATTCTGCAAAATGGCCAACCTTTGGAGTATATGTCGCAGTGTCTTAAATTTTATGTTTCACAGTTATGAACACGATAGAGCTTGTAAATTGTGTCAGAAATTCAAAAACAAAAATTATTTGTATTATTGTATTTTACGTTTTATTTTTGATTTACATAAAAAAAAAAAAAAAAAAATTAAAAAATGGAAAAAGAAAGTAAATAAGGTTTTGAACTACAAAAGTTGGTTTTTAGGTAATTCGGTTTTAGTTCTGATCCCCTTAGCCCACAGATTTAAGTTTAAATGGAACATAATTTTATCCTGATGCTGATATTTTTTATTTATTCCGCTATATTCTCACGATTTTTGTGAATTCTGTTACGGACACGCTAAAAACGCAAAATTGAAGTGGAGATTTTTTCCTCCATTTTGACCAGTTCACTTTTACACTTGTATACTTCGAGTACATTATTGATTTAAGGTACTTTGAGTTCGAATTTAATAATAAAACTTACTCAGTATATTCTACAAAAATAGTTATGCGAAAAGTTTCGGTTTACATGTATATCCTTTAAATAATATTACTATCACTATCAGTCGAATATTCCATTGTACAAAATGATCAAAAGAAAAAAAGGTGTTTTAGGAAATCCTATGACAATTCAGAACATGCAATTATAATATGAAATTTATAATTCTTACACTGCAATTTTAAAACTAATTACGAAATTGATTTTATAATGACTTTTCTTAATACTTTTAGATATACATTGTTGTTGGCGGTTTCAAATTTCTTCAAATGTAAACACAAGACGTTTTTGTGACATATCGGCTGGGGTTCGACTAGAAGATGTTTCTATGACACCCTGCAAAATATTTGTTCAAAAACCAATCAGATGAATGAAATCTTCAATCTTGTTCGAAAAGTTTAATATTTATATTATAGATTTTCTAGATGGATTAGTGGATCGTTCTCTGTGCTTTCCTATTGACTACAGAATTAAATACTTGTATGTACTTACATGTCCAAGACAAACGGCAAGGAGTGCCAGGAACAGGAGCAACGTAAGGAAACATTCTTGACCCATATTGACCCCAAGTTTATTTGTATTGTTGTTGAACGTCTTAATGATGTGCCCAAAAACTTTGAACTTGGAAGCGATTCTCTCTTTTTTTTTGTAGCTTGGCTTATTAATTCTGTTTACTTGGGTATTATTTTTTAATGCTCCCAATTTATTTCTGCTTACAGACTGAAAACGCATCGCAAAAGTGTCGCATTTTTATGCTGAATTTTCAAACTGGCAAATGGGCGCGGCACCGGCGACCTACATTCGCATTCCGATTTTGCGGCAGTTCCACCTGTCATCATCCGATCGCTGCCGCTCCCCCCAATTATTATCGGCATTGTTCTTCGTTAGCTACTCAGCCACTCACTATTGGCAGTTGCGTGAGTGGTAATTGGCCAGGGGATCTGAACAATGGGAAGGACATCAGAGATGGGTGTAATGACAGCTCGCACTCTGATTACACAGACACCAGTGATTCATATGCGACACTTTTCGGGAATTGACCTTTATTCTAAAACAATCAAACTTTTTTATGAATCAGAGCTTTTTTTTATAAAAAATTAAGTGTATTTATATAAATATAATATTTACAAGAATGCAAACTTACCCTAAAGTTTGTATACCCTTGCAGTTTGCAATTGAATCATTAAGTATCTCGATTCAGTTAGGTCAAAAAGAGTAACCAACAGGAGATATCAAAATATTTATACATAGCTATACCTAAGATTTAAAATATCTATTATAATATAAATGAAGAGTATATTATATACATGTACATGTTCATAAACGATGAAATAATGTCAGCTTGCAGTAGATTTAGTTTATTTAAAGTTATACATTTACAGTTTTACATTTTACAATATATTTAACGATGACAGCTTACTATAATTAATAATAATTATAATTAATAGATTTAAAATACAAATTCTTAAATAATATAAAAGCTCATTTCTCAGAGCAGATGAAAATAGATTGGAAAACATCAAGTAATAATTTGTTAAACATTTTCCGAAAGTTCCAATTTAAGCTATATGATATAGTCGTCCGATCTGGCTTGTTTCGATATATGTATTTTTAAAACCTGTATAAGAATGAAGATTCTTTAATATAGCTCTATTACTGAGAGACTGTTTATGTAGGAGTTCGGTCTCGACCTTTAATACTGAGCAAGAAGCTGACTCACTTGATTCCTTTGCAAACTTCTGACAAAAATTATAATACCCTGTAGGATAACAAAAAGTGTCTACTGCTGCCCTATTAAACGGTGGCAAAAATGTATAATTAAAACACAAAATTGCTTATAAAATCGTTGTGGACTTTAAATCGAACGAAAAGCTATTGAAAAGTATTAAATTGAATAATTTGGGAACTTAAACTAATGGGGTTATAATAGAAGTCAATCCATAATAGGTTTTAAATATTCCAAATCGATTTATAAATGCATGTTCAAAAAATATTTGAGGAACCAAATAATATATTTATTATAATATATATTATAATTACATTAACAATGCGAACACTCAGGACCTCCAAGACTGGGATTTGACATAATAAATCAGAATTAAAAGAAATAATATAATAAACAATACTGCTACCTACCACAGATTTTAGAAATATTTGTATGAGTCATAAGACCAAATGTAAACTAAAATATATTACACAGGTTAGATTAAGTTCCCAAAAAGCAAGGTAACAGTGCAATAATCATGTAAAACAAAAACTTATTTGTTTATAAAACAACACAACCATAGCTTAGCTCAGCTTTGGAGTTTGTTTAAGAAATTTTAAAACCCAGAAGATTTCTATAGTGAAAAAGTTTCAAATAAATTATTTTCAACATTATTTCGAATCGACCTCAGGTTTTGTCTTCCATCTTTGAATTGGTATCAAACCAGATCGAGTTTTATGGTGTTCTCATAATAGCTGTCCTATTAAATCTTTAATAATACTTTGATCAATGATTATAGTTTTTTATATACTGTAGGATTTCCCAAACCCAATAATTTGAATAGATTGTGTGTGTTTTTTTTTTCAAATTTTTTATTTGTTTGCAAAGAAACCTGACTGGCTGCCAAGACCTCCTCGGCCGTCGTCATCGAATGGATGGGGTGGATTGGGTGGTGTGCGTGAGTGGGCGTGGTTTTTGGTCGCGGGCAGTGGGCGATGGACGATGGTCGATGGTGGCATAGAGATCAGGCTGTATTTTAAAACATACATAACACTAATCAGCCAGAGACCGGACACCGGATAACATCGGCGGCGACTGGACAACGGCTTCGGGGGATAACCGGAGCCGCAGCAGTCACAGCAGTCCGGCGGCCACCACTCTTACTGGACTCTCGTCTCGGCTTAGTAAGAGGGAGCCGCATAGCTGCCGGATCCGGAGGGACCGGCGCCATAGTGCTGGTGGCCATGGCCGGAGCCATAGGGACCCTCGCGCTCACCGGCAATGTTGGCGAGAGCGGACAGACCCTGGTTGCCACTCTGGAGCAGCTGGTATCCAGCGCTGGCAGCGGCGGAATCAGCTCCCGATGCATAAGCGGGCAGGGCACGACCACCATCATGCTGGCCATGTCCAGAGCCATGGGGTCCGGCACCGTGACCGTGTCCGCCATGTCCACCGTGTCCACCATGTCCGCCGTGTCCGCCGTGTCCGTGTCCAGAGCCGGAGTGACCCTGGCCGTAGCCCTGCTTGTTCTCATTGACGAAGTACTTCTCTGCTGGGGGCTTCACCACATTGACGAAGACGGGCTCCACCTTGACGCGACGTGGGTGGTGCTTGACGTAGACCTTGCGCAGCACAATTGCTGGGGGCTTGTGGAGCACCACGGGAGCGGGCTTCACCACCAATGGGGGGTGGTTCACCAGGACCTTGGTGGGCGGGCGCTTGACAATGATGGGGGCGGGACGGTGGATGAGGATCTCACCCTTGTTCTGGGGATATGTGATGGAGGAGGTGAGGGTGTTGCCCTTGGTGTTCACCGGCTTGTAGGGGATGTTCTGGTCCGAGCCATAGCTGCTCTGGCCAGAGCCGTAGCCTCCCTGGCCACCGGCCTGGGCGACGCCAGCAGCATCGGCGCCAGACTCCAGACCCTGGGATCCGGCACCAGCGCTGCCATACTCGCCACCAGCTCCGCCGGCAGAACCGGCGGCAGCTGCAGCCGCCGAGGCGGCATCAGCACCATCGGAGCCACCGCCGGACACGGGTCCGCCATAGCCCTGGGAACCGCCATAATTGGCGCTCGCACAGGCCTGGAAAGGAATGGAGGGGAAAAAGGGGTTTAATAGAATTCGAGAACTGAGTAATATAAAATCTCTATCTGCTGAATGAGATTATATATAAAAGATGCGAGTTGAACAATCCCTATCGATAATATATATCTTAAGAACTTGGGAAGAGAACTGTTTTCTTTTTCTTAAATATTTAGAGTGATGTTCAATGCTTGACTTGAGTTTTCTCAAGTGAAAAGTGACTGAGATGACTTTTCTGGGTTCTGAGATCACCATGGATTAGATCCTACGGATTAAACACTTACGATCAGGCAGGCGGCTAGCGCCCAAATGTAGGTCGATCTTGTCATCTTGTCCTCCGGTGCAGTTCCAGTTGCTCTTCGGCCGCTGGCTATGCTCCCACTTGGATTGTCGACTGTCTTCTGCTGCCCTCCATTGGTGGCCTGCTACTTTAAATATGCTCCGGCTGGGTCTCTGCCATTGGGTACGTGACATTTTTGGCCAGTGGCGGTTCCGTTCCGCTTTGTTGCTGCGCCCCCGACTTGGCCATTGCGAGAACATGGCCAAATGCAGATAGATCGCACGCATCTCATCGCATCGCGGCCAGCGCATATCACGGCGTCTTCGGCTTCAGCTTCATCTTACGGAGAAACCCAAGCCCCAGTCGAAGCCAAAAACCAGCAAAGAGCCCAAAGCTAAATCGGAATCAGCTGCCCGGCCATTGGATCTTGGTCTTGGCATATCGAGGTCCGAACGTCTGCGCAGATTGTGAAAATAGTTCCGCATTGGCAGACATTCATAGTACCATGTATATTGTCATTAATTGGAGTCAGAGTCAGAATGAGAGAGAGTTTAAAATAATGAAAATATCTTCTCTATATATAGATCTTCGATTCTTGTTACACCTCTAACAAATGTCCTTGGGGAATTTTCTAAGAACTATGCTCTACAATGTGTAGTTAAGATTTCAGATATTGGGTTCGGTTGCAATCTTGTAAGTTAGTATTATCTTTCTTAATGATAAGGTCTTTAAATTCATTTGATGATTTTCTCATGAGAAACAAAGAGAACTAGGCATTGGTCGAGAGGAAAAACTAATTTAGTTTGAGGATAAAGAAATCAATTTCTAAACTTTTTCCTCAAATGTAGTATAGTTTTCTTTCACTCTGTGCATTTATCGGGTATCTTTTATATACATAGATAGACATATAAAAAGCATTTAATTACACAGAAAACTAACCTTAGGATACAGGTAATAACTGAATAACACCATTTATCCTTTGTAGGTAAAGGAACATTATAGAAATTATAAAGTGTACATATAATATGAATTAATTATTTCAATTTATTACGGAACTATGATGATTAATAATTTATGTAAATTTATACATTATATCTATGGGTTAACTTTATTAGTTTTATTCCTTTACTTATTGATATCGGAGTTTTGATTAGGGCAAGGAACTTAGTTAAGAAGATGGTAATTCAAACAATAAACAAAAATGTACATACATTTAAATTTTGAATATCATTATATTTTATTGTTGTGTAGTAATTTTCTCTTTTGTTGCTGTAGAGAAGAAACTTTTGCAATAGTGTTGAATATGTGTTTCCATGTTCTTATATATATATTATCATATATGTATATATATATATTATTTATATAAGATATATATATTAACAGTTTTTCAAGTGTTACAAATTATTTTTACAAATTATGAGAACATTATAAATGCAAAACTGGCAATGTTTCGTAAGCTTTTCTATACATATGTATGTAAATCAGTTTTAAAACCTTAAACATCAATGCATTTTCAGTTCCAATGAACTTCAGTTTATTGATAAGTAAGTTTATAGATAAGTAATTATAAGCAAAGAGCTCAGGCAAAAAATGTGTGAATAACTTGACTAAAGTTATCCACACCTACAGAGTTATCAATCATAAATTATCAATTGTAATTTAAGGCCAATATCTGGCAATATAATAAATACATTTCCCTCTTAATGCACATTATTTTCATTCATATAAACTTTCAAGTCTTAAACTGTTTCAATTTAACAAACAATTAATGTAGAATGTGGAATACAACAATGTTTTTCATTGGCTTTTAAAAGAAGTAAAAAGATTTCTGTAAATTAATGGAATTGAAGTATTAATTTGATAAATAATATAATATTTGGTTTAATTATGTGGTAATTTTCTTGATTAAAACTTTATCAAAAGTATATAACAACATGACTCCATAATATGAAATCATCATTTAAAATAATTTTCACTTCCGCTCATCATGATAGCTTCCATTTCTGTTTAGATTTTAGTTACTTCCCTCATCTTCCCTCCATAGTTTGGACCTTCAAAGCGTCTGTTTAACTAGCCAAGCTAAATAATATTCATATATATGAATTTATAATTGCAATGTAATCACTTTCCATTTCCCGTCTGCAACAGAAAAATAATTTCCACGAATCGCTTTACATTTTTAAGAATTTCTTTCTTTTCGTCTTTTATTTGCACACAGCCGCACTCGGCTGAGAAATAAAATTAAAAAAAAGGAGGAGAACATTTAAATTAAATTAAGCCACGGAGGCGATGCCATCTCCCCTTAGTAGCTGCTCTGGCCATAGGGAGCGGGGCTGGCGTACAGTGGAGCCTCGTTGCCGGCGGAGTAGCCATCGGCGGAGGAGGCGGCGGCACCGGCAGCGGAGGCGGCACCGGAGCTACCATAGCTGGGACCATAGCCCTGCGGCTGGTGGTTGTACTGGGGGGCAACCACGGGGGCCAGCGGGGCCTCGATCTTCTTGCCGGGCTTGTAGACCTTCACGTAGACGGGGTTGAGGCTGAGGGGAGTGGGCACCTTGTTGATCACCTCCTGCTGGTAGATGACCGAGGGCTTGATCTTGTAGATCACCGGATTGCCACGGACCACGGTCGGGGGACCGCTGTTCACATGTGCGGGCGGTGCGCCTGGCTGGTGGACAATGATGGGGGGCAGGGGCTGGGTGGCGATCACCTGGTGATTGTTGTGACCCGAGGGCACCAGCAGGGAGCGGAACAGATGCTGATCGACGAACTGGGGGGACACCACCTTGATCTTGCCCTGACGGATGTTGCTGGCCAAATTGGTCTCGGCCAGGGACTCGGCAATGTCCTCGGAGTTCTTCAGCTTCTGGTAGTTGGGATCGGCGTTCAGAGCCTGGAGCTGAGCCTGGACGCGGCCCAGACGGCGGGCCTCCTCCGGCGTGGGCTGGATCTCAGCCTGCGAGGCGATCTGGTTAGCCGCCGGCTGGTTGCCACCGGTGGCCACATTCACGTACTCATCGAGTCCGGCATTGGGACCGCCGGACAGATACTGTCCACCGGCACCACCATGGTGACCATGGCCATAGTTAGCGCTCACCAGCTGAGGGAGACAAAGTGGGGTACCAACGAAATTAGTGGGGGAATCACAGGAGATGAAGGATGCAGCTTGAGTTGGGGAATCTTTCTTTTTTAGGGATGCCAAACTAAACTAAATACTAACCGGCGCGGCGGCGATGGCGAAGATGCCAAACCAGAGACCGAGTTTCATGTTGCCGTTTACGTGTGGATTGGATCGTCTACTGCTCGGTGTCTGGCGTCGGCTCCGGCTCTTTATAGCGCCTATAATCGCTGGCCACCACGGCCAGCTACGTGATCCATCTCCATTTCCGATTTGGCCGCATTGTTGACTCGCCATCGTGCCCAGATCGGAGACAACCTGCTAGCCCCCAAGAGTCGTCTGCCGTCTGCTTTCCGCCCAGTCGCAATCATCTCTTTGTCACTGGTCAGTGGTGGGTTCGCCACCTTGGCCTGAATCATAATATGGTAACTCTGTCGGAGATGGCCCAAAACCCTCCCAAAAGTATCTCTAGCAAATCGTTGAAATTCTGCAGATAGCTGTTAGAGATCGAGCTCTGAGATATATTTCTCTTTGAAGATATATATCTTGAGGCTGATAAGTATTTTGGGGATGCTGTCTGATCTTCTCTTTGAGAGTTTGGATCAAGAGATAAGTTCTTACTCTTTGTATTGCTTTCTTATTTTCTTTTGCAAAGTTTGGACTTACTGGTAGTACATAGGGTAGAGCTCTCTTTGATATATCTTCAAGTGCATCTGATATTTTCGACTTTCAGAGTTACTGATCAAAAATCAAAACAATCTCTTCAATCTATATAATTGCCAACCGATAACACGAAGAAGGTGATAAAAGATTTCCCGAATAGATTGGCTTTATTTTACAAGATACATTTTATAATAAATTGGGTTACAAAGTTCAAGACTGTCTCAACTGTTTGTGAACTGTTTGGATAGTCTATATAGAATATAACTATAAGTCTTATAAATACATTTTCAGGTAATATATTAGCTATCCCAACTAATAGTACAATTTATTTTGAAAAACATGAGATTTGAATAATATAATAATAATTTGAGTAGATTTTTTAGGGAACCTACAGTCCATAGTTCAATAAAATATTTAGTGAATACTGGTTCTAAATATAGTTTACTTGAATGATGATAAAATTTTTAGGAGTGTTCATATTAGAGTATAAATTATGTATAAATTTATATTTGTATATTTATTTATGTATTTAAAAACACACATATTCTGACTAAAAGCACAACTTGTCGTATTTTATTTTTATTTTGACTGAAATAAAAAGACGTGTAGCAAAAAAAATGACATCTGTTCATTCTATATATAATATACAGTAATATTTTTAAACATTTTTTAATCATAAATTTTAATTTTCAAAATAAATTAAGCTGCTTGTTAACCTTTGATCGTTTAGCAATTGCAAGAACGTAGTCTGATTTGCATATTTGTTAAAATAAAAACACAGAGAACCAAAATTTGTACTTCAGTTTACATTCCATTCATATTTGTGTATTTTTCTTTTCTTTTTTTGTAAACCATTTTCTTATTTTAATAATATAATTTTAAAATATAAGAACAAAAATAATACTGGTTTACTAAGTATACACATTGATCTTTTTATTATATCAAGCGACCTTAGCGTTGTAAAAGGATAAAATCACTAAAAACGACTTCTCTTTTAAATGAGATGTTTGCTAATAATATATTTTAAATATATAATTCGATTTATGCGATAAATACCACGAGTTACAACAAATTACTGAAAATATTTCCCCAATTTTTGTGGTAAATTAGTTATTCCAAAACACCATCTTGTTATGTTTTTCCAGCCTTTATTTTATTTTTGTCTATCCTTAATCTTTGTGTGTTTTTATGTCTTTCTTTTTGGTGTGGTTTGTGGTGTGTGTGTATATGTGTGTTTTCTTGGGTGTGTGTTTGTGTTTGTGTGTGTTTCAGCCTCAATTATGGAGTTCTAAGGACCTCCTTATAAACCCCTTCTGTAGAGAAGGTAAGCAAGATCCCGAGTGGGTCGACTGCCATAGTCATTGAAGGGTGACTTAAAGTTCAACTGACTGTTGAAGGTGTCACCCTCCTCCTCATAGCCAACGGATCCTCCTCCTTCATGACCAGATCGCACTGGTGCTGAATTCGATTGGGAAGCATGTAGCTGATCCTCGCTAGAGTTGATGATGTAGCCATGTTTTTGTGGCTTCTGATATCTGATGTGCGAATGTTGGAGTGTTTCTGGGTACTGGTGTTGTTGTTGTGGGTGTTGGTGTTGGTGTTGGTGTTGTTGGTGTGGTTGGTGTTGGTGTTGTAGTGGTTGAAATTGTTGGTGTCTGTGTTGGTGTTGTTGTTGTTGTGACTGTGTTTGAGGAGTGTAGAGTTGTCTGTGCTGCTGGGCATAGTTGTGGTGTTGCTGCTGCTGTTGCACCTGCTGGTGAATGAGATACTGCTGCTTCATGGCTAAGGAGCGGGTATCAAAGGTCTGCTGCTGGTTACCCCTAAAGTAGCCACCACCTGGAATCCTCTGAGTTGGTGGGGAAGGAACAACTTCTGCATCTGGCCTTTCGGCACCTGGCAGGTACTCGTGATGCACCTCCTCGTGGACACCATTCTGGGTCTGATTGATCAGACGGTTGTACTCCTCGTTGGTACCACCCACCTGCAGATGAATGGCATGCTTGAAGTCTTCGCCCAGATGCTTCAGCCAAAAGCTTTCATCCACCTCGCCGGTGGTATAGATTCTAGTGGTTTGTCCACTTTTGGGCCTACCCCCAGTTCCCGTTCCCGTGGATGCCATAACATCAACCACATCGTACTGCTCATCATCGCCACGCTTCTGTTCCGAACCACCAGACATGGGTTCCACACGAGCTGCCTTCCGGAGATTTCCATTGATCAACCGATCGGTGGTCTCCTCCAGCTTGGGATTTGGAGTCGTACTGGGAATTGTACTGCCATCGAAGACCGCCTCATCGCTGGGCGTGGTATCACCAGAGCTCTAAAGAGTGGAAATTAGGAGTTGAATTAGGAATTGAGACAAGAAAGACTCCCAAAAATAGAACTCACCTCGCCGAGAATCCCTGGCGGCTTTGCTACAAAAAACAGCAACAATATTATGGGCCATTTTGGCCACATTTTGGGGCAGATTAAGTTCAACTGAAGCCCCACCGGCCCATGAATTTCATTTAAATACTCCCAGAAAATGTGGCCCCATGAGCATGCCCCCCATGTTATAAATTTTAACTAAAAAAAAGACGTGCCGGGACGTGATCTATAACCAGATATAACCATATAGATGTCTCATCCACACGAATCTCCAGCGATCTTGATGCGTCAGTCGATGGCGAGAGAGTGCTCCCAGGGTCATTTGAATTCTTTTGCTCTGCTCAATGGGCTCGGACTCGGAATGGGGTTCGGTCTTTGGGCTTTCTGTCTGTCTGTCTGCTGCCGGGTGAAGATCTTATTTTCTGGATCTTTCGGTTACCAGTATGTGCCATCAATGGCATGATGTAATACATGGTTGACATGCCAAGAGGCAAGAGCTCGAACACATAATTACACTGCAACACATTCAAGAGACTTACAGAATTCCAATTTAAAGGTGAACAAATTGCAAGAAAGTCCGAATTCAAATAGCTTCTAGGTTAGTATTATCAATTTTCATAATCTCAAAATTATAAATAAATACAGTTTAAAGTCACATGCGATTTTTATTCATTCATTCTTTCCCAACCCCTTCTCAACCCAACATGCATTTCCTAAAAATATTATTTGTTTTATTTATATTAAATTCGTACCTTAAATAAATATATAAATACTTTGCTTATTTATTTTAAAATATCACTCATTAATTGATTTAAATTCGCTTTTACATAAGATTATTACGTATATTTTATAACATTATGGATTATTTGGTTAGCTTGAGGATGGGTTAACTCGTAAAATTGTTATTGTTAAATATTGAAAATATTTATTTCTTAAAGAATTCCTGTATTTGCCACTGTTTTTTCAATTACTCAAAGCATAAAGTTAACGTCTAGAGATCAGAGAAAGAAACGTTTTTGCTTTGAATTATTTTAAATTTATTTTTACCTCTTTTGACGTCTTTTAGGCATAATTTTAATTACCTTTATTAGGGAATTTCGTTTGGGAATTTGATTTTTATTTATACATCTATAACCTATATATTGTTGGCAAAGCAAAAACCCGTTTTGTAATGGAAAAAAAAAATTACATTATTGTAATTTGACTTCAGATAAACCAATTATGTGTGATCTACACTTACTAATTGCTTAGTCAGCGCGAAGAGTTGGCTGTTTTTTTCTGCTTTTGGTAATTAATACTATTTTCTTTTATAAATGCGATAGCAAGAATTCGGTTGCTGAATGATCTGGTTGTTTGCTTTCCATTTAGATTAACGATGCCATTGACAGATCGTGCTATTTGTGTATGATTGTACACGTTTTAATTGGTTTAGTCTACATGTAGTATACTATACAATACGCTTTACTGTAGCGTATTTTGCAAACATATTCTCTCCATAAATAATACAATAATAATTAAAAATTACCTTGATTTCATCCCACAAAATATTATTACTTATTTACTTGCTGTGGTTATTTCAATTTAATATATTAAAATTTACAAATTTATAGTATTCTTGATCAGTTAAGTTCATAAGTTGATTGACATAAGTTCGTCTGTCTCTTCATCCATTTGTCTTTCAAATGAGTAAAAGCAATTAAAAAGGTAACATACTTTGGCTTACATATCTTTACTTATTAATGTACATACTCATAGTACACTGTCTCCTTAATTATAAATTAAGGTTGAGGATATATAACTTAATTACCATTATTATTATTCCCCCATATTACAAAAATAATTAAAATGTAGACATTATTGCTTGAGTTTATTAAGGCTTTAATAATTATTGATCTACTTGTTAGCTGATTAATAGTTTGCATCAAGAATTTAAATAAAGAAAATAGTAAACAAATAAATTTGAGCAGTATGTTAAAAAATATAAGATTTCTGGTCATAACTTTAAGACCATTAAGTAACGTAATCCTATTTGGACGATTTTTATTCTATGCTCAAGGTTTTTTTTTTGTATTTGGAAAATACCTATAGCCACTTATTTCTAGAATTTTGGGTTTTATATTAAGACTTTTGCTCTTATATAAAGATTTTACTTAAGAACCCATAATCCTTAAAATTTTTAAGTTTTCAGTACTCAAATATAAATAGTAACCCCAACCAATATTAAAAATATAAAACATATGTAAATGCATTAAGATTCTGATATTACAAATTTAATATTGCCCAAATAAACACAAATTTTTGCTAAAAAAATAAAACATTGTGAGGCATACTTTTGGGAGATCGTGATTCGTAATTGCAAACCCCAACCCAAATCCAAAATTATAGAATCCGCTCTGATATTTTTGATCAAACAAACAAACACTTTATTAAACTTACAAAATGGGGCCAGCAAAAGGCGGAAGAAATAGTAAACTGAAATTGAGGTTGGGACTTGACTTGACTTGGACTTGGACTTGGATTGGGCAGATATTGGCGGAGTCGGAGACGGAGACGGGGGACGGAGCACCAGAAGCACACGCTCCACTGGCCCACTTTTGGGTCACCACTTAGAGCCGAGCTCAGCAGATTGGTTTTGGATCGCCGGAGACCTCTCTCAGTAGGTGTCGCAGCTGCAAAGAGAAGAAAGACGAAGCGATTGGTGAACAAAAAAATAATAAAAGAAACGCCACAATCTTTTTCAATTTATTTCTTTATATTATGTTTTGTTTTTTTTTTTCGTTTTTTTTTGTTCTTTGGGCTTTTGGTTTTTTTGGTTTTTCTAACTTAAGTTTACTACATCTAGGGGTCATGGTAGGCTGCTCTGGTTTAGAACCAGGCCCTCAGGTAATCCGTAATGGGCGGTGCATTGTAAGTATCTATACGGTAACCATTCTGGGTGTGACTATTATAGCCATAAGTCTTGGCCGGCCTTGTGGAGTACTCCGCACGGAGGGCATGATCCGGCTCTGTGGCCGAGTCAAAACCCCATCCGCCCAGACGACCATCGATGAGTTTCTTGAGAAAGTCTGTTGTCTGCTGTTTCTGCACTGGCTCCGGATCCACCAGGCTGCCTCCCCTCTCCGAGGTGCTGTAGCTATAACCCGGATGGCTATACACAATGCCGGAGATTATGCTGTCCAGCTGTGCGTCCGATACATGCTCCACGGGATACCCATTGCCGCTGCCATGTCCTAGCCCTAGGAGTGGAGATCCTCCGTATGAGCGCCGGGTCACCGCTTCCAGATCTCCGGCAAACTGCAGAGGCGTAGAGCTGTGCTCCAACGGATCCGGCACTGAGGTGGTGGACAGCAGCGTTCTTAGATGTGAGTCGTCAACAAATTTGTAGTCCGTCTCTCGTCCATTGGGATGAAGCAAGGGGGATGGAATCTGGAGCAGGGGATAGTAGCCAAAGGAGGCTGCCCTCTTGGCCGGAATAGAGTTGGGCTGCTGTTCCTCAAGCGGTTCCTCGGTGGGTGTGGTCTCCTCCACTGGCACTTCGGTTGGAATCGATGGCTCTGGCAGTGGCTGTGGATCTGGAGGCGGTGCCAGTGCAGTCATTGCTCCGCAACCCATCTGGCACTGTCCTGGCTTGAAATCCGGATTCAAAGTTTCCGGCATGAACTGGATTATCTCGGGGGCAGTGAGATCAATACGCGCCCGATCCTGTTCTATGAGATCAAACTCTCCCTTGATGTCACGCTTCCGGAGGCGATGACCCAGTCCCATCCAGGTGGACGTCGTCTTCTTAGTCTTCCGTTTGGACTTTATAGCCTCGGTTGGGGACTCCACGGGCAGGAGGCCAAAAAAGCTGAGCTTCTTCTGCTGCTGCTGCTGCTGCTGTTGGGCAGCCAGATCCTTGTGATACAACTTGACATAGCGTGCCGGACGCTCCTGGAGCTGCTGCTGACGCATGAGCCGCCGGCGGAGGAGGGAACCAGGGGGCCGGATATCCCTACGCCGACGTATCGCATTCGGGGATCGGACCGGAGGAGCTACGTACCTGGACTTTTGGCTGGAACAGCTCGAGCAGCTGCACGATGACTTGTTCTTGGCCTGGCAATCTGCAGGAGAAGAAGAAGGAGAGTGGTTAGAAAGATTAATGGGATACTTCGTTTTGGATGCACCTACCGCCCTTGTTGATGGTGACCCTGTCCACCTTGGCGTACAGCTTGGCAGGATTGGTCTTAGGTGGAGCAGGTGTCCGGGGTTGCTCCACGGTAAAGTCAAAGCTGTAACTGATCTTGGCCTTGGTCTGAACGGGTTTCTCCACACGATACCCGTAGTCACTGTTTGGGTACTTCTTGGGCTTGGGGGATTGGGAACGTTCAGTTGGTAACCCAACTGGGTGGGGCAGTCACAACCCTCATCGCCCGTGTACACATACTCCACGGGAGCTGCTCGCAGGGGCGAGGTGTGCATGACGAGAACGAGGAGGAGGCCCAGGCCCAGGCCCAGTGTGCTGGTGGGGGAAAGTCGCATCTCTCGGGGGGAATCGGTTTGATCTGCTCGGTTGTCCGCCTTGGTGGCTACTAGCCGCAGAATGCCCCATTGCATTCTTTATATCGCACCAACGAGAGTGGCATCCATGGCACGGGCATGGGCACGGGTACGGGTCATCGGCAATCTCTCACGCAGCTCCGGACCCCAATGAACTTGACTTTGAGCAAGGTTCTTCTTCGTCGCCAGAGATTCTGGACAGCGAGGGAGATAGGGGGAGATGGGGGACAGAGTTGCCGGCACACTTTGTTATTGTTTTCGCTGACCGCTGACCTTTTCAAATAGTTCGCCGCGGGTCGTGTTTTCTGTCAAAAGTCATGTTCCCGGCATTCGCAGCTTTCTTCAGTGTCGCTCCGGGCAAAGACTCGAGATTCAAACATCGAAAGCTACAGTGAAGCTTCGAAAACAGCAACTGCTTGACACCAGAAATTTGCTGGGATAAATATACTCAGTCCTGTGACAAGAAAGTTTAGTTAGGTGAGTGAAGACAAAACATGGATAAGGAATTGGGTTAAGAATGACTTTGAAACATGGTCAATCGTGCAGCATTGACTTGAAAAAACTGAACAGAAGATAGTTTTTAAGTACACTATTATTTAAAACAAATAAATGCTATTATGTTTTATAAATAAAATAAATTTATAGATATCATGAAATTTAAATTAAAAAAATTAAGTCCATAGAAGTATGGCGCATTCTTTTATCAAAGTAATTAATCATAAGACAGGTGCAGTCTGTGTTTCAAAAACTTTTTTGTTAACTATTGATAATATCGCGCTTTTCATAATATAACATTGTGTAATATATTTTAAAGATTTTTTAAAAACTTTTGAATAAAGTATAAAATTAAAATTGGGTGTAGAATAAAACAAAAACAAACAAGGTTGGCATTTTGTGATATTTTTTAATTCCAATTTTAAATAGGTTAAAAATTATTAAGAAAAGTTTTAAAAATATTTGTATTGAGTATATTCTGGCGATATTACCCCGATCATTTTAAAAACCATATTTTAATTATAATTTCCTAATATATTTTTTTAAAATTTTTAAAATATATATAATTCTTTATTTTATATTGAAACATTAAAGAAAAGCTTTAAAAAGAGTTAAGTGTACTGTGCCGATAATATCGCAATAGTTTTTAAATCATCGATACTATCGAATGAACAACTTGTGGCTTAACAGCACTCGGCTTCCCATAAATATTTCGATTGTCTTAGGCAAATTTCCCTGTATTTAAATATATAATTAATACAAAACTCTACATTGTGGGAAAAAATCGTAGACTGATGTATTAAAGAAATCATATTCTATGCAATTTAATACTTAAATTACTTACATAACGTGTTAAGCTTGCCAAAGCAACTCTAAGAAGAACAATTATTAAATTATTAAATGCTTTTTTGTGACACTTACCTTGCGCAAGACATGAGAGAGTAAGCAGTTTAAGATCTAATAATATAGTGTCAGCATTTTCTCTTGGCGATATAAAAACGTGTTCAGATCATGGAAAATAATCATTTGTGATGTTTCCGGATTGAATTAATTGTATAAATACAGGATAATATAATCTTTGGTGATCAAGAAACTAAAAAAAAGTTGTTGAGATTTAATTGGTTTTCCAAATAATCTTGACTCTTTGTAAAAGTCAAATTAAATTAAAGTCAAAGTAATTTAAAAACCTTACCTTAAGAGTAAAAAACATTTCAGGGTAATCTTTGGTATTATCTTTAAATATATTCTTTAGTAACTAACTTAGACAGACATCATCATCCATTCACTCCTTGGAGTATATACATATTTACAAGCAAAGGGATCGGGATTATATAGTTTAATAGTAACCTTCCTCGGTGTCCTCGCGCTTGGCCTTGCGATACGAGGTGATCCTGCCGGGCTTGAAGCCGCAGTCCACGGACACCTTGCCGGCCACCTTGCCATAGCTATCGCTGGAGTCCTTATAGTCCTTGTAGGCCTTGTACCCGGAGCTGGTAATCCTCTTGAACTTGGGATTCTTGAACTGCTCGGTGATGTAACCCAGCTGCTTGTAGGTGAGCTGTGGGGCCTCCTCATCGTCTTCGGATGTCTGCTCCTGCTCCTCCTCCTCGGCGTACTCCTCCTCCTCCTCCTGCTTGGCGTTGTAGGTGCGCTTCTTCAGCGTGATCACTTCGCTCTTAAGCTTGAACAGATTCTCCTCGGGCACATTGGAGAATGTCACCTTTTTCTCACCATCCACTGGCTTCTGGGCAAATCCGTAGGCCAACTTGGCCTCCGGGACATTGATGGCCTTGCCAGCCTGGGCGGCCAAGCTCACACTAATGGGATCTGCGGCAGGACTATTGTCCTGCTTCTTCTCCGCTGCATAGTTGATTCTGAAAGGAAGGAGAATTTTAAGTTCCTTCGGAATTTTAAACTCTGTGGTGTCAACTCACTTGCCGTAAACAGATCCGTAGCTGGAACTAGAGTCGGAGGTGTAGGTGCTATCGGTCACCTTCTGGCACGAGCAGGTGGGCTTGCACGGTGTGGTCTGTGCAGAGAGGAGTGGAGTGGAGTTCGGGTGAGTTGGGTTTCGGGTATCGCAAAAAAAAGGTATCGAAATTGGTTTCTATCGCTCCGCATAGCTCCGAGGCATAGGAAGCACGTACGCGACGATATATGCAATGATGCTGTGGCTTTATAACCAAAGCCAATACAATGTGGTAATGGTGATGGTGATGGAGGTGGCGATGCAGTGACGCAGAGTTGGATGCAGATAATGCCCGATGAGCCCGATGCGGAAATTGTTACTGCAGCTGGAGGGGGATGACGATGGATGGATGGATGGATGCCATGGCTATGGTTTATGCTGATTACGGTCGAAACTTATGTTACTGCTTATTATGATAACATTAAATGTGATCTGAATGGGTGACAGTGTGACTTAACTAATAATTAATTGCAATGTAGATGTTTTACATGTTTGTTTTGAAACATTTCTAACTTAATCTACATCTAAAACTTGGTAATTAATGTGCGGAATATTTGAGCTAATACAAGATATAGAATTAAGGATTTAAAATGGGGGTAGACCCTTTAGTAAATGTGAAATCTTTCTCTTAATAGGTTAGGTATTTAATAGTCTAGAGCATATATATCTTTAGACACAAAAAGTAATGGAACTGATCATATGAGAGTTGATGGATAAGGTACTGGGACAATATTGTCTAGTTAGGGTACAAGGTACAAGGTAATAATAATACCTTTCTTTTCTATTAAAGGAAAAGTATCTAGAAATAGGATATTGTAACAATTCCTTTCTTTTGTATTAAAGGTAAAGTATCCTGAAATAGGATATTGCAAATTTACAATTATGATAATCACGGGAAATAAGGATTACTTTCTCTTCTAGAAACATATTTGTGATAAGTTCTAGATAACTGGGTTATTGGGTGTTTTGTAAATGGTTTAGTCACTGGATGCATTTGGTTAGAGATGATATTGGCGTCCCGTCGGTGATCTCTTGTAGCAATCGATCTGCTCAAGCCTCTGAAGACGCTCGGATAGACGCTGTGCCGCCAGTGTCTTGGCCTCAATGGCACCCTCGAGCATCCGGCGGCCCAGGAGGTTATTGAAGGCGTGCATGTATTGGAAGAGCTCACGTACTTTGCCGCATGTCTTTGGAAGCTGGGCGGGCTCGATCAGCTGCTTGCTGCACCAGCAGTTGTCACCGATCGGCGACAAGTTTACATCACTGGGTTCATAGTAACGGGGCTTGGGTCGGACCACCGATGAACCCTGACAGCTTTGGCAGTAATCCGTTCCCTTCTCGGAGCACACACAGGCGGCCATTAGCTGTAAGGATTAAGGGGAATCATTGTAAGTTAATTATATAAAATATTTATTTTACTTGGTAGAGTGTTGGGTTTGGGATAACCCTCCTTATATGTCCTTTTCTAATGATCACAATCATCACTTTGCTTTACTTACCACTTGGATGCAGTGCATGCCCATGACCAGGCAGAGCAGAAGCTTGCAGGCTTGCATTTTTTGGTTTAATTTTGTTATTATTGGAATATATCAAATCGGTCGTGCTGCTCGTCGCTCGTCGTTAAAAGTCTGAACTGACTGTGGGAGCGGTCCACACGGCTTATATAACCGTGACGTTACCCAGAAGATCGTTGAAAGCTTGATGTCTTCTCAGTGCATTAGGCGCTCTCTTCGAGGTAAATGAAATCTTTTTGCTCTGGTTTCGCTGTAAGTGGCAGGTCAGTCTTTGATCACAGCACATTTAGGGTCACTTTCGCCCCCCCCCATTAATTGACCTTGGCTGATGGCGAGGGTCAGGTTCAGGTACAGCCTGTCCCAAGAGCACTTTCCCCGGCTAATGATCATGATGCTCTTTTACGTGCCTGGGATGCACAGAGATGCACTTGGTGGCGATAAGCTCAACCCAAATCAGACTGAGCAGACAGAATAGCTGAATTCCACGAATTTTGGTAGATAAAAATAACGAAACTTAACAATGAAATGTTATAGTTGCAACTAAGTTATAATAATTTTCACAGTAATAGAGTCATTACTAAGCACATACTTATAGATCACTTCATAAAGTTGGAATATACATATATGTACATATATTATTTACACAGTTGTCAGAAAAATCATCAAGGAAAGAACTTGGAATATATGTAGAACACTGCGATTAGCATTTGCGGATCCGTTCCCAATTCCTAAATAGGTCAGCGTCATCTCGAACAAATCTCAAAGTGACCCGGGAATCGGGAGCAGACGCCAAATGGAACGAAATTGGGGCATTAACCTAATTCGGGTTTGTTTTTCGCAAATTTCTTAATCACAAAAACAGAGCGTTGGGGAAAAACACGGCCTATCGATAGCACTTCCTTTTTGATCGTTAAAGCTAAGGGACTAAATAGTCGGAGTAATCGGATGTACATTCTCCAGAAAAAAAAGCATTTAACACTTCGAAATCACGTTTTTGGCGTGATGTAACTCAGGATGTTTTTGTTCATTGTTGTAATCTAAACATTTCACCACACATGTGTTTCTGTAATCGAAAATCGTAAAAATTAACGATTAAATGTTGTTTTCAACAATCACTACATGCGCTAGCAGGTATTATGTAATGGAAAATCCATTGAAATTTCATTTTTCTATACAAGTTCAATGACTGAAACAGATAAGGAGATGTTACTGTTTTTAATCTAAAAAAGCACTATGATATTTTCATCATTAAATGTGATTTCTTTTTAAATTTATTAAAATTTCCATAATATTACTTGGACTCTTAAACTTAAAATTTACTTTTATGTATATTATGTTTTTGTTGTCAACCAGACTGTTTACAAACATACAACGACCTTGATTAACCGCCATATCAAACGAACTTATTTAACCCTAAAGATCACGATCGATCAGCATTCAGACTCATGTGAAGCAGGGCCAAACTTAAGAGGGGCTTGCAGAGGTTTAAGACCCTCATTTCTTGAAAATGTTTGCTAAAGTTTGAGTTTGTATTTAAATTATTTACAAGAGAAATTACAGAACATAATAAAATTAATAGTAATTGGTGTTAAATATGAGTAGTTATTCCTTCTTTTCTTAAAATCTGTTTAAAGTGAATGCTGATATTTACTACCATATTTGTCATATATCTACAATTTTGAATTTATTTGCTACTAATATAAATAAAACTTATTTCCAGAACTGTAAATGTTGTATTCATTAATTAAGTATACTTATTACCTGATGAAAATCCCTCTGAAGTGTCATCCAAATGCTCGCCCCTGATCCATGATGTTGGTTTGACGTTGTCGAAATCCCAAATTCCCAATTCCAAATGGGTAATGGCCCGGCAACAGGCCCAGACAGATGATGATCCCAACCTTATCAGGGTCCGAGTTGTATAAAAGGCCCGTAGTGACATCCCCAGAAACTCATAACGTCGAACATCGCTCAGCCTATATACGGAACGAGAGTATATGTACATATAAACCAAATATATATATTTACTTGAAGATTATCAATCGCAAGCATAGTCCAGCTGGTGAAGCCCGCAAAAATCTGTGAATTAGTACAGTCGTTCAGCTCCAAGTGATCGCAAGCAAAACCCAAAACAAATTAAAAAGAAATCAAATCTTAAGATGGCAGCAAAAAGAATGGATTTAAATAGACGCACCTTTTTGGTGTTGAGCGGGAGCTCGAATCCTTTGGGTCAGTCCCTGGCCCTGGAGTTCTGCAAGCGCCTGGCCACCGGCTCCTTGGCCCTGATCCTGGACGAGAATGAGCAGCAGTTGAAGCAACTGGAGGAGTATCTGCAGCGTGAACTGAAGCCGGAAACGATTAAAGTGCGGATGGGAAAATTGGATGCCAATCACTCGAATGGTGCAGATATCATGGAGCAGGCTTTGAAGGCGTCCGAAGTCCAGTTCGAGCGGACCATTATGATCCACAACGAGGGTGAGGCGGCCACCAAGGTGCTCATGGAGCCACAAACCACCCAGGAGTGGAAGAGCTACGTCCAACAGCAACTCTATGCTCCCGTGGCCCTCAATCAACGGTGGCTGCACTCGAAGGACTTGGTGCAAGTCCAGAAACTGGCTGTAAATGTGACCTCGTCACTGATGATTCGTCCGATGATCCATGTGGGATTGCTCTGCTCCTGCAAGCGGGCCAGGGATATGTTCTTCCGGGCCATGGCCGCGGAGGAGTCACGGAACGGAGTTCATGTGCTCAGCTTCAAGCCCGGATTGCTCTCCACCCACCAGACGCAGTGCGATGTCAACGGCAACGAGATCAATCCCGAGGACCTGGTCGCCTCCAAGCAAGTGCTCCAGTTGCCCAGGATCCAGCCACTGCAGGCCACCCTCAAGCTGATCAATATCCTGGAAGAGATCTCCTTCGTGTCCGGTCACGATGTCGACTACTACGACACCTTCGTTTTATGAGTAGTATTGTGGCGGTGGGCTACGATCCTGCCGGACTTAATCCTTAACTTGGCCAACGAATTGGATGCTGTTTTTGATATGATTGCTCGCGAAACCCTACAAAATAAACTCTGGCTGCTGACCCTGGTCCTGATTCTGAAAGTGCTTCTCCTCGAAAAGGATGCACACGAAAAGGAAAATGAAATCAAAATAGCCATTTTTATTTATTTTACAAGGGGGGAACTGGGGATTTTTTCAGTATTAGGAATAATATTTGTTAAGAGCTTGAAAAGGCAATCCTTGCATTTACTCTTGTTCAAAGCAAAGTTGTTTATATTTTTCTTTGAAAATGGGAAACAGTTCCTAAGAGTATTATGAAATATTATCACATTTCAATTTATCGTTTTTAAATTTAATAAGTTGTTTGGGGATCTCGCTAAACTAGATGTAAAAATATGAATGAAATTAGTTTTTCTTTATAGGGTATTGTTCATAACACATAAAAGAATAAAATGAACAAATTTAAATGAATTTCGCAGGAGGAAAATTATAAGAACCAAATCATTTACAGAGAAAACTTTAATTTCAATATTATTTGGAAAATATTAGTGCATTTTAAGGTATATACATTTGTTAACTGAACCTGAAGCTGCCCAAAATCATGGAACATTTGTACATTTATGTATAATAATTATTATTCACAAACTGAGATCTCTCGTTTATTAACCTCTGATATTCTTCCTGATCTTATGAATCAGCTTATGTGCTTATATATTATATATATGTTTAATATATTTAATAGATTATATATTCCCGCTAAACCCAAATAAGTTGAAAACAGAATGAGCTTCTAGACAGCAATGGCGATAAGGAAACTCGTAGATCGCAGGTTCTATGGAAGACACGTGTCCATTTACTTTTGTGTGGGGGGTGTTTTTGGTATATGTACTTATTTTAGAAATACACCTATACTTTTTAATGACACTGTTGCCGAGCTGGCATCGCAAAAGGAAATCGGAAATGCGCAGTAATCTCCTGTTCCGGGATTCGGCATTCCATTGCAAGGCAACTTAGTAGTTCTCTTGAAAGATTTCGAAATTAATCTTCAATCAAATGACAATTTCTGTATTTGAATTTGTACAGTTTTTATAAGTTTATAAATAGTTTCTAGAACTTATGCATCTAGAATAGAAGAAATACTAAATCAATCAAATTTATTTGATTCACGAATTATTCGTTCTCGATTTTACGAACCTAAACCTTTAATTTCATTATAAACATATCGAACCACAGTTTTAAAAAAATAAAAACATTTGGTATCATATGTTTATATTCGAGGTTACGTCAGTCTTATTTGGTTTGCCTCCGTAAACCAAAGGATGCGCTTCCTGTATAGAATTAATATTACAATTAAATTACTTATTAACCTATAGAAGCAATGCCAATATAAAAAAGTAATTTATATAAAGGATATAACAAAATTCGATGTTAACATTTACCTACTACACTCCCTCCCAAAATGGTAATTTACATTTTGAGGATTTTGACACTCGCAAACTTATTGATATTGGGCACGATCTCCAATCCAAAACACATATAGGGTTTCTGCTTTTTTGAATAAAAACATGGATCTCTTTTCATATTTTGCTTCAAAAGACGATCCTAAAAGCGAAGTCTTGCATTTCTGGCAGCTTTTATAGTAATAATGAGCAGTAATTATGAGAATATATTTTAGAACACTGCAAAGTGTCATTTAGATAGTTTAGAAAGTGGGAGAATTTGTGAGAAACGGATAAAATGGCTAAATCGACTCGGCTGTTGATGCTGACAAAGAATATATAAACTATTTAGTTTTCAAAATGGCTGAACCAACTAATTTTTAAAAAGTCCAAAAGTCACAATTTTTAAAGCGATACCGTTTGATTGGTATGTATATCTCTTTTTACCATCGAACATTCGTAGTCTAATACTAAATTCTGGGTAGTAGCACACTCTTGTTGATCATCGTCACTACGTGGACGGCCTTTCACAGTGATTTTAATTGAGATTAAATTACACTTTCAAGCTTCACTTGAAATACATTGTTGCAAAGCTTCCATATTCAGGGGAATATAGTTATTTAGTAATATAAATTATATTTACGATCTTAAGAGCTTTCAATGAGGGGAACCGAGACAGCAATTCATAGACATACATAGATTCTAGAACTCTTAACCTTCCAACAATGTTGTTCTGTTGATATTCCATAATCATTTAAAATTGATTTTTTTTTTTTTTTTTAACAGTTTTCCACATACTCTATAAATTTAGTTAAAAAACTCATTTAGTATTCTTGATGTGCCCATTGGCTATATAAATATATCTTGATCGGCATCAGCCGAAACGATTTATCCGATTTAGACTTTTTGTTCGTCCGTGTGAAAAATCCAATTTTAGACTATTTGAGCTATAGAAGGTGTTTAAAAAGTTTGATTTTTATTTTGTGAAATTATGAAAATGTATTGGTAAATTTAATGGTTAAGTTAGAACATTACTTGCTTTTACTTGATTTTAAAATCAAATCAAAATTCAATTTTGATACTATATGCCGATTAATCAATTGCATTTCTACTAGAGGTTAGGAACCTCTAAAAGTTCTATGTTTTTATGGTTTGACATCTCCCGTGAAGTTTTGATTTATCAATTTTCAATAATCGAATTATGAACTGCAAGGGTATCCAACATTTGGCGTCCCAAAGATAGCTTTGTTTTTTTTTATTGTATAATGAAATTACATCAATATATATATATAAATATAAACGCATAATTTACTGCTACAAAGTTGCGGAGCTTTCGTGGGCCGATTACGCGAATCTCGAATTGAACTCAACTCTTCTTCGCTGGCCGGTCCGACCTTGACATTGACTTCACCGCTCGCTGATTTCATGCATTCCATTATTTAGGTAAATGTATTACGATAAAGACCGTAACATTTGAGATACTCTGCCGGCAGTTCAACCGCCGAGATTAACGATTAATAAAACATAAGCAATTAATTAAATAAAATCGTTAAGCAAGAGCCGGCGATAACCTCTTCCCATTTGGACGGAGCTTTAAGCGCGAGAATCAGGCAGGGACTTTGGGAAGAGAGAAGACTTAAAGGGGGCGAGAGGGAGGCGGTGATTGAGAGAGAGAACGGCATGCACGTAGTCTTGGGGGTTCCAATTCCCCCCACCGAAAATATGTATTTGTGGCATTCCTAAACCAAATCCGAATTTAAAATGAATATTATTGGAGGTGTCTTAATATACATAGTCATATACTTATTATTTCAATATTAAACTATTATACACAACAAGCTTTGTATAAATATGTATTATAACAAAATGTAGAAGGACCAATCCTAATATAAAAATAAACAAAATAATATTCTAGAAAAATATCTATAGAGAGTTTATTTATTTTTCTCAATTTCCCAAGTAAAAAGATATATGAAAGCTAATCAATGGAAAGATCCCTAAGTTGTCAGAACTTTAATAGTCCTAGTCCAGACCCAAAATATTAGGAGTTTAAAACCCCTGTGAACTTTTTTCGAATACGCTCCTGCCCAAGTAAATTAAGCTTTGGTCAGCTGTGAAAAAGCTGTCCGCATCAGGTAAAAGCGAGTTAAAAAAAAGCAATAAACGAAGGCAGCCAACTGTTGCTGCTGGAACGACGTGTGTGTGGCAAATAGAAAGTAATTCAGTCAGATTGCAGTACAAATATGAACCTGAAGCAACGCACTTTCCTACTGGTGACCGGAGCCTCTCGAGGCATTGGCCGTGAGTTTGCCCAACAACTCTCCGGACGGATCGAAGCCCGGGGATCCGTGGTCGCTCTCTTGGGGCGAAACCAGCCATTGCTGGAAGAGGTCAAGACGCAGATCTTGAACTCGGAGCCCAATCTTGCTGTGCACACATACTCCTTGGAGTTGGGCACAGCTAGAACGGAGGATTTTACCGAGATCCTGGAAAACGCTCGTGGCGAAAAGGAGGCTTTTGAGCGCGCCATCGTGATTCATAATGCCGGAACAGTGGGAGACACCTCCAAGCGGGCCAAGGAGATCGGGGATACAGTCTTCCTGCAGCAGTATTATCACACCAACGTCTTCTCCGCCATTGCCCTGAACTGCGAGTTCATGCGGATGTTCCAGGGCATCCCCAAGTTGGTGGTTAACCTAAGCACTCTGGCGGCCATCGCACCCATATCTTCAATGGCCCACTATTGCACCGTGAAGGCGGCCCGCGAGATGTATTTCCGCGTGTTGGCCACGGAAGAACCAGCTGCTGACACCCTGGTGCTCAACTATGCCCCAGGCGTTATTGACACCCAGATGACCGTGCAGGTACAGCGCGAGGCCCACGATCCAGCCATTGTTGCCATGTTCCGAGAGCAACGGGAGGGTAAAACCATGCTAACCCCGGCTCAAACCACGGAGCGTTTCATCCAGGTCCTGGAGGCCCAGAAGTTCAAGTCCGGGGATCATGTCGACTACAGGGACGCAGCGTTTTAGATATTAGAAATGGCTTTGGTAATGGGAGTTTTGTTTAATCTATAATAAATATAAAACTGTGGTAAATTCGAACTCGATTTTGTACAATTTCAAGAGGAATTAAGTCTGAATTAAACCTGGTGTTATTGTACATTTATTTCAGACATTCCCGCTTCTTTTATATATCTCTTGTCTCTACTAAAATATTATTAAAATTTGGCGACTTGAATACGTAAATCAGACCAAATTGTGAATGAAGATTCAACGTTTCTAGCCGAAAACAGATCTACTAAGCCTGCGGTTATGCTCTTCTTATCAGTCTCTATTGAAATCAAGAGTGTAAAAAGATGAACCACATACAAAAAAAGGTTTTGACTTGAACTGTGGTTGGGGTATCACAAAATTAAGCAGGTATTGAACATTTCCTCTGCTATAATTTTAATTAATTAACGCAAATAAAAATTGTTCAACTAATGTTTTAATGATGCTTCAGTAAGTAATGAAAATCACTTCTTGTGAGGTCTCTGGTATAGAATCCAAGGATTCGAGGGGCAAATACGAATATTTGCTAAAAGAAATCGGCCGCACTGCGTCGCTTGGTGGGTATCTTGAGCAGATCGTCGGTTAGGGTGGAGCCCGTATCGATGGGCGTGCTTCTGGCTGGAGTGCTTATCTTTCCAGGCATCTGTTTGGGTGGACCCAACGGAGTTGTTCCCTTCACAACTCCTGGTGTAACCTTTCGCCTTCGGACGTTCATGGGCGAAGGGGTGTGTGATATGACTGGTGTGCCGCGAAGACCCAATTTCCCGGTGGCCAAGCGCTGGGCTGCCGGCGACATACTCGCCAGGCGATCCATATTGGAGCGAATCAACGGCGAACCAATATTTCGGCGCGCGGTATCCAGAGCCGTCTGTTTTTGGTTGCGCATTTTTTCGCTGACCTTTTCGGCCAAGGCAATGGCTATGTTCTCACGCCGGGAGTTCTCATTGATCCGAAAGGAGGGTCCCTGGGTGGGACGCAGTGGTGTATCGCCGCCATCTAAGCGAAAGGGAGTGCCATCAATCTCTCCCCAGGTCATGATGGGTGAGAAAGCCTCGCCTGGTCGCGGGGATGGTGAGCGCAAAAGATCAAAGCCCCGTATCCGCGGCGTGGCTAGAGGTTCATTAGTCCCAGGAGCTGGAGCCTCATCCGCCTTCTTCACATCCATGTCTCTGTGCTGAGCATCGTACGGAAGCCTAGTGGCCCCATGATGAATGCTTTGCTTCCGCTCCGCAGCTTGAACACGCTCCTCTTCGGTGAACTCTACGCCGTCGGGCACATACATGATTGAGTTCATGTTGGTGTACTTCCAGGTCTCGATTTTTCTGAGGGGATCGGGCTCCTCAAACTGTTTCTCTATACTGGGCAACATCAGAGCCCGTTGCAGCTGCTCTGCGGACAGTTTCTCGTGGTTGTACAGCACGGCGTACTTCTGGCGCAGCTTCGCCTCTGCGGTTTCGATTATCTCCTGGAAACTGTGGTTATCCTCGCTTGTGTAGTTCTGCAGGAAGGCATCAAGGGAGAGTTTTGAGGTGTTGCCTGCCCCGCCTTCGGCGACGCTTTTTTCGGAACCGGCAGTAGAGCGGGGAGTGTCTGTTCGTCGCGAGGGTGGCAATGGAGTGGCGTTGCCGTTGGCCTGGCTCACTGGCGTCTCAAAAGTGGCTGGAGACATGGCTAAAGGAAAGTATGTTCGTAAGTTGAATAGATAACTAATTACTATGGAGTTGTCGCTTAAATACTCACCATTATTGCGCTGATTTTGGCGCCTGCTGCTCCTCCCCGTTCCGGGAATCCTGCCCAGACTGTAGCGCTCCCGGATCTCGGCCATCTGAACGAAATCCCGGCGTGCCTCTGCGTCCAGGTAATCGTTTTGCGCACGCAGTTTTTCTAGATCCGGAAAGAAGTCGCGCTGGATGATCTTCGACATCTCCTCGATATACTTCTCCTCCGTAAGGATCTGAGGCTTGTTTCTCGGAACCACCATATCGGTGGGTTTCTTGAACTCTGCCAGTGCTGTGTTTTGGACGCGAGCCACCTCCATAGCCAGGCTTCCGGGCGTCGCCGGCGTTCCGGGTGTCGCAGGTGTTCGTGGCGTCTGCATCATGGCTCAGACCAAACTTTTACGCCAAAAAATTTCACAACTGTTTCTCTTGTTTTTATGAAATTGTTGTTTGGCGTTAGCGGTGGCAGAAAAATAAACATTACATCGATATATCGATGGCCGAACATTAGTTTTAGTTATCGATAGATTTGTATTATTTTTTAATATTTTTTAAGTGAAGCAGAGTGAATTTTAATAATAATGCAAAGAATCAACTATTTATATTTAAAGTGAAACAAGAAATAAAAAAAATCATTATTTACAGCTAGTACGTCGATGGTTTTCCTCTAGTATGACAGAACAACCCAAATTTCAACGATCTGGCAAGGAGCACACCTAACAAACACATATTCGTTAGGCGCGCATTTTTAAATTCAGAAAAATTTACATTACTTGTATATACACACTCTTGTTTTTAAAGAAAAATGAATATTAAGAAATAATTGAAATATATAAAATATAGTTCATTTTTTTGCTGAAGTCGGTAATTTTCTGTTTTCTCGGACTTTTTAAATTTCCATGCTCTATTTAATACAGATTTTAAACATTTCAAAATATAAAATGTTGATCTATTACTTATACTTAAATAAATATTAAATAAAAATTGATTAAGGTAACTTTGTAACTTGCTTGCCAACCAATATGATAATAATTAAATTATGTTACTACAAATAGAAGCTTAGTCATTTTAAAATGAGATATATAGACTGTCTTAAAATATAATACAAAACCTTTGGTTAATAATGTATTATTATTTAAATGTGTATGTGTTTCCAATTGAGTTACCTACCAATAAGAACCGGAAATAAATCGTACAAATAGCTCAAGTGACTTCAAATGGTTAAAAACTATACAACAAAAATACTTATATATAGTTACGACTTACCACTGAATCACTGGTCGTAGGTTCCAGCAAGCTATATCTTATCAGCTGCGTTACCCATGTCGCAGACACTATCAGCAAGCTCGCAGCAAGCTCCGAGTCCGTACTCCGCCCCGAAACACACCTGGCTAGAGCTGGAGCACACAGTCCGCTGGATTTTCCACCAGTCTAGAGCCAGCCTTCGTCGTTAGCCGATCGCCGTGAATTTAATAAATTACCTAGTTTAACTCCGTCTCCGAGATCGACATAGAAATTTAGTCATGAAGTACTACCTGTTGGTGATTGCAGCCGTGTCTTTTCTGACCTACATCAGTTGCGGTAAATCTTGCCCTTTTCCCTATTTTTTTTTCAAACCATGTGTTATATTTTTTTTAATATTAAATTTGTTCTAACGGTGTAGTGCATTATGTAATAAGGTGTGGTGGTCTCATGGACGTAAAAATAAATTCGAACAGCGGCATATCTTATCGATAGCCGATAGCCTATACATATATGTGTATATATTGGGCCTTCAACCGTTTTAACTTGGCCTAAAATTCTTTTTTTTTGTGTGTGTGTTTGTACAGCCCCTAAATGAAAATTTGTAAATGGTAAAGTGGTGGAAAGCTAAATCCCGAGTGACCTCGAGTCAGCAAGTTGGTTTGCAAAGTGCATATTTATTGCAGTATCTCGTTATTTATACTCTTTTTATACTCTTGCTGGGTATTAAAATTTAAGTCAAAAGTTTGAAACGCAGAGGAGTCATTTTCGACTCTAGCAATACAATTTTGATCAGCATCAACCGCCGAGTCGATCTAGCCATGTCCGTCTGTCCGTCTGTCCGCTTCTACGCAAATTAGACTCTCAGATTTTAAGCCTTTTTGGTTTTGATATTATTTAATTTTTTTTTTGTCGATGAAAAATAATTAAGTGCTTCAGCGATTTAGGACTTTCTCCAAAATCGGGAAGTTAGGTCAATTTCTGTTTTTTAAATGTTTGTTTAACATATTTAACAAAACAAAGCCCAGAAATTCGTTAGCAATCTGCTTAAAAATATTTTTACTTTGTTAAAAGGAATTGAATAGTATTTGGGAATTGCCAAAAGGAAATATAAAATCATACAACTATAATATAAATCAAATACCAGCATAGTGTGTAATTTATCTAATTTTTAAAGCATAAAAAAGCTAAATAATAATTGAAGTTTTTGATGTTTCAAATTAAACCTCATTAAAACCTTTAAATTAAAGCTAATTTGAACACTTTAGAACTGTGTGATGATTAAGTAAAGTAAGCTAATTTACTTCACCTTACTTATAGTTTCCTAATACTTAAATTGTAAATTTACTTAACTTATCTCATGTGTGAGACATAAATATATGTATACGATGTTGACTCATTTTGGTGCCTATATACATTGCCGATAAGAATCGATTGCGGTAATGTGAAAAAAAGGAGAAAATAGATAACAAATGGAGGGCAGTACAGTGCGTGCCATGAACAGCTGGTAGAAAAGCATTTGAGAGCATTTTTGAAAATTAAACTTAATTAATAAAGTCATTTTGAATATTTTTATGGTTAAGTAAATGGTTTTACTTTACTTTCGTCTTAAAAGCTTGTTTTTAGCTTGTAGTTTCCAGAAAAATACATGAAGAAATAGTTTAAAGTCAATATCAAATTTAATTCAATAAGTCGTTTTTGGAAACAATTAGACTAGAATTTATCTAAAGCAATTATATACCCTTTATAAGGGTATAAATTCATACGCTTGGGAGCCACATTTATAGGAATATGAACCTTGGACACCTTGGATGAGAGAGAGTAGTTACTACCTTGTTTTTTTTAATGTGTTTGTGGGAAAGCTGAGTACAATCATTACTCTGTAATCTAATCAGGCTCCGGTTCCGGCTCCGGCTCCGTTCCCCTTGCTCCATTCGCAGATGGTTGCATTCAGTGCAACTCGAAGACCAACGAACGCTGCGCCACCGATCCGGTGACCCTGCTCAATCGCAACTGCTCCGATGGCTCCTCCAACTGCTATTCCCGCATCGTGGGTGAGTTGTCTCCCAAATGTTTAACTAATTTCGAATTTAATAAATTTAAATGCTTCTCAGATGGCTACACGATCCGTGGATGTGCCGCCGATCTGGACAATGCCACGCGAGCGACCTGCAACAACGAGCTGGTGTGCCAGATTTGCACCTTCAGTGAGGGATGCAACCGGAACACTTTCCCGCTGAGCCGCGCCCAGTGCCTGCAGTGCTCCGGCAACTCGACGTGGTCGGTGTGCGCCAAGGAGACCTACAGCCTGGCCTCCATCTGCCCCATTTACAAGTTCGGCGATCAGTGCTACATCCGCAACAGCAATCGCACCGTGGACGGATCCTTCCAGCGCGGCTGCCTCAGCTCGGCCCGTGCCCAGAAGCAGTGCGTCAAGGATGGTAACTGCTTCACCTGTGAGGGACGTGGCTGCAACTTCCTCGCCGCCAATGACACCCAAATCCCATTGGCCCGCGACTCTGCCGTTCAGGTGGCACTCACCTTCTCCCTGATGATCGCCGGTCTCCTGGTCGCCGGACGAGCCTAAGGACTGTCACTTGGGAACGATCACAGCTTCCTCCTGCCCTCTACTAATCCGCCAGCTCCTCCTCCTGCTCTTCTGTCGGCGGCGTCATATTTTCCCCAACAGCATTATACATTTATTTGATACACTATTTTTTTTTACTTACTTTTGAACAAAAAGAAATAAAGATGGAAGTTGAATGAGGAAGAGAATGAGTGGAAAATAATCATTTATTTTGGGGAATATTTCGGGGAAAACATGACAATAGTTTTGATATCCTACTGGAGTGGAGACCTTGCACATAGAACTTCGATCACAATGAATTAATATAATATAAATTATACATATTTAAAAGAAAAAATGTAATGCCTGCCTTTATTTTATTCACTTTTACAGTTTTACATTCACAGTTTTTCATTTCCCCTATATCTAATGATCGTTTGTATGGGAGCTATATGATATAGTAGTCCGATTTCCATAAAATCAAAAAGAAAAATCTAGAATAATATAAAATGGATATATCTTAGATTTCTTAAAATCTTTTGAAAAATAAAAAAGTTGTAATTTATTTGTCAAAATTTTCCGATCATTCCTATGGCAGATATATGATATAGCCATCCGATCCGGCCCGTTCTGACATATATACGAGTGAGAGTATATGAAAGACTGACTACAAAGTTTCATTCAGATACCTTTAAAACTGAGAGACTAATTTGCGTAGAAACGGACAGACGGACAGACGGACAGACGGACAGACTGACAGACGGACAGACGGACATGGCTAGATCGACTCGGCTGTTTATGCTGATTAAGAATGTATAGACTTTATATGGTCGGAGGTGACTCAATCACTGCGTTGCAAATTTCTGACTGAAATTATAATATCCTGCAAGGGTATAACTATTTAATTCTTATTTTTTACAAGCTTCTCCCTTGTTGGCTTTGAAAACTCGTACTAAATTTTAATGAGAGAGTGGCAATAAAATTGATCAAACGGTTCGGTTTTTTACGAGGTGTCAATGGGCGACACTTGACGGCATACCGAGCTGCAGTTGACACTCTTCTCTCCTCTATGGATCCCGCCGATCCCTACCAGAATCGGAATCGGAGTCAACGGGAGTGGGAATGAGAATGAGAAGCAGAAGCAGGACCAGAACCACATCCAGAACCGGAAGTTCTCTCCGCCAATGAGGGTTCATAAATGTGTCGACGCCTTTCGAATGTTTGTCAATTAATTTTCATGGCTCTCTTTTCCGGGGCCATTTCCAATCGAAATGGATGTGCGGAAATAGATCAGTGGCTTGGGGCTGAATTATTTTGGAGGGGAAAGAAACAGGCAACCAAAGAATATTCATTATTGAATATTTGAATTTCAGTAAAATTAAAATGTGCTTTAATTATTTATATTGATATAAAGGAGTTTATTGTATAAACACATAAGGAGCTAGTGTATACGACTGTAAAATACCCGCCAACCAATGCTGTGTGCGTTTAACTACAAGTAATACCATTCATCAGTAAGTCATAACTTATTCATCAACTTACTTACAACCAATAATTCATTAATGATTCATTGTTAACCAAAAAATTTGTCTTATTTCCCTTTTTTTGTTTTTTTTTATTGTTCACTTTATATAAATAATTTAATGCTATCTGTGTAATTTAGTTTATAAGTTTTAGTTATAACTTTTATAATTTTTTTTTTTAAATAATTATTTTCACAGTTTTCTATATGCTTATACTGTTGTAAAACAAATACTCGTGTTATAATCAAAGAACCAATAATTTTAAAAACGTCAGAAATCTACTAGCAAACTCAGATAATTATAACTTTTAGTGTATTATTAGTGTTAGGCTTTGGAATAAACCATCAAATTACCGTATAAAAAGCGTAAAGGTGCCACATTTCAAAAATTAGATTATAAAAAATTTCGCATCATAATGTTAACCATAAGTAAGAATACAAAATTTTAATTAAATAAAATAGTAGAAGACGAAAATTGTTAGATTAAGAAATGTACTTGACATCATATCATTTTTTGACTAGTGCAATAAATATAAGATTCAAATTTGTCGCAACAGGAATAATTAATTAAATAAATAAATAGAATTTGTTACAAAAAATATAACTTCTTTTACTTTTGACTGTTACAGTGTATTCCACCAAACTCCTTCAAAAGTTAAATGCAAATGAAATGAGTTTTTATATACTACATATTTCTTTTTGATAAGTGCAATTAAAATGTAAGAGCGTTACGCATCTTATTGCTACCTTATTACTATCTTAGTACCACCTCTTAGGATAAATCAAGCTCTTAGGAACCCCAAGCCTTCTTGAATATTTACAATATTTTATTAACTTCAAATATCACATTGGATTGGTATATAGTATAGTAGTGTTATGTATATATAGTATCTGTTTTCACTCACACAAAAGGAAAATAAAAACCAGGTGTTTTCAGAAATGATTTCATCTGGTTTCTTTAAATTGCTAACATTAACCGTAAATAAAAAATAAAGTTAAATAAAACGTATAAACGAAGAAATGCCAACCAACATCGATGAATCGCAGGTATATTTTCACTATGATAATATGGCAAATTTAGATTTCAATTCGGTAAAATGGTTCGTGTGGAGTTGGCCAAAATTTGAAATTGAAACGCAGTAATAAAGACAACCCACAATGGAAACAATTCTTCTACTTATTTTTCCGGTTTTTCTTGACATATTTCTTGGAAGTCTTCTTGCGACTGCTTGACTTTGAGTTCTGCGTATCGCTGGACTCTTGAACTGAATCCTGTTCCAACCCCGACGAACCCTTTGATGGCGAAGCAATCGGTTCGTTGTCCAGGACAACCGTTTTCGTCTCAGGCGCGATGATCTCTTCGGACATCTGGATGTCCTTGGCGAGTCTGAAGAGATCATCATTTGGTGGAACAAAAACCGGTTCTTGGGGTCCTTGGGGTTCCTGGGGGTTTAGGGGTTCTTGGGGTTCTAGGGGTTCCTCCTCAGTCTCAATCAGATCTTCGGATTTATTTCCGTTCTTTGGACGCCTATAGACAGCTAGAAAGTCCAATTCACTAGAGGAGATCGATGTGACATCCTCCACGTCCTCCACCTCGATGTCCGGCAGTTTGCTGCACGTCAGACTGGCGAGCGACAGATGGAGCTTGTGGCTCCTCCCGGAGCCCGGATCAAGGGCACCGCCCTCATGCTCTTGATCGGCCTCCTGCATCAGGAGCTCGCCAGCCCGCTGCAGTTCCTCCAGCTTGTCCAGCTCATCCTCCCGCTCGCGCAACTGCTTGGGCGTGAAAACCAGCGGCTGCCAGTAGAGGAGCAGCGTGGACATCCGCTTCACGCCCACCTCCTCGAGCACACTGTGGTTCTCCAGCAGGCTACCCTTGTAGGTCAGCCGGCTGAACCCCATGGGCACGGCCATGTGCATCCCGATGCGGGCCTTCAGCTGGGCCACCGTCCCAAAGTGGTCCAGCTCGTACAGGGTCTTTCCTCCGTCGCGGGTCACCACGTGGACAAGCATCTTTCGCATCTTTCGAGTGGCTTAATTTTGCGCTGAATACGTATGGGTCCGATCAGGTCAAGGAAAATTTTAATCTGAACTTGCTCGCCCAAAAATGCCGTCGTCGAAATGATATTGTAAAGCCAAGGCACTCTGCGGCGGCATTTTCCACCCCCACCCTTCTGAATTGCAGGTCTCAATGGGACATTTTTGGAAATACTATATGTGAAATAAAAAGGAAAAGCGTCTACGATCTTAAGATTCATGGAACGAATCCTTAGGCGGGTGTAGGAAGGATATATCACACTTTAAGCCTCTCCAAATCTAAGTTCAGGTGTATGATATTAAGATATTTTATAATAATAACTCTAGATACCAAATCAATTTTTAGCTAACATTTATTTTCTATAATATTATACATTATAATATTAAAATTCCATCAGTTTTCTGTAATTTTCAAACTCATCTCGAGGTCAAATCAATTAGAATTTCTGAACCTACGCACTTATCAAAGTCTAAATAAGTTCCCCCCAAAAGTAATAATTTAATTCTCAACTGTTTGTACTTAAACAAATAATTAAAAAAGTAATGGCATTGGCAATACAATAACGATTTATCAAATTTATAAGCTATTTATGGACTTTACTTTGGGTTTTGGATCAAATCGCATCTGAGAAACGAACGATGGCGGCGGTACTGAGTACGGAAAATGCCAAAAAACAAACGAAATTCGTTCGGAAAAGCAGCCACTTAACTCAAATTAATTGTAAACAGAGGCGGAAGAACCCAAAAACATCTGAACGAAAATGGAATGAAAATCAAGGAAAAACATAAGCAGATACAAAAGCAGAAGCAGCAGCAGAAATGGCAGTTCCATAAATGGATAATGGATAAATCCTGGGAGCAACTGGATGCGGAGATTTATATGGAGGAGGAAGGTAAACAAATGCGCTCAGGTGGAAGCCCAAGTCCAGGTACCTACCGTTAATTGAATGCCCGTGGCTGATGGAAAGCAGACCCCTTTTTCTTCAATTTCCATTTCGATTCCAGTGATGCCAAAGGGGGGCCAAGGAGGGTTCCATTCTGCCGCAGGGCAGAGTCCCCGTGGATCTAACGGCAAACAGACGCCATTTTAATGGAGCCCCATCGCCGCCTCTCCTTCACTCACTCGATCTCGCTCTCTCGCTCTCTCTTCGTTTCACTCACTCACTTTACACACGAAAAAAAAACAAAGTATTTCTTTAATTTTGAAAAAATATAAACATATCCAGGTAAAACAACCTTTAAAAATAAATAAATAGAGCATAAATTAACCTTAAATCTATTTTTGTCCATCAAAACCCTTGAAATTTTACCACAGTCCACAGTAAAATCAATTAAACTATTCGATAAAGTGCACAAAGACTCACTTTTTATGTAAATGTTTATTTATTAAGCCATATAGTAATATAATGCTTAAAACATTCTTTTGTTAATTGATTTTGTATATTTATTTAATTAATCTTTATGCTGCAAATCAAAATAGTTAGTAATTAGTGCATTAGTCACGAAGGAATACATTAACTTATATTATAATAAAATGTATTTATTTATTTATTTGCATATTATATAAAAATATTATACATTATATTATATATAAAGAATAGAACTTAAGCCAAACATTTTTTATTCTTATTACCTAAATATACATATTATATATAAATTCTGAAGGCCATAGGCGTTCTGGCTCACGTCATTGCAAAAGGGAATTGTGTTCTTTATTTTTAATAAATATAAATAATAAATATATTATTTAGAAATTGTATTAATATTTTAATAATTTTGATTTTATGGATTTATTTAATATATATCTATTTATTTATTTATTTTCCTTTTTTATAAATTAAAATCTATTAATTATTATCCTAGTGCCTTGGTTATTTTGTTTTGCTTGCTTATTTTATATGCTTACCTTATGGTCCTATAATTAATTAATTTATTAGTTAATCTTGGACATATCAAGTTATTTGTCCCATTTGAAAGCATGTTTATCATACAAATAGTTTGGATTAAATCAGGCTTAAGTAAAAAAAAAATATTAACTGTCAAGTGGGATACATGATCCAGACGTCTAACACTAAACACATATCTGTTAATTGAGTTAAAATAAGAATACAAATTACAGAGATTGTTTTATCATGATTAATTATTCTTAATTCAAAAAGTTTGATAAATAATACGTACAAGAGTGTTTATGAGTTATAGTGAATTTACCGGGGCCCCTATTGTTGTATTGTTTTTTTCCATTTTTCTAATTTAAAAATAAAAGTAAGAAGTCAAATACTTTATTTTACGATAGGCTTTTTAAGATAGGCTTTATTTCAAATAAACTAGAATATTCGGATCAAAAACTATTGTTTGTAATATCATGAACTAGTTTTTGGTATATTGGGTTTGTAAAAAACCCGACTTGCGTACCTAAGGAATTATTTAAAAGAGTGCTGTGCAAAAACAATTGATCCAGTAGATTTTTAGTTATCATGTAATTATCTTTCAAAATTATACTTTCCGGAGGTAGTTTTAAGCTTTTTGATGGACATACAAATGATCAAATTGTTCGTAAGCTTTTCTATGATAGCTGTAAAACTATTTAACAAAATTCTGAAAATCGTAGAAATTTAATAATATTTTTTTTTTTTTTGTACATAACGACAAATAAATTAAATAACTTACCCCCACGTAAAATATATCACTGATTTATGTACCAAAACCAATCGTACAATAGAGGATCATAATCGAGGATTAAACATTTAACATTTAACAATTTAACATTGAAAAATCCTACCTTGAAGAGGTAAAAGTTTTGTTACAATGTACAAATTAAATGATGTTAAACATTTGTTTATAACTAGTGAAATATATAAAATTAATAAACATATTTCTCCCCAATTTATTAATATATCTATCGGACTAAGTCATAATTTCTTGTCGATTTTTCTCGCAGTGCTTTCCATTTCACTGCCTTAAGATTCCGTTTTTCTCTTTACGGTTTATTTAGTGTCGAGGTTATGGCGCAATTTGTATTTATGGCCACTGGTAGTATCACTACCACCGCGGTTCTGGGATCAGATCCACTGCAGCATCGCATTGGCCGCAGTTAAATTTGAAGCACTTTTCAAATGAGGCGCATGACTCAGGTCAGCCACCCCCTTCGCCCTCGGGTTACGCCCATGACTCCCCATTCCCTTCCACGAAATGTAAACAAAAACAAAAATACTAAAAGAGAAGATTCACCACCCCTTCGACCCACTTCTGCTGCTCCATAGACCACGCCTCCTCGAGAAGAAAGAGAATCGGATTCTTCAAAGAATCAAAGTAGAAAATCATGAAAACGCAGCGGAAGAGAGCCTGGGGAGAGTCTACAGTGAAGAGTGGTCTTCTTGGGAAAACATAAAAATATTGACATCTTACATAAACAAAAACTCCTCAAACGTATCCTTATTTATTTTAAAAGATAAGAAAAACAATCTACATTTAATCTCAGTGAAGGAGACATATTCAAGATCTATTCTTGACCAGCTATAACTGCCAACAATCTAGGTTTGGAAAAATGTTTGCAAACATAAGGTGGATAATTCTAAACATAAATGGTACAAGAAATCATACTTCACCAGCATTTTTGAAACATAATTGGAAGAATGTCGGAAATCTTTTTAAATTGATTTAGATAAAATGTTATAATACAAAATGGTTTAAGATATTTTTTAACTTCTTATTATTCATAAAAAATAATGTTTCTAGATTATGTTAGTCGTATTACTAGTTTTTGTAATCTTTAGTTTGTGTTCTTATCGATACAAATAAAAATATTACAGCCGTTTGTTAATTACCAGGTAACGACTGCATATTCCTGACTAGCAACAACAGTCGAGCCGATTTAGCCATGTCCGTTTATCCGTTTATACGCTCGTCGAACTCTCGGTTTATAGTTGTGTCTACGGACGGAACTTTCCAAATAGCCTTATTTTTATATGTACATTAAATGACCCGAAACCGAAAGAACCACCATATTATAGTTCTCATAGAAATTATGCGAAAAAATTAAGTAAATAATGTAAATTAAAAAGTAGAAAAGCTAAAGCCGAGTTTAACTGAATAAAGATACTAGATATTTACAAACTTTTACTCGAAACATGTTGCGCAACATCCAAATAAAAAAAAATGTTGCTAGGAACTTGGTCAGCAACATCCATTTTACTATATATCGGACCGAATCTACCTACCATATCTTATACTTTTCATTTAACTGATAAATAAAATAATTATTAAAACAAATAAAAAAATGAACTAACAAAATAAATAAACAAATGGAAAAGCTGATTTCGAGTGTAAAGGACTGCAAATACGTGATATTCACAAAAAATTACTAAAACATGTTGCGCAATATCCATATAAAGACACATGTTGCTAGGAACATGCTCAGCAACATCTATTTATGATACCAACCAATTATAGATGTTGCAGAAGTTCAAAGCTCAAAACTAATATAATTTTCTTATAAGTTTGTATATTTGTGATACATTTGACTTAAATTTATAGAAAACTAAATTCTTTACCCTAATACCTGGTACTTGGTATAATAAAAAATAGTTTATTGTTTTTTTTTTAACGAATTAACATATACTCATAAGTATTTTATATTTTCAGAATCGGCCAAAATTGGAAAAAGTATTTAAAGTAATATGAAAATGTTTATGTTTGGGTAGGTACAAGTGGTTAGGCTCAATTCATGAGCCTGTAATTAGAGCTAAGATCCTCTTTAATTCACTCCCTCTGTTTTTGTGTAAAATATACAAGATTATATATATATTGTATATAAAATGTATATATTTTGGGTATTTTTTAACATGGACTATAAGTTATAGTAACGGCTTTGTTAATTTGCAAGCAGTAAGCTATTTAATTTATTTCACTCATTTGCATTCTCCCCAAGAATCATACAAATTATTTATAGATTTGGCAACCTTATCCTTTAACATACCTCATATTTTAAAAGTTTATTGTTCAGAATTATAAAAACTTTATCTTTAACTTATCCTTTAACATACTTTATATTTTAAAGGACTCATAATTATAATCTCTGCAATCTTCACTGTATGCAAACATCTGGTGATGGCGCTACTTTAAGTCCGTGCGGCATTTCCCTCAAAGTGTCCAAATTACACGATGCACCCATCGAAGGGGACAACACATGTCGACTTAGACCCCGGCGGAGATCTCGATATAATGAGAGATCTTGGTCCCTCGGCCATTGGTGGATCGCCTGGGACTGGGATCGAGTCTAAATTTGGATGCTGCTCGCAGACGATTGGCTGGGCGACTCTTGAGGGACTCTTGTGGGTGGGAAATGGAAAGACTCGAGAGGATGGGATCGGTATCGATCCCCGATGGGTACTCTCATTCGGCGGACAAACGCTTGACGGAACGGATGTGTGTGATGTGTGATCGCTGCGATCAGATCAGTGCCAGTATCAGTGTGCGATTGTGAACGGATCGGCGGAATATATAATAATATATGCGGATAGTGCAGCGGCGGAAATCAGTTCGCACTTGGCCGGAAGAAGGTGGCAATTGAGACAACTCAACGCCTTCGACCAGGCGAAATTCAAAAACAAAAACAAATAAAACAAGTTGAAGTCTATCAATCGATCGATCGTGGCAATTTGGCGATCAATCACGGACAAAAGAAAAAAAAATAAATAAAAAACCGCCAGTCAACGCAATCGGGCCATAAAATCGAGGCGTAAAATTTAAAATAAAACAAAATAAAGCTAAGAAAACAGCGCAAGAATATTTTTTTGTTTGGTATTTCGAACTCGATCTCGATTCTGATTGACAACTGCGAAAGGTTGTGGTGATTTTTCAACAGTTTTCGAATAAAACTCTTATTTTTTTGCAGTGCCGCGAGTGAGTGAGTGATGCTGTGTGTGCAATAATCAAATTTGACAACTGCGCGAAAAACGTTTGAGATCAAAACAGGCAGCCAAGAAAGAAACAAAACCAATCCATATAAATGGGCCAAGAATAAAGAGTTTTGTGCAATTTCCTTCTAATTTTTTTTCCTGTGACCGCCACGAGAGATATCCAAGATATTCATATAGTATATAGCATAGAATGACTCACCTGATGGGTCCCACGGAGTGCGCCAGTGCCATGATGACGCCCTCGATGCAATTCCTGGACAATGGCCTTGGTGCAAATCTCACGGATTACAGTTGCTATGCGAACGATTTCTGGGTCACGCCCTATATGCCCGGCGATCTGAGTCCCATGAAGCAAATCGAAGGTGAGTTCCTAAGAGTCCTACTTTGGGCAGATATCCTGACGACCATCCTTCCCTTAATGACAAACATATCGAACTTTTACTGTGATAATCTCGAATCTTTTAATAAAAATAAGGACTTCTCCCAGAGCAGATAATATCAATTTAACTAGATGTAATTCCCAACTGAATAACACTATGGCAGGGCACAGGGTTCCTTCATCTATCTTTATAATATTATTTGTCTAAAGAACCCCACTTAATTAATACAGATGTATGTTTCAGTAAATCCTTTGGATTTTTCTCAAAAGAATAATAGAAAATATATAGAGTATATAACCTTATTTTTAGCAAAGTTTTAGTGATCGTCTTACGGTATTAAATGAGTCAAATAAATAAAGTGTATTTTGTATATATTTTCTTAGTACAATAATAATTATTGCAAAATGTTATATGCCGGAGTTATGGGTCCTTCATAAGACCATTTTTTTCAAAAGTAAACTTCCGGTAAAAGGTTATGATTCCAAAATAAAAGCCAAGAAAATTAAATATGTTTCCATATGTTTCAAAATGAATTAAGCTTCTTAAGCCTTATTTCTAAACTCACAGTCAAAGTTCCTGCTAGTTATTTGGCCGGAAAATATAACTACCAGATAAACTTCACATAAATATATCAACTTAAAATTGCACTTCCTATAATGTCTTAATTTGTTCTTAAGCTATGGAATCCTGATCATGTTCGGATTCGGAAAAGATTTGTCAGGGAGTTAGGCATTTTTAAACTGAACATAGAAACATAGAAACTTATCAATAATTTATAAATCTATAATGCACCATAGAGTATACAACATATTCACACAGAAAACAGAATTACAGGATTATTACTATAGGTTCTGAAAAACTTTTATTTCCTAAAAAGAAACCAATTTTCAATGACAAATATCGATTCTCTCCTTACGCAATAAGAAAAATAAGGCAATTTTATCCAAGAATTATTTGAAATAAAAAGATATATGATATAAAGGATATACATAGATATCATATTCCTATCCATGTTCCTATCCATGATATATGTACACATATATATAATAATCAGCAATAATCGAGCAATAACCTTAGAGTAGAGTCTCCTCTGGGTATTTTACGGAACTGGAAAATCAAATATTAATATAATATTATAGTAGTAAAAGCCAAAAATTAAATTTTAAAAAACTTAGGGTGTCATATATGTACATGTCTTAAGTGCAGAATTGGCAATATTGAAAGCAATACAATAAGCACTTTAAGAATTGTTAGTTATTTTTCAGATCAAGAAAAATTCGAGCTAAAAAAGTGATGAACTCAAAAGATATTATATATATGTACGTATTATAGTGAACAATTTGTATTATGGTTTATATTAGGATTTGTTTTTAACTTTGTGGTACACTGTCAAATTCTCCATCATCAAACCCTTCCGGTACTTGTTTAAAAAGCAAATAGTTGATAAAATATAAACATATATATTACAGTTCTAACTAAAGAATAAAAATGTTTTAAATAATAATATAAATAGTATTGATAATATTGCATTTATTATCAGTAAATAATTGATAAAATATGAACAATTTTATACAGTTTTAACTGAACAATAGAAAATTCCTGTAAATAATAATATAAAAAGTATTGATATTATTTAATTTAGTATCAATAAATAAGTAATGCGAAACAAAGAAGTACAAACAAGAGCTTGTAAAGAGTGTCTCAGAGTCCATCCTTTGTTCCGACGTATTAAGTATAAATAAATTTTTAAACAGTTTTTAAATATTTAATAAAAACATAGTTTGATAGTAAACATAGTTTATTCTTCAAGTAAAATGCCACGTGACAAGTTTCGATCTGGATCCAATCATTTGTTAAGGAACCCAGTCTTTTCTTCTACGGATTTTGTTTCCGATACAGTAATTACCAAAATACACGAACCATGGCAGTTCGATGGAACAAACAATGGGAAAAACGAGAAGCCACAAGACCAAAAAACCAAAAAACCCAGAAAACCAGAGCAATTAGCTCCGAATTCCGGGATCCGAGATTCTCAAGTGGCATTTTTCCGCCGGCCGGCTGGCCGTTGTTGTTGTTTGATGTGACAGGAAAACGATTTGTTGTGCCAAACGGTAATTGATTTTAGAATTCATTCGTGAAGCGGTACACTACAGGAGATGTAAGGAATAAAATTTAAAAAAAATAGCTTCTCATTAAGCGATAAAACAGCGACCTGTCATGGGTCATTGGCAGCGATGCCACAACGCCACAACTCTCTGTGAAGACGGCGACAATTAATTGCAAAATTTACACAACACACGACCGCCAGGCGTACTTATTCCCTCACAAATGAAATAAAAAGCAAACAAACAAAAAACCAAATAAATAAAAGAAATTACAAAATAAAGGAGAGGGGAGCCTAAATTTAGAGCGTGCAACTCAATCAGCAGCCCGCTGCCTGACGCCTTTTTTATAATTGGATATGTTGTCCCATTTGTTCCGAAAGCCGCCTCATTATATGGGACGATGGCATCGCCCAGGTCCTGGTCCTGGTCCAGATCCACGGCCGGAGTCCGGAATCCCAGGGATTTCCTTCTGTATCTGCGCCGGCGTGGCGTCTCACTTCCACTTTAAATCGCATAAATCATCGCATAAATGTGAAATTAGCCAATCTCGGCGACTATATATAAATCCATTCACGTTTCTTCTCCACTGTGTATACAATGTGCGACATATCTGATTTATAGGGATATATATTCCATCCATTTGTCAGGCACAAGTTTTTCACGTTTTCTATTGGAAATAAGGCTATGCATTTACTTTTCATTTCTGTTTTTTAAGATGACTCCATTTAAACCAATTCGGAACTAAGAACTAATACGATTTTAGATATGTTTAAAGCATCTTATTCTTTAGAGTGAAAAAAACATAAGTATGTAGAGTGAAAAATAATTATAGCTAAATATTTCGAAAATTGGTGAATTTTTGTTTCGAAATTAATAATATTTGGACTTATTATTGAATAAGCCAGTACTTTATACTTAAGGAATTAAATAGCAAAGAATGCCAAACTGTGCAATTTGAAATTAGGATCAATCGTTGCTATCTATATGATCTATAAAAGATTGATATATAAAAGGAAAAGGATTCTGTATATTTTTGTCGGTATTGTCTTATAAAATTTCCTATAGTTTTCTTAGCAGCAATGTGATAGGTCACTCAACTTTGAAAACACTAAACTAAATAAGAAAACTAGTCTTATTTTATTAATCTAAATTATGTTAAGTTATAAATCGGAAACAATAACATTATAAGTGCTCAAGTATTTAAATTCACAAATTTCTCCTCTAATCGTTTTACAAAACAAAAATCTGTGTTTCCGTTTTCACTTTAAAAAAATTTTGTTTAAATTAAAAAAACCAGAAACTTTATTTTTGCGAAATAGAAAGTAAATGCTATTTTCTACATTCAATCGAATCTTATTTGCAAATGAAAAGTTTACACTATAATAATTAAAACTATTTAAATGTTTTCCCGTCCATTTTTTATGCGATTTTATGAGAGCTATATGTTTGATGCCGAGGTTTAATTTTTAAATTTTTTACCATTAGAATCGCAATTCTTAATTTATAAAAAAGGCTATAGTGCACAGTAAATGCTTTTTATTTTAATCATATTTCACTCCTATTAAGGTTATATGATTTAGTACATAATGTATTAGAAATGTGAGTACAAAATTTATTTATTTAATACTTAATCATTTATATTTCAATACATTTTAAGCAATCATTATAAATTAAACCATTTAATGTTAAAGAAAACTTATATTTATTAAGCCTGAAAATTATTATTCTTTTCTGTACATTTTGACAAATTTGGTTTATAAAACTTAAAGATTTTGTTATGGATATTAACGACTTATAAACATATTTATATTATATTATATTATGCCTTATTAAATATTATTATTATGCCTCAACATATTTATATTAATCATACATATAAAAAAAGTTCTCCATTAAGCCTTAAAAAAAATATGAAAATTAAAGGAACAATTATATTTGCGCTGTAAATTGATCCTTTTTATTGTTTTTAGAACTGGTAACAATTGAATTATAAATATATTATATATATATGAATTAGAATAAATAGATAAATTATACAGGTGGAAAAAAATCGCATGACCAAGAACCAAAATATATTTTTCCGGAAGTTTTTCATGCTCTGAACTGGAATCCCCAGGAGCAGAAAAACGCCTCCTTCTAGATATTTTAACATTGTTGAAGTTGCAGTTTCCAAAAAGTATCTAATTCTTACTTGTTGCACTTTAAGTTTAAAATATTTGGACATAACTTTCTTGTAACTTAACATATTTTAATGTAACCTGATACATGGTTATTTTTTTCAATTTTAAAATACAGCTTTTAATCTAATATAAATCGGACATTTATCATACCTCATTCAATTATTTACTACATAAATCTGTAGTAAACTACATAAATCTGTAGTAGACTTTAAACCCAAGGATCGATTTTTAATGACATAATGACAAACTAAAAGGGTACCTTTTCTTCTTAATAATATTTAATAAACTAGTATAAATGAGAATTTTTATAAATACTAATACTAAACGACACTTGCAGCCTGCATCCAAACGGCGGGCAAGGATCGCAGCTCGTACAAGCCGCTGGAGCAGATCGATGCCAAGTTGGCGGACATCGAGACCCATAGCACGGGAAGCACTGGCACTGCCAATAGCAATCACTCCAGCAGCAGCCACTCCAGCGGCAATCCCCAATCCCATACCAGTTGCCAGGAGCAGTCGCTTCTCCCCGATTATCCTGGCGCCTCCACCAGTGAGGCGACATCAGGAGCAGCGTCAGCCACCTCGGCGTCAGGATCGGCGGGGGCGACGACGGCGACGGGAGGATCTGCCTCCAAGAAATACAAAAGCCAACACAAAAAAGACAGTAACAACAGCACGGAAAATAACACGGGAAAAGCCAACAACAATAGCAACAATATGGGAAAAGGGGTAAGTTAAAGTCAGTTCAATTTAAATGTTGAGATCTATTTTAAGCTGGGATATTACACATCTGAAATAGCTATATACTTACTTATACTATTCCTAAATTATTCCCAAATCTTCTTTTTTGTCCTTAAGGAAGCGGAGCCAGTGCATCCTTCCCTCGCTCAGGCCATCGTTGTGCTGGAAACGAAGACTTTGTGGGACCAATTCCATGCCCAGGGCACCGAGATGATCATCACAAAGACGGGTCGCCGGATGTTTCCCACTTTCCAGGTGCGAATCGGAGGCCTTGATCCCCATGCCACCTACATTTGCATGATGGACTTTGTGCCCATGGATGACAAGAGATATCGCTATGCCTTCCACAAGTAAGTAATGCCCTTCGATATTAATTAAAAAACAAGAAAGAAAGCAAACTTCGGCGCGCCGAAGTTTATATACCCTTGCAGATAGAACTTCTATGAATAAAAAACCATACAATATAAATGATATATATTTGTGTTAAAAAACAATGAAGTAATACCTGCTTTCATTTCATTTACCTATTCAAATTATATTTACAGTTTTACATTCACAGATTTTAATTTTTCCTCTATATCGAACGATCGTTCCTATGGGAGCTATATGATATAGTAGTCCGATTTTCATAAAATTTTATACAAAATTGTAGAGTATAGTAAAATGGCTATATCTCAAATTTGATCAAATTTTGTTGAAAACTGAAAATTTTATAATTTTTTTTTTTTTAAATTTTCTGATCACTCCTATGGCAGCTATATGATATAGTCGTCCGATCTGGCCCGTTCCGACTTATATACATACGAGTGAGAGAATATAGAAGACTTACTACAAAGTTGCATTCAAATAGTGTCAAAAATGACAGACTAGTTTGAGTAGAAACGGACTGACGGACAGACGGACATGGCTAGATCGACTCGGCTGTTTATATACTTTAAATGGTCGGATTCTGATTCTGATTCTGACTGAAATTCTAATACCCAGCAAGGGTATAAATATAACTAAAAACAAGATAAAATCGAGTTTATTGAGAAGTATTCAAAGGTTTTAGTTAGTTTAGTTATTTGGGAGGTATAAATAATATAATACTTTTTAAATAGCTCCTGTTGGGTGGTGGCTGGCAAAGCGGATCCCATTTCCCCGCCCAGGATTCATGTGCATCCCGATTCACCTGCTGCCGGCTCAAATTGGATGAAACAAATTGTGTCCTTTGACAAACTGAAGCTCACCAACAATCAGCTGGATGAAAATGGACATGTAAGTTATAAAGACAACCTAAAACTAACTTGGAATCTAGGATAGATTACTCAAAAGCTTATAACTCATGTAACTTTTTAGATCTATTTCTGATTTTCTACTATATTTCTTTACTTATCCCTAAGATCATATTGAACTCAATGCATCGCTATCAGCCCCGATTCCATTTGGTGTATTTGCCCCCAAAAAATGCGTCCTTGGATGAAAACGAACACTCCAGTCATTTCCGCACTTTCATTTTTCCGGAGACAAGCTTTACGGCCGTAACTGCCTATCAGAATCAGCGGGTAAGTTTATTTAATTATAAGTAAAGTTTCTAGTTCAGATATTTCAGAGATTGTTGTATCTTTTGGGTTCCTTGTAAATCCCCTCCTCACACTAATTGCCTCGTGCCCCTTCCCCGTGCTTTTCCTCTTAAAATTTTCCAGCTTCTGATTTTCCCTTGGCATACCAAATACCAAAACAAGAGGCCGCGACCATTTTGTGCCATTTTGGCCTCATTGTTTATGTTTTTCCCATAATTTATAACGAGCAGAGCAAGCGGGCAAAGCTTTGGGGCCCCGAACAACAGACCCACAAATATATTTCATTATATATAACAAAATTGTATATACCAGGCCAGAAAAAAAAACGGACATAGACCCTGGAGATACCCTAATCAATAGAAAGTTAGTGGGAAATTTAAATCTGCAAATGAAAATAGCATTTAAGTATTCAAACTCAATTTTTACCAGGCTCTTTCAATTACAATGGAAATTAATGGAAGTTTTAGTTTTTAATTTTTCTAGCAAATTTACGGATAATATTTTCTTAAAAAACCCAAAACTACATAATTTACTTGAAAAACAATTGGGGGATTCAATGTTTGTATTTAAACACATTTGAAAATATAAAGATAAATTGAATAAAAGGCTTCGATTCATGTGTCCAGAAATATTTATTTTCTCAAGATACAAATTAAAATTTGATTAGCCCCTGTGAAGTTTAAAAATATAAGCTTGAATTGCTTTAAAATCATTATTAAATAATATAAAATCGGGCAAACTAAGTGTAATAATTATTTTTCCAAGAATAACTACACTTGTTACTGCAAAACCTGGAACACTCATTCTCAGAAAGTGTGACTAAAGTTGGTGATAAGTATTTGAAAGAATTTAGGGGGAAAAGTTTCCAAGTAAATACACAAAACTCTGTCATTATTTGCAATTAGATATGGATATACAGACACCTTAGTGTTCGATATCTGGGAATAACTCAACCTGATCAGGATGGGTCATACCTTATCGCTGGTTTTAAGTTCAATGACGAAAGATAGCGACTCGAAATCGTTGAATTTCCCGTATTTGTCTTGCGGATAATTCATAATTCTAGCAGGTGGATGGGGTATATTTTCCTTTGGGGGGGAAAACGGGGTTTCGGTACATTTGCTATAAATACCGCCAGACATGCTAGGAAAGTATTTAAATTATTTATGTGCTCGATGTGGGTGTTAACACTCAGCTCACCCCCTTCAAATTTATTGCAAATCATTTTCCATGTCTTCTGGTGTGCCATGGCAGGCATATTTTCCAGTTGTAAACATTTTCCTCTAATTTGTTGGGGGGATCTAATTTATTTGTTTTTGTTTCCAGCATTGCTGGCATAGTTCCCATACTCCCAGTCCGCCTGTCAAATAAAAATACTCTTTCTACATTCCTGCCGTCCACAGGTGACACAGTTGAAGATTTCCAGCAATCCATTCGCCAAAGGCTTTCGAGATGATGGCACCAATGATGTGTAAGTAAACTTTGACTTCTCTATATGATTTTAATTAGTTAATATAGACAATGAATTAATATAAATATTAAATATAATGGGTCACAACAACAAGACCTCATTTACTTATTAGAATCAAATGTATTGCCTATTTGGGATTTCAGAACTAGAGACAAATAATGTGCGATGATTTTTTTGGGTCTATATTTTCCTATATATTTTATTTTCTTTTCATTTAACATTAATAAAAAAAGTGCTTTATTACATTGGAACTTTATTATTATTGGAACCATATTTAAACTTTATTTGTTTATGTAAACTTGCTTATTAAAAAAAAAACTCACAGTTTTACTATGTATTCATATAAGCTTTATAAAGATAACAACAATTTTAATTTTTTCTTGAACTTAAATACATATTAACTAAATTATGGCAATTTTCATATCATTTTCCAATTTATTTCCGATAGTTCCAATTGATCGTATCGTTCCAAATATCGTATACAGCAGGATATTATAAAAAATACAACAGTTATTTTAAAATCATAGCTAAATAGCTGAAAAATAGTTAAAAAGCATTAAAGTTATAATTTTTTTCTATTACATTTCCGATCTTTCCTATGTCAGCTATATAATATTATTATCCAAACTGATTCGTTTCGACGTATTATAATTATTTTAATTTATTAAAAATTTAACAATTTATTCAAATTGATCCTAAATTGACGGGCTAAATCGATTCGGCTGTAGATGATGCAACTTTATATATGTGCATATATAACATATAATTGAAATATCGAATATCGCAAAAAACTGAATTATACTATTGGAACAACAAGTGACTTGAAAAACTACTTGGATTCAGAACGCTTAGAATAAGCAACATGTTTAGTAACTCCCAATTATCCTTAGTGGCTAAATCGATTCGCCATGTGATGCTGATCAGAATATGTAGAAAATGTAGACCTACAGAGATGTCTGGTAAATGCATTATTTTCTGGATTACTTTCACAACTTACAAGAATGGAGTACGGAAATCATTCCAAAACTGATTCGGTTGAAATCTATATATTTTTTAGATTGACCTATTTATCAGATAGAAACTTTTGGGTCCCAGCTGCCGGCCCAAACTTTTTAGCGATCCCCATCTATATCTCAAAGTGTTTTTTCCCAAATGCTTCAAACTTGAGATAAAAAAGAGGAACTAGACATTCGGTCGACGGGCAAAGAGTTTCCCGGAATTGCCGGCGCGTCGCAAACAAAAATATATATCAAAAATACCAAACAGAAAAGAATGAAAAATGAAAAACGAAGAAAGAAGAAACAATAACTCAAAAACAAAAGAACTTCAGAATGTAGAACAGAAGCCCGAATGATGATGATGATGCTGACGCGAAGGCTGACAGATGCGCCGGCGGCATAAACAATTAATTTCGTTTCATATTTGTCGAATTGAAAGCCCCAGCTTCGTAGCATAGTGTAAACAAATCAGCGGCCCGAAATGCTCAATTGTTTACGACAATGCTTAGAGTTGTTTATTACAGAAAAAATACTTCAAATCATTTGGAGTTTTTGATTTCAAACTCTTCTTCGCATTTGATTTGATGCTTTTCGGTTTGAGTTTTACAATTATAATACAACCAGATGGTTTTTATAAGCAGCAACAGTCGAGTCGATCTAGCCATGTCCATGTTTGTTTTTCAATTCAAAATTTATACCTAATATTAATTGAATTTTCACTTAATTGTGTCACTTACAGAACCGGCAACAGTGGCAGCAGCATGTCCAGCATGAGCCACGAAAGCCAGGCTCGCATGAAGCAGCAACAGCAGCAGCAGCAGCAGCAACAGCAACTGCAGCAGCAGCAGCAACTCAAGGAGCGAACGGCAGCGGGCAGCCACTTCACCTTGGGCTGCACCGACTTGGTTGCGGATCAGCAGCAGGCACAGCTGCAGCAGCAGCTCCCGGCCACGCCCTCCAGCAGCTCTACCTCCGGCAACTCACCGGATCTCCTTGGCTATCAGATGGAGCAACAGCTCCAGCAGCAGCAGCAGCAACATCAGCAACTCCAGCAGCAGCAGCAGCACCATCCATTGCAGCAGCAACATCTCCACCAGCAGCATCAGCAGGTTCAGAACGGTGGCCAATATGGTGGCTATCATCATCCCTATCAGCCTCATCATCCCCTAACGCCGCACTCCACCAGCTCCGCATCTCCGCCAGCAACGGCCACCGCTGCATCCACGGCAACAGCAGGAGCAACCTCAATTGCAGCCGTTGCAGCAGCAACAGCAGCATCGCCAGCCGCCGGCACTGGAGCCACCCAGGTGATGGCGGCGGCTAACATTTACTCGAGCATTGGGCAACCCTATGCCCAGGAGCAGAGCAATTTCGGAGCCATCTATCACCACAATGCAACGGCTGCTGCAGCCGCTCACTATCATCATGGACATGGACATGGACATGGACACGGGCATGGACATGGACACGGGCATGGTCCATATGCCAGTGCCTATGATAAGCTGAAGGTTTCACGTCATGCTGCAGCTGCCGCTTATGGAATGGGAGCCAGTTATCCCAGCTTCTATGGATCGGCAGCCCATCACCAGATGATGAGACCCAATAGCTATATAGACCTGGTGCCCCGCTAAAGAATCCCAGCAAGAGTCAAGAATATATATCTAAAATGGACAGGATAAACGTTGAAGAGCTAGCTAATTGTTAAATCCAAGGGGATGTCAGTAGTTTCTACAAATTGGGTATTAAATCAGCAGTTAAAATACAAGATATTTCTTATAAATCATCTTCAAAAAGACTTTAGTAACAATAAACCATTTAAATGTAATGGAAAGTAAATAAAGTTTTGAGTTTAAAGAAGTCAATTTGAAATCGATATTTCTCCAGCTCTCAATTCAATTTTAATCAAGTGAATAAATAGTATAATATCCCCAAACTTTTAGTCATATCTTTCAAGGAAATTAAAATCAAGGTAGGCCTTCAACTATCAGTTCCTCGGATTATATTCTTGATTTAAGCAGTAAGAGGGATTCAAGTATTAGCAGCAAAAAAGAAAACCAAATATAAATGCAACAAGTATTACAAGTATTTTACAACTAAAATTACTATTATTATTATTATTATTATGTTTTTTTTTAGTCTAGTTCTTAACTTTATGAATTTGTGTGCCAAAAAATTATGAAAAACCCCCAAATATATATCTTGATGTAATATGTAGCTCTTAATGTCTAATTTTACTATATTGTCCTCTTTTTTTCCTAACATTTTAGTCACTTGTTTTATTCAATGTAAATACAAGCAATAATAATCATACATATCTTAAAAAAAACTGAAACAGTTTCTAATAATAAAAGCAAAGAATAAAAATTAAATTAAAAACACAGCAACATGGCATAAATTAACAAGAATTCAACATGTTTTCTTCTAGTTTTTTTGTTTAAACAAAATGGCCGAAGTCAATGCTGCAATTGGGAAATGGGGAAAATGGCTGGGGGAAAAAGAACGATTTTCCATTATCCATTTTGTTTATGCTACATCACTTTATACCAATCTCACTTCAGCAGTCGGTTCTTTTTTTGGGATTCCGCATCTCTTTCTAAACAAAAAGTGCCGTGGTTTTAATTGAGATAAACCAACGAAAGAGCATCGTAGAAAAGAGAATGGAAAAGAGAGGGAAAGCGTGGGGGAAAATTGAAAACTTGAGATAACAAATAGATTAAACATAGGAGGAGCCTATCAGGAAATGGAAAATCATGAAACACCACAAATAATTGCATACGATCTGAAAGTTTCTTTATTTTCAAAAGCCTCAGAATTAATGTTTAAAGATCTAAAAGATATAAGTTAAATACAATGATCTAATCCGATTAAATTTATTATTAGTGTCAATTAAACATAATCTCCTTTCTCATAAAGTATATTTCCCAAGAAAACTGTTTAGATCAACTCTTTTCTTTGTTATTAAAAATAGTCAGTGCAGATTATAGAAAACTAAAAGGTTACAAGAAAAATTAAAAAAAGGAAAAAAAGGATGTAGTCCAAGAGGCAGGAAGCCAGAGGAAAACTCTGAAAATTAAGATCTTAAAATTGAAATGAATTTGGTGGAAATCCATTGGAAAATGGCGGGATTAAAGGGTGTCAGAAGATTTGGGTGCAACGAGAGAGGGACGAAAAATAGACAAAGGAAGCCATAAAACCGTATCTTCCATTTTCCTCTTCTTTGATTTCCCATCGACTTTCCATTTGTTATCATTCCGCGTCCATCGACCCTTGAAATAAGTTCTCGCTGCGACGATTGACGCGGCTGTGATCTCTGGCCAATGGAAAATCGATTGGTTTTCACATAAAAATATATATATAAACCGATCGATCTATTTAAATTGGATTTATTTGCCAAATGAACGCCATCAATTGGGAAATTGAGGTGGCAATAAGCCGTCAGTCATGTGAATAAAAGCCACAAACCCACAAATGATTATTGGCCTTTTCATTGGTGTCAAAGATTTGTTGGTTGTAAATATTCCTCATTCCTTTTACTCTTTAATTAATAATTTATTATTAATAATTTACATTTTTCTTGGTTGATTTCTTTTTTGAAAATGTAAAATATAATAGATTTGATATTAATTGTATTTGTTTTTAATTTATTTTGATTACAAAATGTTTTGTGGGGTATTACCTAAGCTTATCTTTATTTAATAAATTTAAAGAAGTGTAATTCAGGTAACTAAGGTAACAAGAAAAGGGAAAAAACGAACAATTACAGCAAAGTTTTTATAACCATACAGTTTGCTATGGAATCATTACAAATTTATCAATTTTCTTCAAACAGAACGAAAAAATTAAAAGAGATACATATAACATATAAAACAATTATACATATAATGAAAACATTCGATTTTGATGAAATAAAAAACATTTTTAAATCTGATAGAAAAAAAGTTCGAAATATTAAAGTATCTAATTTAACAAGCTTATAAAAATAAAAATTTTCATCTGCATGGCAACTATAAATTTATAATCATCCGATTTGCATAATGTTATAACTAATATTTTGAAATAATACAACAAATAACTTCGTAGATGCAAAAATGTTTAAGAACATCACAGTTAAAAATTTTTTCTATAAATTTTCCCATAGTTGATATGGTAGCTATATGACACAATCCATTTTAACTTAATTATAAATGAGAATAGTTTAAAGACTAACCACAAGGTTTAATTTAATTTAAAACTGAGACTAGTTTGCGTAGAAACGGAAAAAGGAACATGGCTAGATCGACTCGGCTGTTTTGTTGAACCATCAATGTTTTGCTAGACAAATCTGCTAAAATGGCTTATATTATTACTTATATAAACAAATTATAACGTGTCTTAAATTGTTAAATTAAGCGAGAACATCTTAATCACCATCCTAGAGGATCTGGAACTCGTGGTAACACATTTTCCTGGGGTTTTAAGGGAAAGATTTTCTTAGCTAGATACAGATATGGAAAAGGAACTGAACTTGAACAGAGCAACTAATTAAAGTTCCTAGTTACATGAGTTAACTTTAAATGCAATGTGTGCTTTATTAATCAAATAAGAACTAAAACAGAAAGTTTTATATTTTGACTTGGTTGTGATTAAATTTAGATTCGATCTTATGAATTAATTGCAAACTGGAAGGGTATTCAGACTCCTGCATCCTCAAGTAAGTTTTCTTAAGTTAGCTTTCTTATTTAATAAAGCTTTAATATAGGGGTTTGTATCATACGTTCCAGATTGTGATGTTTTAATTACATTTGGTTTTATAGGAGTTTACTGCTTGCATAAATACATTATTGTTAGTATGGTTAAAATCTGGAGTCCCACGGAACTGTCCTTTATAAAACAGAGCAAGCGGATTCGTATCCTGGATTTGGTATATCCTCGCAAAGGGTGTTTTTTTAGTTCAAGTCAAAAGGATGTAACACAGTGAAGGAGACATATGCGACGCTATAAAGTTTATGCGCAATGTTCTTCATGCACATTCAAGTTAAGAAATAACATGTGTCAAGACGTATTTTTATTAAAAAAATATATATATATTGAAACATAGCTTTTAGTTAGCATAATATTTGTTTATAATATTTTAAGCAATATTTCGCTTTCAAGATAATCCCAGAAAATATTAGTATTCCCCACAAATTTCGAAAAATAAAAGTGGTTTAAAGATTGCATTCAATAAAACTTGAACTAAGATGGATGCTGGTAATTTTAAAGGTTTTACATGCATGAATTTATTTAAATAATGGATTTTTTTTACTTTAAAATATTAAGTAGTTTTCAATTCATTTAATTAGAGTCACTGTCTTAAAATATATTCTTTCCCCTTCACACTTTTGTGTTGCTCTTTGAACTTGAACTTTTTTTATAACTAGTTACTCATAAAATGTAGGTCTGCTCGACAAATTCAAGTGGCTAAATCGACTCGGCTAGAGATGATTCTTAAGCATATATATATGAAAATATTTATCTAAACGGTGTCGGGAATACCCCCTCTTGCCTAATTAATAATGATTAATAATACAGAATTTTGCAATAGCACCCGTATTATAACAAAAACAAATGGAAGTACTAATCGGACGGAACGATCGGAACGCTCCATCATTAGAAACGTCATTCGTCTGACGTTTAACCTGTACCCAAAAATCAGAACTCGATTTCACACGCCCGAAGAAAACGAACTCAAAGAAGTCAAAAACTGTGACAAGCCATCAAAATGCGACATTCATTAGTCACACGGAAATAGTGACACGACGCATGTTTAGAGGGGCATCTTTTAGAATGTATCTAGATTGATTATATGGCATATTGAACTTTGGCCAGGAACTGAAGTATCCCTAAATAAAAAAGAACCTCACAAATGTCTAAGTATAATTAAGCTTTTAAGAAAAGTAAGAAATAAGTAGAAACAGGAAGGAGGAAAATTTCTTTTAGGGCCACATCTTCAAAGAGCTACGTATGCGCGTATGTCTAAAATTTAATAACGCCATATATTCTATATATCTTGTGGCATAGCCCCTCAGTTGTTGTCCTCTCATAAATAAGAACAAATTGGCATGCAATTCGCCTTTAGAGCGGCGACCAAGTAAAGTAAAGCACATAAATTTCTCATCACTTGCATAAAATTTTCACAAAAACAACGGCCAAGAACAAACAGATGTGTCGCCGACTGATTGAGGCGGGGCGGGGCAAAGATATTTTCGAAGGGGGTTGCACTGTGGCTCTGGTTCAAATTTTAGAATATTTATATATTGGAATAGGAGGAGAGAGACTTGTTGATACTGAAGCATATAACATACATACTTACTCGTTTTTAAGGGGACAACTAATTTAACCGGAAACGGAAACGGATCTGACTAACTTTATCTTGGGAGAAATGATTCACAAGCAGTAAAAATGATTCATTTGGTGAAATTCACTCAAAGATAATCCAAATGTGTCAGAATACCTGCCTATAAGGTCACCACAAAGCCTATTTGAGAATTTGTTGGCTCTTTTGGGAAGTTTTTTCACTAGCCATTATCGCACTTCGACACTTTACTTTTCGTAGGCGATAAGTAATCGTAATCGGTGGTTATGGTGACGTACTATATCTCGCAATCCAACTTATATGTGTATATATGTACAGTGCTATCATTATGCGGTGATAAGGGATGGGCGGCCTAGGAACCACGGACACTGGCCACTTGAAATGGGCATGAAATATGGTCCAGAGGGATCATTTCGATGCCACTGTAAAATGAATATTTTCAATATTTATTGTCACCCCTCGCTGTGGTGGGTCCACTCCACACACACACACACGGACTGTCTCCCGTTTGTTGGTGTAGGTGTATGTGCGGTGTGTGTCGCCTGTCGTTTCAATCACTCGCATGGTGTCAAATTGCCCACTCTCCCTCTCGCTCTCTCCCCCTCCCTAAACCGTTGCTCAAGTGCTACACTTGAAAAAATGTAGAATAATAATCATAGTATATATTGAACTGTAAGTAAAAGAGTATTTTTTATATGTTGTGAAATTCTTATCTTCATTATTCGCGCTCATTTTTAAAAATTCACCTGAAGCCCAGAAGTATGCCATAGTAGTAATCGGGTTTTTTTTTATTTCAAAAAAGATAACTTTTGAAGCCCGATATTTGTTAATTAAACGTTATACCCTTAAATCATTCCATTCCACAAGTAATAAAATAAACTTAAAGGCAGGGATATAAAAGATGTATGTTTAAAATACCAATTATTCCTATGAAAGCCGTATAATATAGTCGTAAAATTTATTAATATAACGCAAATATTTTAAACTTGTAAATTAAAACTACATATATCTGAGGTATTAAATAAATATTTTCACGAATAGCATATTTATTATGTATATGATATAATAGATTGATTTTCACATAAAAGAATATCAAAATTCTAGATTTTTATAATTTTAGAATTTCGATATTAATAAATGGCTTTTGATTCTGATCAAGAATATTTATGTATATACAAATAAAGACTTTGTGGAGTCGGAAATGACCACTTTACTGCGTTGCAAGCTCCTGTTCCAAAATTATAAAACCCTGGAAGGCTTCAAAAAGATTTAAAGCAAAAATTATTACCAAAAATAATGTATGAGTAGAAAATTTGTTTGAAGAGAATTATTTATTAACCAAAATATTATATTTTTCAATGACCAATTCCTGCTTTAACTAACCATTAAAAAAAATAATTATTATTATTATTAAAGACTCTTTTTTCTCTCAGTGCAGTGCTGATCAAACTAAAACTGTTATTCTTATCAACTGTGTGTGTGTGTGTGTGTTTGTTGTTGTTGTTGCTGGATATTGGGCACCAGTTGAGGGCGCATCCGTGGCTAATCGCTTTGAAAGTGAAACCGTGTTTACGTGTTCCCTCGTTTTCCGCTCTCTGAACTTTCCTCAAGATTTCCTGATCTTTTTCCTTTTTGCTGTTATTGTTGTCACTGACACTTGAGGCTTTGTTTATGCATTTGAAAAAATAGAAGAAGAAGAGCAGCACCGTTACCCGCATTGCAACGGCAGATGGAGCGGAATAATCATTTTGAAGATTTAAGAATAAAAATAACCAATAAATGGAGGCCTAGATTGTAAAGCATATTTGACTTAATCTTACTCAGATTTGGAAAATGTTAGGCAACATGTAAAAGTACACCATAACGCTTGGAAAATAATTGAAAATATATAAAAGAACAGTCTTAAATCATTCTAATTTACTAAGATAAATTGCACCAACATTATTGGAAAATAAAAATGAAAAGTCAAAGTCTTTCTTATTAAATTTCTTGTTTAATTTCAAAACAATTTAGGCAAAAAAGTTATATCATTTTAATCATAATCATTTGAAAAATAAATACAAATTTTTTAATTAGTTTTTGAGGTGTGTACTTGGATAATGAGATTAAAATTTTATTTTATAAAAAAGATACGATATTTTTCAAATTCTTATTATTCTGATAATCTTATGTTTCTAGATTATATTAGTTGTTCTGTGTTTCTGTTTGTCTGTTTATCGATACAAATGTAAATATTATAACTATATCTTTTTAATTAGCCGTCAACGAATGTGATTTCTGGATCAGAACTAACAGCCGATTCGATCTAGTTAAGTCCGTCTGTCTGCTTCTACGCCATAAATTCCTTACTTTTATACATATGTAGCTATCAGGATAAATCTTTTTAAAGTAAGCTTCCCTTATATTGTTTAACTGCAGTTGGAAATTGCAGCAAATCAACAAATGTCGTAGTATAGCCGATAAATAATCGAAGATTTCGATGTCTTTTTTTGCAAAACATCAACTTTAAATCGATAATATCAATGTTTATCCAATGCTTAATGGTAAAATTAAAAAAGAAAAATTAAGATAACGTTCAATTTAGTTAGGATATAAAATAGTCGACATAAAATAAGGCTTATATGATATTTTTCCTAAATCACTGATCCGATGTCGACACGCGTCTCAAGTGGATATCGGGATACGACCAAATACAATACAAAATAGGGAAAAAAGATCGCACGAAAAAGGAAAAAACGGAGAATGACGAGGAGATGGATTGGAGAAGGAATGAGTATGTAGGTCGCAGGAAGCGGGTATCCTTTTGGTGGACGCATGTGCATACGAGACTCTCGAGTGCATATTTGACATATTGCTGACACGCCCCCAAACAAATCACTCTGTGTGGATCTGTCATTGCCCCCGGCACTCATGTAACCCCAACCCCTTTCGCGACCATCCCCCTTTTTGTACATATTTTTTCAAAATTTTCGTTTTTTCATGTGGCGCACGTGCTTGAAACTGAAACAACAATGTTGCTGTTGTTTTACGAAGCGTGAAAGTAATGAAAAAATATAAATTCCATAATAACAGAACTAAAGAAATACCCATCATATGCAGAAAAAAAACAAATTGAATATAATATAAAAAAACCCACAGTAATTAATTTTATTACAAAGCAAGCCAACGGAATTATAATTAATAATTTTAGGGTGACGCAAATTAAAGTCTAGAATGGGTTGTGGACCAATTAATATCACACAAGGCATATCCAGAAAAATGGGGATATATCGCTAGAATAAGGGCTTTTTTTGGGGGAAAATTTTCGCCTCGTCGATTCAGCGGAAATTGAGCGCATAATTCAGGAAAATGTTTTTGCCCTCCGAAAATGTCGTGCCATAAAAATCGTGTTGAAATGTGTTGAGGCAAGCAGAAGAATATATAGAGGATTTATAGTCGGGCAGATCGGGACAGATCGGGCGGCAGCGCCCTCTGTTGGGGCGCACTTACCAAAATTAATGCTATCGATGACAACACACAACCAACAACAATAAAAGGCGAGGCTCCAAAAATAGCAGCAAAAAGGGAGTGCAAGGGAAATGTCTAAGGGACGACAAAGCAGCCAATGAAATTATGAATGAGATGCACAGAGAAAAATAAACTTTATTTCTTAAAAATTTACAAATAGTTTCATTCTCAAATTTGTAATTCGATTTGGCCCTGAAAGGCATTAAGGATTTCAATATTTTTGTGGGCATAGATAGATTTTAAGATTTTATCTCGATTTAAATTAATACTTTTACTATTAAATAGTTTTATTCACAAAACTACAACTCTTTATTTTAAAATATAAAAGTTTTCATGATTTGCTAGTTTATTTTTATAATTAAAGGTATTAGGAAGTCCCCATCTAGGGTGATTCCCCGAAAGTAAGTTCAATAGGAAAATTCGAATTTTTTTCTCGGTGCACAAGGGAAAGCGAAGTGAAGGGAGAAAAGGTGTGGGGACAATGTTGCCGCTGCTGCACAATTATTGCTAACTGTTAAAAGATTTGTAGGCACTGAGAGATCGTGGGCAAAACATTTGTTTGATAATGATAATGGCCATGTTGAATGCAATTGCAGCACACACTGAATATGCAGTTGTTCTGCGGAAATTGAGTCGTTTGCACTTGGAATAATTATTGACACATGGAAGGCCGATTGGGTTTACTCTGGAATACAAACGTTCTTTAAATTAATCAGCTACCAACTGTCGATGTTTTCAGTAAATTAAAAGTGCGCTGCCATAAACAATCTGGAATTTAAACATTACGTTTTTTGGTAATTAAATACGTTTCACAGTGTGGATTTTAATAATTGTTATTATTATTTTGAACTTCAGTTCTCGTTTCTTGTATTTTTTTTTTTTTTTTTTTTGTTATAGTACCGATTTTTTTTAGATTTATAGATTATTACTATACATTTTTAAGGGTTCATTTCCTTTGGTATATTATTTGATATTTACTAATAATTTAATTTGCTTATTTTTATGTAAACAAAAATAAGTTTCTGGACTCTGAACACCCCAAATCATTTTTGTATAGTAATTAATATTTCATATCCATCTCTGGCTATCTTTACAATTAAATTCTAACTTAATGTGATCAAGGATGTCCTTAATGTCTTGTTAATGAGCGATCAGTATTTACTAGCGTCTGCTGGAATAAAAACGGAAATGCAGATGTGTCAATACTGCATAATATAAAGTATTTTTAATTAGTATATATTTTTTTTTATTTTAATTATGTTTTATTTGGCAGCCAAAATTCTCATTAAATTCAAAAATACTCAAATATCAATATTTGGGCGCGCAAAGAAAAAAAAACGTTTTTTGGCGTTGCCAGACTATTGGTGGATAATTTCACTTGTATTGGCAATGCATTGGCTGCGAAAATCGATAGATTTGCAAAAAAAATACCAGACAAGAATAAAGAACTAGTACAAAAATACTGCTTTAAGAAAAATTAAAAGTATGGAACTCAAAGCTTTATTTTAGATTTTTGAGTCGTAAAATAGCCAATATTTTTGTTTTGGGTGTTAATTATAGTAAAATAACTTATATATATACATAGTTATTTGTTGCGAATTGCAACCTGTCTTAAAGGGATGTACGATGACAAGAGAACAAAATTCTAGAATTTTGAATGTCGTTGCCAGATGACTGCAAAGCTATTATGTTCACAGAATTCGAACAGAGAAACGTTTTAAATTGTTCATTTATAGGCATAATAATTTTAAATACCTACGGAATACAAAGGGTGGAAGCATCTCTTGTAAATGAGTTTTGCTTGAACATTTTGCGGTCAATTGTTTTGGGGAGTTCTCTACCCGTTATATTAAGAAATTGACTCATTCCGTTGTATATTGAATAATAATAATAATACTAATATTCAGATCAGCGGGCGAAAAACAATAAAAAAATATATCAAGAAGTTTATTTGTATCTCGTTCTCTTTACAGTTCCAATACTGTGTGGAAAATGCGAATCCAAGAGTTCAATGAAAATTATGATGCTAAATAAATTCAAGGATTTTCCAACTTCTTTTCGTGGATCCTTTTGCCAGCTTTATCCGTATCTGGTTCGATAGTCTTGCACAGGGAGTTCTTAGGGTTGGCCACTGGAGCAACCTTTTACCTTTTCTGAACAGGACACCGATCGCCCCTTTCTTATTGTGCCCAAATAAATATTCTTATGTTTTTTGTACCTGTAGTAACTTTTAGGTTACTATCATATTTCGGCTGCTGTGAACTGTTTAAAGAAGCCGCCGCAAAATAAAAAATCAACTCCCACGCAAACATGCTATTGTATATCGATACTATCGCGAGAGGTCGACATGGCTTTACAGCTGATATTGTGAACCTAAGTGTATGTTTTATTTTATACATTTATTTATACATTTTAATAAGATTACGGCACAAAGTTCGTGAAGAAACACCGGCTTTTAACAACAAGATTTGTGCTGCGAAACTTCCTTTGATTTTCGCAGGCCTAAGCAAGGTTAGGAAGCCGGTGGAAAACTAGTGATAAAAGTGCAATAGAATAAGCCAAAACTAATTTAAAACTATATTGCGAATGGCGGAAAGTGAAAAACTCAAACAAATTTATAATAGCAAGTTGAAATAAAACTATAGAAATTGAGGCAATAAACAGGGAGTAGCTTGGGCCAAACCAAGTGACCTCGGGTTGCGCCAACAACAGCAACCACACAAGTTTCCTAATTCACGGCTACCAGCGTCCAATCCAAGCAACCTGTGGAGTCAACCAAAAAGCTACCTATTGCCACAATTCTTTTTTTATATTTTATTTAGTTTCTATATCTACGTAAAAATTCGTTCAAAGTGAGTATTTTACCAAAATATGAGGCATTCTTTCGGAGTCTGATATATTCACGTCCCTCTCAGATGACCACAACTCTAACAATCTGTGTGTGCGACTACTGGAAACGTTGCCACTTCCATAACCGTCCGAAACCGGAGGCTGGAGACTCCTGTTCGCTAACCAAGAAGCCGCTCCGGAGACTGACCATCAAAGTGGATGCCATCAATGGCAACTACTATTTGCGCGAGTTCCTCCAGCAACGGGTAATGGGCGACCTTCTCAAGAAGCTGCACGGAGTGCAGCTTATCTGGCTGGAGTTTTATCCGCCGGAGAGGGATACCATCGACTACCACTGGGCGCATATTCTGGCCCACACACTTTGGGAGCACATCGAGGTGGAGCACCTAATGTCCTGGCTTTCAACACTGGGCGGTGGATTCTCTGCACTGGGAGAGCAGTTCGAAAGATGTGTAAGTATCACTAGGAGATATCCCGAGTAAAAGTCTAAAGTCTAAAGAATCCCAAATACACTGACAGGCGGAGACAGCCGGCAAGATATCACTGCAGCAGCTGAAGATCGGCCTCCGGCTCGGCGATCCTTTCCTGCAGGCGCGCTGCAAGCTTTACTACAGCATCTCGCTCATCCAACGAGGTCAGTTGCGGATGGCGAAGCATCTGATTCGGGAGCAGTACGCATTTGCGCGGGTCAACAAGGAGAAGGATGTGCGGCTGGTGCGGATGTGCCATGGGATTTGGCATCGGCTCGCATACGAGTATGAGCAGCGCAGGATGCGCAAAATGGGGGACTAAGAGGCCCTATGATATCGATGAAATTGTACATTATCTAGTTGAGAAAAAGAAATTGTGTTTAGTGTTCCTTTCCTTTAATTATTCCAGCTGTGAGCTTAGGTAAAAAAATTGTTTTCAATATATTTATTTAATATGTAATTGTATATACGTAAAAAATGCATTTACATTATTAATTTGCTTTTATTTCTCGCTTGTAATGTATATATTTTCAATTGCCCGCTGTATATTCAAAGTTCTAAATAATTTGGGAGATTAAACCGAGAAAAACTTTTATACTTAGGCTAAACACAAAGTTATCGGCCTCGCTGCCAATAGGGGTAAAGCTCGTAAAGCTTTGTATATATTTTGTAATTTAAAATATATATACATATACGTATATATATATATATATAAATCTACATATAATATATATATACATACATACATGTCTATATATATATATACATATATATGCTGATCAGCTGGCTTACTGCGCCAGCGTTCCCATAGGATCCCAGGCGGGCAGCACTATCGGAACCATGTTAAAGACGCGGAGCACATCCTCTGGCACATACTTCTTGTCCACAACCACCTCGAATCCAAACTCCCTGAACCAGTCGGCGTTCATCACCAGGTAGCCCTTCTCGCCACGATCTTCGCCCCATGAGTTCTCCACGCGGAGCTTCTGGGCCACGCCACTTTTCTGCAAGTTTCAAATAAGATATATTAATGAGCTCCAAGGAATAAGAGTTAAGAGGACACTTACATCGACGGAGACGGCTGTGAATACCATGGCATGGGTCATGGCCGATTCGCCGTAAATCAGACGATCCGCCTTGGAAAATGTCGTTTGTATGTCGATGTCAAAGACCAGTTTGAAATCGTGGCTAAAGAAAATCAAGAAAATATGAAAATATAGTTGTTAGTTAAAGGAGTTGTGGGGAGGTATACTTAATTTTTGTTCGTATTAAAGTTATTTAAAGTTATTGATAGTTCAACAAAAGTCGTTTTTAATAAGTTTAAAGCGCACTCCTGACAAGTGTAATTTTGGAAGTGAGTGCACACAATAACTTAAAATCTACAGGACCAATCGTATTAAAATGCACAGCACTTTAACTTATACTACAATATATTCTACGCTATAGATTTTATGGTTTCTGATATAGATCTATTATTTGACACGAAAGGACAAACGGATATGTCTTCCTTTAAACGGCTATTTACAATGATAAAGAATATTCATATATACTTCGTAAAGAGACCCCCCTTCTGACTGTTTCATATGTGTACCAAACATGTCTGAATCATAAAATATATCCATATATCAGTTGAAAATATGTGGAAATCAGCAAAATTAGACCTTTTTCTTTTAGTTCTCCGGTCGTTTCTATGGGTTATGACATATTGGCTCGACTTTACTTCAGATCTGACTTTCGATTCGACATTTATACTATATACTAATAGGAATAGAAAAGACTTTGAAACGATTCATTCAGATAGTTCTAAAACAGAGAGACTACTTTGCGTATGATTATACGAAATGTACTATTGATGATGACCAAGAATTTATATACTTTATAGGAAGAGTGACTCCTTTTTTGCGTTGCAAAATTTTGACTGAGATTATAAAAGGAATTATTTATCAAGCAAGCAAGAAACAAATTCCTATTCACTACTCGAACTATAGAAAAATATTAGTTTCGTTGTAGTTTTACAAATTTACAAAAGCTGACATTCATTATTATTTTATTAAATCGAACCCTATTATTGTGTTCAGTTTAAATTTAATAAATTATGGACTAAGAGTTGCTGTACGAATATTAAATTGTTATTGCCTAAATTGGGAAACCCATCACAACCATTAAAGACATTACTAACTGGATATACGTAACTATAATTAAGATTATTCAAATGACAAATATAGTTGTTTATCTCAAAGATGTCTATAAATAAAATACATCAAATGAATTGAAAATTCTGTTTGAAAGTAACGAAGCGGGTGGGTTTGCTGGTAATGCATAATACATGTGGAATATTCAAATAAAACTACTTTTTATAAGCTACTAATAGCTATAAGATAATGCCACTCGTATTTAACATGTTTCATCTTGAGAGTCTATTAATGAAAACCTTTCTATTTAGTATCTTTCTGCCTAAAATACTAAGACTTTATATCCTTGAACATTTCAATTTTCAAACCTTTTGGTGTTGATTAAATATTTGAAAAATATGGCCTAACAGAAACTGTGTTATAAAAAAGCTGAATTATACAAAAATGTAAGAAAATATAATTGGACTATATGTGTATACATATGTATAAATGTGAATTTAATAAATTTGTTTGGAAATTCCCAATAACTTGTATTATTTGTAAAACAAAAAGAACAAAAGTGTAAATATGTTTCCTCCCTCATTACCGAAACAAATATATTCTACTAATTATTATACCCTAAACGTATGATCAAACCCTAAATGTATTATCATTACCCCAAACATATGATACAAATCCTATGACTTGGCCACATTCATAAGTAAAAATACTCTGTTAACCGATTTAAAAGAATAGAAGAGATTCGAGGAAAACTCACACATCCACATCCTCGATGCCCTGCTTGGAGGCAAACCGCTTGCTGACCTCACAGCCAAACCATACGGGCTCGCCGGCCTTCAGCGACTTGGTGACAACGGCCAGGAGCAGGTCCACTGGCTGATTGTTATACAGGACGGGTCTGCCGCCGACCACATTGCCCAGACAGTCGACTGTGTAGGCCTGATCGTAGCTGCTCGTTGGCCGGGGATCGGTAACAAGGCACACCTTGTCCTCCACATTGAAGTGGGGCTTCACATAGCGCTCGTAGAATTCCAGCGAGCTAACCGGGCCGATGGACTGATAGTTCTTGCTCTTATCGTAGTACTCCCAGGTGAAGGTCTCGGAGGGAATGCCCAGGCAGATGCCAACCACCTTGTATATCTCCGCCATTTGCTCCTCAATCTTAGCGGTGATCTCCTCCCCGTGGGATTCTGATCCATCAGCACGCGAAGGTGGCGGGCGTACTCCCGAAGCTAAATATAAATACAAAATAATTTACATTTTAAATACTGATGGTTAGAATCACACGTGAAAGACCTCCTATCCTCACCTTGCTTTTCAGTATGGCATTCATTCGTATGCTGGACTCGCAGCTAAAGCTCTCAGGGAAGCATTTCTTTGGCATGAGGCCGTGTTTGGTTATCAGGTTGACCAGCATGTCCCACTGGCCGCCGTCAGAGGTGGGATCTAGGAGCAGGAAGGACACCAGTCGCCCGTCGACCTTCTCGCCTCGATGCGCCGTTTTCACGATATTGTTGAGGAAATAGTTGCACCGCTCGATCTTGTCCCAATAGAAGAGGAACGCCTGCGAGAACTCAAACTCATCCAGATTGTAGTTCTTCATGAAGGGCAGGCGAATGCAGTTGAGGGCCGCAAAGAGCCAGCATCTTCCGGAGCTCCTTTGGTTGGTGATCGGCTTGCCCTCGGTCTCCACCTTGTAGTTGAACACATGATTGGTGGTCTCCAGCACCTTCCTCGAGAGGCACACGTCAAAGGGGTCCACACGGGAGCAGACGTTCTGCGCCAGCAGGTTCTTTGGTTCACTGTAGAAGTTCTTGCGCCATTGTCCCAGCAGCTCGTCGGTGATGACACTGCTGCTGGCTAGCTCGTACCAGGGCGTGGACTTCTTTCCGCTAATGGCGCTGTTGTTATTACCGCCGGTCTCGGTGTTTGGTTCAGCTGCAAGTAAATTGGAGTGGCGGCGGTCGCCAGATTTTGAGTGACTTGTGCGAATGGACTCGGACGCGTGGCAGAGTGCTTGCCGCTGTTTCCCCTGCCACATCTTGCTTAGACTCGTATTAGAGTTTTTGAACTTGATCTCGAGCCGTCGTCCCTCTGGACTGGCTAACTGGTGCACCGCACGCTTCTCCACCGCCCGCTTCACCGCCAAAACTGGTGGATCAGTATCGGTAACAGTAACAATGACAGGAACGGGAACGGGAACCCAGAAAAGAAACCAAAAACGAGATTTTTGTTGTGACGGTGCAGTTAAAAAATAAATTTCGCTACTGCCAATTTGAAAAAGGTAACAAACTAATACCTAAAGTGAAATTAAAACTGAAGCAGTTTAGGCTTAAACCACCTTGTATACATTTTAAAGTCGATTTTGGTTGCACAGTCTTAGAGTTCTATAGTCTTCGACTTCTGTTGTTGAATTCCTTACATTCCTGGGGTGTTATAAAACACTTTTATCGGGTATTTAAAACACCTGTCATTGCATAACAATGGGTTGGGCACAATTAAAATACAAATCGTCCAATTCACAAAGCAACGTCTGTGTTTCTAGTTTCTCAAGACAGAAAATTCCGACGCTCAAAAATTAAAAGATGCAAAAACAGCTGACCATTCAGCAATAATTGGCAATCAAAAGCGGACAAGTCATGTGTAAAAATGAGCAGTAAATATAATTAAATGGCCAGATATTTTCATTTTAATTAAAGAAAGCCAAGATTATGGCAACGAACTTTTAAACTTAAGAGTAAGTTGAAAATTATATACTTAGATATGAGAATAAATTGGCTTTTAAACTTTAAACAAAGAACTTAAACATAAAAGCAAGTAGGATAATTACAGTTGAATGTGAAATTAAAAGGAACATGGACATGATAGACTCATTCATCAAATTAATGAAAAAACTTACATTAAACAGGGCAGAAGGCAGAAGAAAATGTTGACAAATAAACACAAATGTTGCTAAGAACATAATAAGCAACATCTTAAGTGACATCTATTGGTGCTACCAAGTCAAATGCGATGAACATGCACGGAAACTTTGTTTCCTAATGAAATACTTTCCATATTTTAACAAATTTAAAATCCAAATAAAATGGATCCATAGGAGTATAAGAAAATGTATTTAATGGAAGAACGATCACCATTGATATGAAAGATTAAAAACAATCAAAAATTTTTTTTGCTGTTCTGGGAACCGATTTTGTGACGCAATCTGCAAAGAATCTGGGATAGTAAAATCGTCGAGGAGCACTATTTCCTACTTGGCCAACTTCCAGGGCTTCCCAGCTGCCTCCGCCTCATGGGCGTGGTTCGGGAGAGAAAGAAATATTAGGTAAAAATGCACAAAGGCAGAAATGGAAAGACCAACAACAAAAGAAAAAAGGAAAGATACAGACATTAACGTTAACTGCACATTGACGCATGTATGTATATAAATATGTTTGTACACTTCCTAGAAAAATTATGCACATAAACATGTTCGCAACTTTGGCTTAAAAATAAATTTAAATAATTATAAAAATTAAATTTTGTACAGAAAGTAGTAGAGTACATTTTTCTGCATATGTTTGCCATTTTTTTTGACATATTTTAGGTTGTAAATTAAATCGTAACATCAAAATAAAGATTATTAAAAATTAATAAAAGCTTCCAGAACAAACAAAAATCAATTGCTACATTTATTAAACACATTATTATTTAACGTCAAGGTTGCGGCGTATCTTTGTACATATTGTTTTTTTTTTTTTTTGGCAAGTGTATCTCCATTCCGCTCCGTGCCATCGGCCGAGTGTGTGCGTGTGTGGTATGCACTTTGGATCTGTTCGCCATTTACTATGCTTTGTGTTTATTATTTATTTACTTTTCTTCGTACATATGTGAGTGGGTGTCATATTTTTTTGCCATCAGATGCTGATAAGCATGGCTAACGGGTGAACACTTGCAAAGAAATCGCAGTGTACGTAAAAGCTGGAACCAAAACCTATTAGCACCGTTATTCATGGCGCGTCTGTGTTGGTGCGGGACAAAGGGACGATGCAATTAAACCAGTTTAACGGGACTCGCACAAACACAAACACCAGTAAATAGCGGGTGTGGAGCGAAAGAACGCAGAAGAGGAAGAGACAAGCAAACTGCCGTTTTAAAGACTTTCGCGGAGAGCCGGCGCAAAAAAAACTAAACAAACCGCAAAAAAAAGGGTTTACAACAAAAACTTGTTTGTCCAGTTTGTTCAGAGGGAATGTGTGGTGAGCAAAGCGAAAACAAACAAAATTTGGGAGAAATTCTACTTTCGTCTGGCTTTGATTTGTTTTTGTTTCTGGGGCGTCAGCAAGACTTCCCTCTCTCTTTCACTGTCTCGCATACACACATGCATACGAGCACCCGCACAACACCAACAACAAAAGAACAATGTCCCACGGAATTCAATGCATTCAATCTGCTCAATTATGTAAATAATATATTTTTTAGCATTTCGTCCTTTAGCTTATTGTTGGGCGACCCACTTACACATTTTTTAAGTCTTTCTTATTCTTTCCTTGGACGATTTTCACTTGTTTTGATTTTGTTCACTGCAAATTTCGCCGGATATATTCCGTGTGCGTTGTTCTGATGTGTGTGCAACGCTAGCAACTGTTGTCGACTGTAATTATACGCAACTAAGCTAATTTTTTACTTAATGTGTAAATGGAAAAAAAAATTAAAAGTGTTTGGCTTTGGGATCCGAAACTAGAGATGGCCGATATGCGATGCCAGCGATTATTTGGCCACTGCCAGAAATCACAGCCTACTATTGTTGGAACTATCGATAGGTTAAAAAACATCTTTTTTGATGGAAAGATTTCTTACATTAAAAAAATAACTTCTTAATTTAAATTTTTTATTTAATTTGAATAAAAAAATCAAGCAGCTTAAGTTATTTATATATTATATAGTCGGGAAGAATAAGAAGCGATATTTTAATATTTGTTCCCATGGGAACAAATGACTAATTAACTAAAAACTGGACAGCAGTCAGCTGTTTCATACAAATTGCACTTTCGATTATGTCGTCATTCTGCGAATTCGGCTACATATCAACGCTTTGGATTGTTAATTATGGGCACAAGAGTTTTCAATACTTGTTGATTATCGGGAAGAATTAAAATGGTAATGGCTAGCCAATTGGGCTTGTTTGAAAATGTATTGATAGACAATATTAAGCTCTACGGCTGAACTTCGGCGATATATAAAGAAATTTAGCCATTTAGACGTATAGGAAATATGTAGATATATACATGCGCACTTTTCTTTAAATAATTGAAATTTAATTAAATAAGGACTAATGTAATTCTCGTCTTAATTTAATTGCGCCTTATGGTGCTTGTTTAAAAATGAACTGATAAACAATTTTAAGCCATACGGCTTAATTCGCCGATATATTAAAAAATTTTACCCATTTAGACGTATAGGAAATTTGTAGATTTATATATGCGCACTTTTCTTTAAATAATTGGAATATAATTAAATACGGACTAATGAAAATCTCCGGTTAATTTAATTGCGCCTTGTTTCTTGTCTATAATAAAGTGTAGCCTTTGTAGTTCATAATTTAAAGTTTTCATAATTCAAATCGCGCGCTTCTTTTTAGGACAATGCAAAATCCAGACCTTGCAACAGAGCAACGCGTTAGCATCTTATGAAATGAGGAAATTTGGCTACACTGCCGCAAAGAAATCAAAAATCAACAATTAATTTTGCATTTCTCGCCTTGGTCGCCCCCTCTGTTACTGCATTCACGGGCACGGTGTTCGTCTCCCTTCGATATCCGGTTGCTTGGATTATAGAGGTGCCAAAGCGAATCAAACAAATTCGACTTTCTGTCCCTACAAAAGCAGAATTTCCCCATGCACATGAAATCCCACAAGTGAATCGGAATCGGATCGAAGCGAATCGAGTCAAGTCGAATCGGATAGAGTCGCGTGCGTGACTCGGTATTTGGACTGGATTATATAGCCGCCATATAATCGGACGACATGAGCGGAACTGCAGTGTGTGAGGAGTACAAGTACTACCTCGAGAAGTTCTACGTCCTGCCGCTGGAGCTCAAAAATGATATTATCTACTGTCAGCGTGCGATGCGCGATTTCCTCAAGGTTCACACGGTGAGTGGTGTCGCAATTTTGTCGTGGAATGCGGAACAGGGTGGCGGAGGATGGGGGAATGAATCCTCCACTGATTAGCGAATAATTATTTGATAAACTCCTTTGTCTTTCTCTCTGCTCTATCCCTTAGTTGGTCTCGGAGGTCTTCAAGGAGCAAGCAGATGCGGTGAGTTAGCAACACGAGGGTCACTATCCCTTTCTCTGTCTGTCTGCCTCTATTTGTCCGGGGTCTGCCCGAGTTCTAAGTATTCGCATACTTTCCAACTTTCTTTGGGATTCCCCAATAATTTATCATTTGTGTGAACACTTTTCGTCGGGTGTTCTTTCTTCTAGCCACAGCAACGAAACGTATAGAGTTGAACTTTTCGTTGTTCATACGCACACTTGTATGTACATACGTATGTGAGTTTCGTAGAATTCGTAGTTTTAAACAGAATTAAAAAGAGAACATGCGATTTCTGTCAAATTGCGTAGAGAACAAGCTTTTCTTAAACTTGAAATAAGGAAAATAAATTTGATGTAATACATTTGCATATGTATGTATGTACATATAAAAGATTGACGTTTTCGACCAATTAAGAAGTCAATTTACATACATAAGTAGATTAATGTACATACATGTATGTACATAGAAAAATTAATTTGATTTAATAAGTATGTACATACATATGTACGTACATATGTTTAAAAGTTTGAGTTTTCTTACTAAGTAAGAAGTAAATGTAAAATACTTTTAGGTATATGTATGTACATATAAACAAATGTACATACATATGTATGTATGCATGTACATATGTACATATTGGATTGGAATTCTAAAAGCAAAAACAAAACAAAAAGGCTGAAAAATATACATATGTATGTAAGTACATACATATATACATACATATGTTTATTTATATTTGTATATTTTCATAAATATGACAAAGCAATATCCTTTGCCTATGCAACTCTTTCGCATATTGTCAAATTAAATTTTCTTCTTTTGAGTAGCAACTTAATTCAGATAATATCACATTTTAGTTGATATGTTGAATCAGCAAAAATGGTGGGTAGGGACCTATTAACCCTCAAGTGTGATGTTTTTATCAGATTAAACACATTTAACAAAGAATAAAATCATTTTGTTATATTATGACTATTGTGATGTACATACATTTGTACATATATAGGTATTTTATTGCATTTTCTTTTTATAATTGTTTGAATATATTGTTTTATATTCTTACTAACCTTTAAATTGAACTTGGAACTTAATACGAATTCTTCGTTCATTTTTGTTCGTACTTAATAAGCAGTAAATTACAAAATTTATACAATTAACAAATTTATTGGGTTTAAATTTTTAATAATAATTTAATTTCAAAGAAATATTTCTTTTACTGGTCATGCCCAACTCAAGTTTTCATAATTTATTTTCACAAAACTCAAAAAATTCAACTTCTAAATTCCAAATGACCATGAACGGGTTAATGGTCAGCATTCAGCCATTTTTAGCACCTTCGATCTCCCCGTTAACCCCGCTAATTATTCAAAGTTTTAATGTGCAAATCACTCACTCTCGCCATTCGCCTCGCCCCCTTAGGATCCCGTGCAGATGCGACGCATTTTGGACGAGCTGGAGGACGAGGTGTACGAAATCAACGCCGAGAATCAGTTCCTGTTGCTGCGCCTAAACGACAGTCTGGATGAATTCCAACGGAAGCTGCAGGAGAATAACATTGCCAGTATTCCGGCAGTGCTCAATGACTTTGTTTCAGACCAAATAGTGCCTTTAGTCGCCGATGCGAGCTATCAGATCAAACCCCACTCGGTTATGAGTCGCGCCAACGAGGAGATGCTCATACGTAAGCACTTCCTGCTGAGTCAGGACGACGAGGCTGGTGTGCCGCCGCTGAAGCTCAGCGAACTGGACGAGAATATCCCTCTGATGTTGGCGCCCCCCGTCTTGGGCCTGGGACAGCAAATAGCCGCGGCTCATGTCCCAAAGACGCATTGGTCCAAAATAGACGACGTGGTTCCTCCCATCAAGTCTAAATCGCAGATTGAGTCTAACCAACATCCACTGCGTGTTGCCAAGAACGCTGCAGCCGACTCATTGGCATCTGCCAAGAAAAAGAACAACTCTTCTAGTTCACCGCCGCCTTTAGCTCCTATAACGCAAACTGTGATGGCGTCGCAAAATCAACCATTCGACGCAGCGGCCCAGAGGCCTCCGAATCTTCATTATGCCTTGAAGAGAGCCCGAAAAACCAAGCAGCAGCCACGCGTGTTCTGTGACGATGAGGTTATGGAGCTAAATAGTCTAGAAATAAGTCGTTTAAACAAGCTCTCCAAGGATGTCAGGAACTCTTCGTCTCCTCCTCTGCCTTCAGGTCCACCCAAGATTACAAAAAATAATGCTGCTGCAGCTCCACAGCAGACACATTCAAATGCCTTAGCCAAGAAATCGACGGCACACATGACCGTCCAGATGCCGCCGAAGAACTATAAGAACAAACAGAACATGGGCAGGAAACTCTCGCCTAATCCTCAATCGAACTCCTCCCAGCTTCAGCCAGCGGGCTCAACATCTGGCAGCTCTGACGATTCTAGCGCCGAACTGCAGCAGGAGCAGAAAAGACTGTTCGCATCCGCTGCCCAGTGGCGCGATGAACCAAGGGAAACCCGCATCCTTCCGACAGAATACGGCCAGGAGTCGTTCCTTGGGATCTTTGGTCTCTATACGCCGGAGGTGGTCAAGAAATTCAATCAACGGCACTCAAAGCGTAAGCGTCGTACAGTTCAGAATGCTAGCGGTGTTGATTTCCATTATGGTCAGCAATTGAATGCCATGGAGACCCTTGTTTTGGGCGTTCGCGGTCACAAAAAGGCCAAGGACAAGCCGGAATTCCTGCTCTCCCCAAAGGAGAAGCGTTTGCAGGCCAAAAGGGCATACAATCGCAAGAGATCTGGATCAACTGGAGCTGCAGACGTTGCTCCCATCGCCGAGATTCCGTGCCATCATGGCGATGTCAGCGCCACCAAGTGCCGAAAGTGTCGTGAATGCAGAGAATGCAAGCGCCGCGTGGGTGAGTCATTATCATCTTTCTCTTATTTTTAGTCACATTTTAATGACACCCTAACTTTAACGATGACCTCAATCTTGGTAAGATCACAGCGAATAAACAGGCTTTGCTAGCTGGTGATGAAGCAACAGAATGTTGCTTAGTTAGTTATGCGTATATTTTTCAATGATATGTTACATGGAAGACAAGGAATGTAGAAAGAAAATGAGAATCGACATACGATTGGGCGTTATGCACCTTCTTATTATATGCTCATTGCATTTAGAAATATCATTGTAATGTATTTTAATCGAAATTGTTTCATTTATATCTTTTCAGAGAGAGAGCCGGTGGTGTTCTGTCAGACTTGCCTGGGATTTTACCATATCGAATGCCATGAGCACCCCAAAAGTCGCAACCAGATCCAAACCCAAAGCATCCGCTGTCCGCCATGTTTGCGGGAGCAATCTGATAAATATCGTGACGGAAAGTGAGAAGGATTGGATGTCCGCCGTGTTTGCAGGAGCAAAACTGTTAAATATCGTCAGGGAAAAGGAGAAGGATCGGATCCCTATAATTTTAGCATGTATTCCTGTCGTACATATTTGTCTGATGGATTTGCTAGAGGAGTTCCTCAACAATTTAAAAATAGGGAAAAGGCGCAGAGGCATTTGTGAAAAGCCAGCCTTCGTTTCGTTTTTTTTTTTTTTTTGTTCGTATTAAGAGCAGGAGAAAATTAATACCTTTATTTCTCTTTCTATACTTTATATTCTTTCATTAAAACCCCTGTTTAAGTATGTCAATGAATGTGCATACAAAGAAGTGATTTAATAAATATATAAATACAAAATATTTTCTTTGTAGAGAGCATTATTCTTTGTCTGATGGAAAAGTGGATAAACTTTCGCAGGGATTATAACGTTACCAAAACGTGATGAAACGAGTTCAAAAAGATTATTTTTGTGAGATTTATTAGAAGGTATTAATTAAGACTGCTTGTTTTTAATAACTAAATCTTGAATTAATATTTTATTAGCTGGCACGAAGGCTGGCAGCCCTGGTGCGTACTTTACGAAGTCTGGCAGCTCTCAAATATGGCGCCAAACATCATCAAAATAAATCAACGAGTTGGTATAATTAATTGATACAGTGAAATATAAATTTTTAAATATATTTTATACTAACAGAAAATGGAATGGATAACAATTTTACAAGTTAAAAGGAAGCTCAAAACGAGATAATAGGTTTTACAATTAAATGTTTATTTGCAATGCTTTCGCATATTATAATAGTTTTGAATAATCATTAAAAAAAATATATGTTGTTTTTCGAGATAAAGCAAAGCTTTGTTTCCTTAATTATATATTTTGATTTTAAGTGCTCATATTTACACATCGATCTTAAATTATGGGATAAATCATTTAAGAAATGCAGAAAATCAACACAAATCTTATTGAAAGGTAAATATTTTGCATTTCGTTATTGAGTATTAAAAAAAATGTATATATGTACATTACAGGCTTGGATCATTGCACTATTCTAATTGCGAATTCGCATCCGAATAAGCGGGAACACCACAGCTAGTAGGGGCAGGAGTGAGCTGGTGAAGAGTCTACTCGACCCGTTGCACAAGTCACCCTGGCAAAAGCACATATAGACCTTTTTGTAATTGTATATGGTGTCCGCACAGCGGTCCATGTTGTCATCCGGACCACGCTGAACGCACATCCGCTGGATGGCCAGATCGTAGTCGTCAATGGCGTAGGTGCCTCCGCCCTCGATCACCTTCCCGCACCAGCCGCTGGCGCAGGGAATCGCCGACAGTCCCGGTTCGTTCTCCACATCCGTTGCGTTGAAGGTGAAGGGATCCTTGCAGCTGCCCAATTCCCCGCGAGAACGGCATTGGTAACAACGGCGTAGAAGTCCTAAAATCAAATGTAACACACTGTTATAATATAATGGCATAATTCAGAGTCATTGAAAAACCTTTTGTGTAATTAAGTAACTTTTCAGATAAAGGTCTGTAATTCTTATAAAAGAAATATCTGTTCGGAAATTAGTTAATTTTGTACATTGTTTAAGTATTAAAGCTAAGACTTATTCGTACAAAACTGGTATAATAATAACGTAAATTTAGACGATTTTTGTCAGATCTAAAATAGTATAAAATTAAGTCGAAATAATTAAGACTTAAGCAGAAAAGAAACCAAGTTCATTCGATTTCATGTAAGTTAGTTGTATTAAACTTTTCAATAACAAAATCAAATGTATAATCATTTAGATTTAAACTACACGAGACGTGATACTGAACACGTTAATTGAAAGTGGAAAAGTTTATTTTCACTTGGTGACTGACAAATGGGAGAAATATAACGTATTTTTCCTATTAGAAATAGTGGTCACAATAACAGGAACCATATAATTCCTAGACTTTAATCACATTTTAGTTAACTTTTCCCGATTTTCCCTCAGGTGAAATTGAAATTAGAACGGACACACGCATTGAACACAACTGCAGGATGCACACACACATATGCAGGTGAAACAAAAGACATCAACGGGAAAACGAACTTGTTGGCACTTTCATTCAAAATAACTTACCATCGATTTGTACCACTCCAGTGAGAAATATCACAGCCAGGCAAAAACTAATGGACTGCATGTCCAAAAATATGAGTAACAAATGGGGGTTTTATGAGCAATATTACTTAAAATATATAAATGTTATAACCAAGGCCAGTGTGACCGCAGCTTGACCATTTAAATATACCAGCTGGCCCACAGAAATTTTTCAATAAATACCATTACCCTTTTATTTTACAATCGTTTCACATATTTTAAAATAAAACCAATAACCTGTTTGTAATTAAATATTACATTTCAATTAGTAATAACAATAATATGAATAAAAGAATATTATTGCGGTTATCGAATATCGATATCTGAGTCCATCAATCTGTGAATTATAGGCAGCACTTGCTAAAAAACCCAGAATAAAGGAGGAAGAAACATCGATGTTCGCCGATATGTTTTAAGAAATAGTCATAAACTTCCATATCGCTGTCTTTAATTACGTTTTTGTAATACTCAAATTTTGCTTGGGAATAGGAATATTTCAGAGTTCCACCGATTAGCAAATTATTTCATTTCGATGGAAAACAATTGTAAAATTTTCGGAACATACGACCATCCGTTCAACGAAAGATTAAAGTAGATGGATATTTTTTGGACGAGGTTACAGAATAACCAACATTTTTGCTAAAATTTAATAAAAAAATTAAAATAAACTTCAAAGTTTTTCTCCGTTGGGCAGCACTGTTATCGTGGCCATCTCTAGCTCGCTGCAGCCCTGCGCCCTGCTGTATTTTTTCGCCAGCCCCACCAGTGTTGCCCCACCGGCGGTGCGAATCGCGTGTGTACACACTGTGCCTGATTCGTCGTACAAATAACTCATTTCATAGCGAAAAACTCATTATTCGTGTGCCTCAACAACGTCTGTACATATTTTTTGTTATTTTTTTTTGCTGAGATCGAAAACATTAGCGAAGAGACGTGCGTGGAATACGTTGGGCCGCGAGTTTTCACCGGAGAGCGACGAGCGTGAAAAACTGCGTACGTACGAAATGAAAAAAGTGGGCACCAAGAAAGCAAAAAAAAAAAATATGATGGAAGAATAGAGAAAGAGAGGGGGAAATTCGGCAGCTGTGCGTCGTAACTGAAACAACAAAAAGCGGGCCAAGGAGCCGTAGCGGGATTGCAGTGCAGAGTGCATGCGCTATAAACAAATAAAATCATTTAAATAGACATATAATCATGCCCGACGCTGGCAGCGGAGCCGGCAGCGCAGTCGACACCTTGCAACCGTCACCGTCTGTCTCGCTCCCTCGCGTGTGCATTTGTTTTTGTTTGTTTGCCAACTGTTTCATTTCGCCATCTCCCCTTCTTCCTCTCTCCCAGCAGCCCCCCACATCCCCAATTGGAATTGGACCAGGAAGCGACCGTTCCAATAGGAGCAGCCCGACGCAGCAGTAGCAACAACAACGCCATGGCTCTGGACAGTGGGACGCAGACAAATGCGCTGACCTCATCGTTTACCAATAAGAAGAAGGATGCCGCCGCGGAAAAGGAAAACCTATGGTGAGTTTTCCCCGGCCTAAAAGGCAAAATGCGCTTGCAAAATAATACTAAACAAAAGGAATCATTGCTCTTTCTCTCTCGCTCTTTTGTGCAGAAAATAAGTTAAAACTTTCTTCAGCTGACCTTTGCACGCTACGATATATAATTTAAACAATACAAATTAATGTGAAAACTTTATACTTTTGAAATGTTATGTTTCTTATGCTGAGAGGAGTGCGAAGAACTCTATTCCTGTAGTTTTACTTAGGTTTGCCATGCAATTTGTTGCTTAAATTCTGTTGAGCAAAATGTATGTGACTAAACCGATATCTACTAGCAGAAAGTATATGTAAAAATAGGTTTCTTCTATTGTAATTAATTCATTTTAAATTTATTAGTTTAAAATCCTTTTTCATTTACATATAAATACCATTTTCGTACAAATGTTATCCGTTTTTGACTTATATTCCCCTTATTCTTATTACTTAAATGTAAGGAATTTGGTGCTTTTATTTTCCCTTGTTTTGTTTACCAAATTATTTGCACTTATTTCCGAACATTTGTACGCTTTGTAATTGCGGTGTCTTTACAGCCGGCACCGCCCACTTGCACCTCTCAGGTTGTCCCACAGTACTCCTAAAATAACAGCTGATTTCATGGACAGGTTGTCCATATATTTTCCTGGTCTCTAACCTCAAATGTTTTGTAGAGTTTTCCTCTGTTTTTTTTTTTATTTGTCACCAATATAATTAAACAAAATGCGTAAATAAATAACATTACACGAAACCAGCGAAAGAGAGCCGAAATAACTGATAAAGATAGGGAAAGCAAGAGCGAGAAAGAGAGAGAGAGAGGGAGAGCCCGAAAAAAGCAACAATGTGAGAGAATGATTCACTATTTCGTTCAAAAAAAAAAAAAAAAAAACGAGGGCAGCGACAGCGCTGCCTACTCTCCGGTAAACTTTTTTTCGCATATTATTTAGTTTTGTTGTTGCACACACACACACGCACACACATGAACTCATCTATGAATAAAGCCCAGCTTAATGGGTTGCCCATCAATAATTATATTTCCAATTGGAAGTATTTCGCCCAATCAGGCAAACTTGGCTCTAAGACGTGAGTGTGTGTTGGTTTCCAACTGGCCTCCAGTGCGTGTGTGTGTGCGAGCGATGTTGTCATCACTCGAAAATGTCGTTCGGCTTAAATTACACTAGTTAACAGAATTCCGGCACCTCTGCCGGATAACAGCTGTTTTCTTTAGGAAAAACAATCGATAATACAATTATGTCAGCTGTTCTTTATTTGTATTCTTTTTATTTCCAAAGTAAGCGTATTCCTTAAGACCTCAAGTTATGCGATAAAAATTTGGTAGATCTTGAACAAAATATGGGAATATATGTGCTATAAAAATGCAAAATCTCTTTAAAAATTCATATTCTTAATTTAAATTAAAATATAATTAAATCCCAGTGGTAGGAAACTTCGATAACTCGTAATCTTAACTTATTGTTATATTTATTATACACATATTGAATCAAAAAACATACAATGTATGTAGAATAATTTTTATTGATATATTATATATTGAATTTCCTTCGAGTTCATAGACAGGTCAGAATCACAGTTTCGATTGCAATTATTATTTATAAAAGGTCATTGTAAGGTTTAATATCGTTTATTTAAATATTCATCGAAAATATGTTAGCTTCTTCGGTTGTCTGTTATAAACAAATTTTTAGCTTGTAGCTTAGTGCCTTGGAGCTTCAGAAATTTTTGACAACCACATTTTCTCTTTGAAAATGATCGTCAGCATTGTTTGTTTATTTTGGGCGACAGTGGCAAAGGACATGGTGTTGATTTCAATGAAGTCCTACTTGTTTTTGTTTATTTTTATTAATCTTGTCACTAGAGTTTGTTGTACTTTAATGAATGAAGTTTTCTATTTAGTGAGACATCAACAGATTTCATCGACGTCATTGAGTTGAATTTTAGAACCGTTTTTATTGGCTTTCATTTATTTTCTTTAAGATTATCAAATTATTTACGCAAAACACATAGAAACACTACAAACTATCGAACGCATTTGGACTACATTTCTTCGATAAATACATCGTTATCATCTTCGTTATCGGTGTGTGGTACCGAGGCTTGCGATTGCTGCTGCCTATCGAAGTTATTTTGGATGCGTTCCAGCAGATCGGTGGCCACCAGTGCAAAATCCTCCCACAAGGCATCGTGGGCTTCTGTATCCGTTTCTGTGCGATTTTCCTCATCTTCGTTGCGATTATCTTCGGGATCATCAGGATCATCGTTATCGTAATCGTTATCGTTATCGTTATCGCCCGTTGGTAAACGTTCTTCATCGAGGTAATCGGCCAGAAGATCGCTCACTTCGTCGAGAATATTGCCATTCTGGCAGAGATTGGCGGCACACTGTCCATCGATGAGGAGATTCCATAGCGCCTGACAAACTATGTTGGCCAGGAACCAGTCCTCCTGCTCCAGAGATCCACGCAGTAGTAGGGATAAAAGTTCTGCTCCTCGCAGCTGAAGGAATGGACCTCGTTGCTCGCCATCACCTAGGAGATTCACCAGAACACCAATGGCACACGTTCGGAGCTCGTAATCCTGCCCAGCTGCCTGCTTCGTCAACTGCTGCACCATTAGAGATAATCCGCCAGAGGCACAGAAGCATCGCCTGGCTCTTTCATTCCTCGTTAGGTTCCCCAGCACTCTGGCCAACTCCACTTTCGTCGCCGAGGTCTGACACGTGCCCAGAACACTTGCCAACGAAGCGGAAAGCTCATCAATCAAACTCTGGAGGGATCCCTTGGCCAAAGGTTGAACGGCCGCCTGCTTGTCCTGATAGAAGCACAGGTTGTGAAGGGCTCCCAAGGTGGCATGCAATAGCTCCTGTTGCTCCGATGACTAACCAAAAAAACAAAGTAGAAAATATTATTCAAACATATCTTTCTTGGATTATTCGCTTTAAACGCTTACCTTCTTCTTTTCCAACTCGTTACTGGTTGTGTTCAAAAGCTGAAGAAGTACCGAGCCCAAGGATCGGACATTACCCAGGCCTGCTCCCACTTCTGGATTCACACTCATGTTGGCCACCACGCGTATTAGCTTGATTTGAGCATCCACGAGGGCCAGACTAGTCGGCGAACGATCGTTAAGCTGCTCCAAGACATTCAGAAGATACTCCATGGCCACATCGTTCTGGAAATACTGCAGGAAACATGGAATTCTATACAAATCTGAATCAGAAATTGTATACAAAACTCACCTGGATGCGAGCAGACTCGTGCTTGGCCAGAATATTGCCCAACATGTAACCCAACCGACTGAGAACGGCCAGGAGGCGTTCACTGCACTGGCCACCAGCACAGGAGGGACCCAGGAGCAAGCCAATCCTTGCAGCGTAATTGTGCAGCGTTTCACAGCACTCGGAGTCTTCGGAAAGCACACTAAAAAGGATTCAAGATTATGATAACGAAATTATATTGTAATAAAAACCTACCTAAGGGTGCGCACGACGTTTGCCTGGACCTCCAGCTCACCCATAGACACCTCAGCCGCCCGGATGAGATGCGGACATGCCAACTGCAGTTGGAGCTGCAAACGCTGCTGCTGCTGGGATACATCTGCCAGAGCTCTCATCGCCGCCGACAGCTGGTACAGAGTGTGCAGCGGCGGCCCATGTAGACGCTTTGTGGCCCCTGCTTCGTTCAGCATCTGCAGATGCAGGATCATCAGCTCGACGGCTCCGTGACGAGCTAATCGGGAGACCAGCGTCTGCTGACCCGTCAACTTTCGCGGGCACAGTGGAGCAGATATGGCGGTAAGAGCTGGCGAGGTAACTGGATCAGAAACAGGATTAGTCGCCCCCGCCGAACCCTCCAGGCCAATCCAATTGCGGTTGAGGGCATCGTCCCGTTCCTGAGCACTGCTGGCGGTCAGAAATCGTATGCAGCCGTAGGCATAGATGCAAGCTTCCGGATCATCCAAGGGCGAAGCGTGTCCCAGGCCATCGATTAGCAGTTCCAGCACATCGTGTTCGTGAAACAAGGCGTCATGCTGTTCGTGTCTGGCCACCTTGAAGATCAGTTTGCAGGCTCCAGTCAGATTACTGCCAGTGACACGGAGCTGTATTTGGATTCATTCGAATCAATGATTTATCATCTGATATAAAAATTGAGGAAAGCTCACCGCTAACACCACACGGGCCACGGCCAAGAGGACACGCGGCGAACTGCATTCCACTAATCCATAAAGTCCGCCAAGGATAAAGCCACGCTTAAAATTGCGTTCCTGTTTTCTCACACGAGTATAGAGTTCTTGGAGAATCTGCAATTGTTTTATTAAGTTATTAACATTGTTAAACCCTAAAGTTCTTGTCTACTTACGGCATTCACATGCTGCACTGTCTCATCGCTGCATTCCTTAAGGCCCCTGTGTTGCTTCAAGAGCTCGATAAGGGTTTCTGTGCTGGACTGGCACAACAGGGCGCCATTCCTAGGGGGCATGGGTGTGGCAGGACCAGAGCCGGATAGGGCCGGCAGTTGACGCGGTGTACTGGGTTTCTCGTTCTGCAGATATCGCATACTGAAAAGTGCACAGGAAAAGAGTCACAAGTAACTAACTGATTATCTCTACCGAATGTGGAACCTACGAAAAGGCGCTGGGTGGACGTCCTGCCAAGGCCACCTTGCCGTATAAAACTCTTCCGGACTCGCGTGGCGTTATGGGTCGCCGGGTGCTGACCAGGCGAGCACCGCCGGTGGCCATTAGAGGCATTGCTCCCGAGGTTTCACCCAGAAACATTTTCGCCTCACTAATGAGCTCCGCCGATGTCTTGCGCCTTCCCATGGTGCCACCGCCAGAAACCAGGCCCAGTTTATTGAGGTTTTGTTCACTGGCATGCGGATGGGGATGACGGGCGTTATGCTGGGTTCTCTCCAGCTGTCTGTCCGCTTTCGTCTCCATCTCCGTCTCCGGCTGTTTGGCCTTCTCCGGGATCTCGTTGGGACGCGTTTCGCTGCGCGAGCGACGTTTCAGTAGCAAACTCATCCTGGGATTAGAGAGTTTGCTCTTGTAGATATTGAAACAGTAGACAAGGAATCCGCCAGCTTTGCCAGAGTCGATTCTATTTGTAAATTGGGATTAAGCCGTGTGACCAGCTCAACCAACACGGACAACAGATCCAGAAGCACTCCACAAAAGTGCCAGAGTGTTAGCCTGGAAAATGTAGTTTTCGTTTGGCTTTTTCGCGTGCACCATGCCAACGGAGGGGGGTTAGCCACTCCGCCTCCAGCCACGGCTGGCCACCACCTGTCAAGAGAGCCACAAGGAGAGGCACGCCAGGCGAACACCCACCACTAAATGAAGAACACTAAAATGTACCCCATTACCACCGAGTGGCGCACAGTGGGGCGAGGTTGATTTTCCCGGGAAGTGGGTCAGCGTGCGTTGCGTCTGTAAATTATAGAAGTTAATTGGATTTAAAGGAAATCGAAAGTATAGAAAATGGAAAGAAATTAAATTAGGTTTCACAACCCAAATTCGTTGCTGTTGATGGGTGCTTCATTTTGTCTGATTGAAAGCAGGAAAAGGAAGAAAGCAGTTACTAATATTTAATCCCAAAGAAATCAGGAAGTAAGCTAACTTGGGGAAGTCGTAAAATACATTTTGAATCAAGGAGAATCAATAAATTCCTCTGATTTGTATCTCTTATTATATTTCTGATTATACCAACTATGTAATTATGTCGTATAATTTTGATAAAATCTTAAACTAGTTAAAAAAAAAAACTATTTTACAAGTTATAAGCATCAAAGTGGAAAAATAACACATTAATGAATAGATCTCATGGTTCCAATGATAGCTATATATCATGGTTATCACTTTATTAAGATATTAAAACTTTGTTAGGGAAGTTTCATTTAGAAATCTCTTAAACTAAAAGATTGGTATGCGTAAAAGTCTTGCAAGGACTACATATATAAAAGGACCTCCAACTAAGGTACTTTAATGATGCAAATAGCAAGGAAAAAACTAATTTGCAAAGGTTCCAAGTATTAGCAAAGGACCACTCCCAACGCTGGGATGACAAACAATTTCCACACAACTCTGCACCAGTGTGTCCTTAGTCACAGGCAAATGAGAAGGCGCCGCTTTCAATAAAGGAACCGAGCAAAACAAAACAATCGAAGCGAACTGGAAAAGTGCTCGGCAATCGATATTCATTCCCGCAGTTGCGGAGAGCAATTTCAGGAGACAGGGCTTAAATGTTTTGGTGGAGAGATGGCCTGGGACACAGGACCTGCGGTCAATTTGCATGTCCTGCCAGTCCTACTGTCCGTCACGATGGTACTACCTGAAATATTTCACATCAATTGAAAATTATTTAATTGGTCTAATTGAATTGCAGACAGAGAGCTGCCACGTTCGAGAATCGCATGCAAAACCATATCTAATATTGACGTAGTTCCAAAACACTAAATTGAGCACGAAATGTTGGTGGGAGTGAAAATATGAGAGGCGTTCCGTCTATACACATCCATATCCATATAGTATTTGCAGCAAGGAAGTAGTAAAAGCGACTTTAGGGGTGCGCAAATTAACTTGATGGCAGCGGAATGTTGCGAAAAGGGAAATGTGGCTGAATGACGGAGACCTGACCTGAATCCATTTTACGTGTGTCAGCAGAATGACGGAAAGTGGAATGCGTAATTCGTAATTGCACAGTTTTTCTTTCGTTCTAACCCAAATCCAGAGAGTCTAGGATCATGGAGTACGATTTATCTGCGAAACTAAACGATCTTGCATAGGATTGTACTTGTTCTTAATGATGAAATCTGAATTATTTTGAAATATAGTTTGTGTACTGCTTGGCTGGGTGCTACCAATATGTTTTGGTAAGTGGTAATTGAAATCGTTGAGGATAGTCCTAGAGCAATTTGTATCATTCTAATTGTTTATTGGCTGTAGGCTCTCTTAACATATATAGCTCAAAATTCAGAGTGAGAGTACTCCTATTATATGGTGCGCATAAAAATCTTGTACGATAACCGATTTCTACATAACAGGTACCAGGTTTTGAAGTAAAAATATAAACTTGCCACATTTATGTCCAAATTTAACCTCTTTTATAATTCCTTAGAATAACTAGGTTTGAATTAATTAATTACCGCAAACAAAATTGTTTAAAATATATATTTCTTCCTATTTTGTTTAAAATCAAAATTTGGATAGTCACTCTTAACGTTATAATCTTGAGTTTGTTAAGATTTTGGCATAAAAAACAAATCCGAAAATTCTGTGTTATTATTCAAAATAAGAAGCAAAAAAGCATATAACATATTTAATTAACAACAGTTAAGTTTTTATTTAATTTTCAACCCAATAAAGTATACATATATTATTTGTCAGCATCAACAGCCGAGTCAATCTATCCCTCTATCCGTTTCTATGCAAACTATTTGCAAAGTTTTTGATATTTCAGATACATAATTCTATCTGAATGAAACCTTGCAGATAGACTTCATTGCATGACAGCTTTATATAAATCAGAAAAACTTAGTTTCTACGACTATATCATATAGCTGCCATAAGAACAAATGGGAAATATTTGAAAAATTCGGAATTCGTAATTTTTTAACATATTTCCATCTACCTTGAGATATGTCAACTTTTATTATTCAGGATTTTTTACGTTCTTTTCATGAATCGTGTAATGTTTAATGATCCAATTGCAAACTGCAAGAGTATACAAACTTCGCCTTCCAGAAGTTGACTTCCTTTTTGTTGCATTTACAATAAATGCAGATGTTTAAAGTATAAGTTTGAAGTAGTATTAAACATTATAATGGGACGTGGAAATGCTGGACTGGACAGTAGTAAAACTATTATTTTCGACAAAAACTAAAACCAATAATTAAGAGATTTTTTCTGGTCAAATAAAACCAATGCTAGGTTTTAGGTAGAAAGAAAATTCAATTGATTGGCAGATGAAATATAGACAGAATAAAAAGTAAAGATATAATTATTTAATTGGATTATTTAATTTTTGTATAAATAATACTTATAATTATACACCTTTCCTTTACCTTTGCAGGTCAGCGATACTGAATGAAGTACAAACACAGGGCAGCACAAAACTTCCATCAAACAAATCTGTACTAGTATTAGGCGACAATGCCACCGGAAAGACGACACTCATTGCCAAGCTCCAGGGCGTCGAGGATCCGAAGAAGGGCTCTGGCCTGGAGTATGCCTACATCGATGTCAAGGACGAGTACAGAGACGGTGAGTGAAGCTCGTATAGTAGTCAAATGGTGATTATTGACTGACTCCTTGCCATTGCAGACATGACGCGTTTGGGCGTTTGGGTCCTGGACGGCGATCCAGGACACACAAACCTGCTGCACTATGCGCTCAACGAAACGAACTATGCACACACACTCGTCATCCTCACCGTCTCGATGACGCAGCCGTGGGGCTGGCTGGAGCAGCTTAACCATTGGATCAAAGTCCTTGGGCAGCACATTGAGGGCCTGCAGCTGGACGCCAAAGAGAAGGAGGCGGCCCGCCAGCGCCTGACCACCACGTGGCAGAGCTACTGCGAGGTGGGTGATGATCTCGATCCGGGCTCGCCGGTTAAACGGACGATGCGTAACAATTCGATCGATGAGGACGACCTGCTGCCGCTGACGGAGGACGCACTAATTACAAATCTGGGCCTCGACATTGTCGTGGTGGTCACAAAGGTAACTGTCGCTTGGAGGGATCTATGATCTTAATTCATGTGTTTGTTTCCTTTGCAGACGGACTACATGACAACGCTGGAGAAGGAGTATGAGTATCGCGATGAGCACTTTGACTTTATCCAGCAATGGATACGTAACTTTTGCCTGCGGCACGGTACCTCGCTTTTCTACACGAGCGTCAAAGAAGACAAAAACTGTGATCTCCTCTACAAATATCTGACGCATCGAATTTACGGCCTGCCATTCCGTACGCCAGCGCTAGTCGTTGAAAAGGATGCGGTACTCATGTGGGTATCTCCTCCATTCATAGTTCTTTGCGTTATATTAATCCATTAATATTTATATTTTAGTCCGGCTGGCTGGGATAGCTTGAAGAAGATTAGTATTCTGTATGAAAATATGCATGGAGTCAAGGCCGAGAATCCCTACACAGACATAATCAAGGCACCGCCAACACGAAAGGTAAGTATCGGAGCAAATGTAAGAAATATAGTTAACAACTCTCTCATTTCCACATTCAGGCGGTATCCAATCGCGAGGCGGAAGTGCAGACGGAGGACGAACAGGCCTTCTTGGCCCGCCAGCAGGAGATCCTTAAGCAGGGCGATCAGGTGCGCGGAGAGTCACCGCTGCGATCGCAGGGCGGCGGCGTTGGCAGCAACAAGAGCGGACCAAGGACACCCGGCAGCACCACCGGACAGAGCTCGCCCAAAAAGGTGCGTACCGGGGTGGAGAACCTCTTGAAGTAAAAATTTTATGCATATTTATTGACTCCCCTGCAGATCGATCCCAAGCTGACGCCAGCCACTCCTGGTGGCGAGGGAGTTCTGGCCAACTTCTTCAACTCGCTGCTGCACAAAAGTCTGGCGGCCCTGGTGGCGCCGGTCCGGGCGGACCCGGCAGTCCTGCCGGAGCTGGGCGTACAGCCAACGGCACCGACGCCATGATGACGCCCGAAAAGCTAGCCGTGCGCACTGATGCGGCCGCCGAGCTGGATCGATTGTCGCGGAGCGTAAAGAAGGAGATCGATCTGTCGCAGAGCGAGTGTTGAGCAGCACAAGGCCTGCTGCAAGCCACCACCACCACCATCAGCATCAGAACCAGAACAACATAAACAAAGAAAATAATAATTATGTAAGCATAGAGTGAAAGGCGGAGACTCGTTGAAGACAGTCTTAAATGCAGCCGCTCTTAGATCATTCAATGGTCTGCTAGTTGTTGCAGGGTTTTGATCACAGTTTTCCGGGAAAAGTAGTATTCAAAAGTTAACCCTTTAATAGAAAGAACACTCAAGTTGTTTAAGTAAATGTTTTACGAGTTTAAATAAAATTATAAATATTAATAAATGAGCTGACAAAGTATTCAAATTTCAAAATGAGCTGAAAGCCAACCAAAGCATGTATAATCCAGCCTTCGTTAGCTTACATTTTGTCATAAGCTAAAGAATGGCTTGCAAACAATTTGAGTGTCGTCGAAATCAAGTCGAAAAACGAAACATTGTAGAATATTGAATGCATTTCCCAGCAAACAAAGAGATACAAATCCCTTTTAGAAAACATTTAAATCTTTCTGGAACCCATTTGATGAGTTCCAAGAGTTCAAACATCGCGTTTTCCCTTTTTCGAGCCTCCTGCGGCATACTCAAAAGAACACACCCTAGATGGGAAATGTTGCTGAAACTAAAATAAAGCAAAGCAAAACAAAAAAACTAGGAATGATAAATACTGAACGATGAAGAGAGACTAGTGGCGTTAGATATCGTTTAGCTTAGCGAAAAGGTTTGGAGAATTTGAAGAATGATGAATAATTAATGGCAAACGCATATTGTACCGCTCTGCATGTGTTTAAGGGCTGAAAAATGATGTGAAAATGCGTGCAAATGATGACGAATTCTAGGGTCCACACACACATTTGTATCATAACAATTTAAAGCGCTGTAATCTGTAATATTAACAAAAGAAAGAAAACAAAAACGAGAGATTCTTAACAGTCCAAGATTCCTGCGACGAGGATAGTACTCACACACACAGACACACGATACGATAGCTTGTATATGTACTTTTTAATTATATTAATTAAGTATACATTCACCCAAAACAAGGCGATACCAAGGAACTTTTAAAAACGAAATGTAATTACAAGTTCTTTGGCAATACTACACTGGCGTTATGTATGCATATTGTGTTGTGTTCAGTTGTAGGCGAAAAGTATATATTAATATTTATGCAATGCGAGATCGAGAAGATGCAACGATCCCTAATCGCGTGTAAATTTTTTTTGTTTCTTAGTTAGCCAGCTTTCCGTTCATTTATTCCTCTTGTAATTAATTTTAAAGCCCAATTCCTTATTTTTTAATCTTACCCAATCCCAACTATAATCAGGGGCAAATACCAACTGTGGTTTTCCATTTTAAAGCAAGCTTTTATTTAAGACATTTTTTTAACGTTTCAACGAGCGTGACAAGTTAGCGAGTTGGCCAAAGAAACGAATCCTACTCGTCATTTTCTGTTTATGATTTATTCGGAACGAGAATTAATAGTCTATCCTTTTTGCCATATAATGTATTCGCTCTTTCTCTGTTCCCCCATCTTCTTTCACTCACTCTCTCTCTCTTTCTTTTCCTTCTGCTTTGAGTCACCTCGTTGCCATTCGGCGTTTCGTAAAAATAAGCCTCAAAATGAAAGAGAAGGCAACACAAAAAATATATAACAAAATGCGAAAAGAAAGAAAACTGATTGATTTGTGCTACAGAAACTATTTTATGTATAAATGCAAAATAATTATATTAAATATATTGTATAACATTATATAATTAAATACATATACATTTAAAAAACGTGAGCAAATTAAAAAACAAAAACAAAAACATGTGCAAGCAAATTATTTAAATTTATTTAAATTGAACGCGGTATTCCACACGAGTCTTGGCCCTTCTATGTGAACAAAGAACAAAGCTTAACAAATCGTGCACACAAAATAACTTAATGTAAATTAAAAATTAAAATAATAATAAAAATAATAAATAATATATTGAAATCAGCGTAAAAAAGCAAGAAAAGTAAATAATAAAATTTTCCAAAAACATATAAAACACAATTAATGATTTTGTATTTATTTCTTTTATGAACGTTGGGAGTATTTTGTAAAGCATTGCCCATTGGATGGAAAATCAAGACATTAAATTAAAATATAGATAATGATTCAAAAAATCAATAATAATAAACACACATTTTTCTTACGTTTGTTTATGTTTCCTTGTAATTTTATTTCGTTTGGCTCCTTTTGATTGTTTTTATTTCATTTATTTATTGTAACATTTTGTGTATTTTTAAATGTATAGATACCCTACTTTGTTTTGTTCCTTGAAAATTTCGAAAATTAAAAAGAATCTTATTATTTCTTGGATTGTGACGCACCATCGAATGGAGTTGAAACATTTAATGAATCCGAATTTTAGTATGATCTATGCAGGTCATGAAGTAACAAGTGATTGGCAACAATGAGATTCAAACCCACTCCGTCATCAGTGAGATAGAGGAAGACGACAAATCTTATTACTGGGATCTTTAAGCTGGTTAACCATGTCCTGCCGATCTTTCACCGGAACAATTATTTTCAACTATTTAACCGTTGAAGAACCGACAGGACATAGCTAACCAATTCAACGATCGCAACAATTATAACAAGCTAGTCATCTTACTCTCCCTCACTGCTGGCGGAGTGGGGTTAAATCTCATGGGTGCCAAACGCCTGTTACTTCTTGACTTGCGTTGATCATATTCAAATTCGCATTCATTAAATATTTCAACCCCATGCGATGGTGTATTACGATTCCGAAATTTTAAGATTCTTTAAAACTTTCGGAATTTTCGAGAAACAAAACAACATAGGTTATCTATACATTTATAAAGACACAAAATGTTACAACAAATAAATGAATTAAAATCATCCAGAACTTTAACTTAATCAGACCTCATTGTGTTTTTAACATTTTCGAAAAATAAAGTACCATAAATAAGATGAGATAAATAAATCAAGTAAATAAATAACATTTTGTGAATAATAATAATAATAAATAATAAACGAAATCAAAAATAAGTTCCACAAAAATGACCTTTTCAGTACGAACGGAAATGTTCGACTGAGCTAAGCAGTAAAAGGTATGACTTCCATTATTTGACAATTCCCAAAAGTTAATTTTCAACAAACCTCATGGCTTGCTTGATCCTACATTTTTTTAGACATCGATAAATTTAGCTATAGATAGATAGCTATTTAGCTTTATAGCTAGAATGAATACATTACAGAATGAGAGCTTTCTTGGCCAACCCGACAACTCTTAAATGTTATACAAATTTGTTAATTGGTGTTAATTAATTGTCGGTTAATCTTTTTATTTTATTTTGCAGAGATTCATTTCCATTTTCATGATGTGAGCGTCTGGAACCATGCTCCATAATTGTTTGCAACATGTTATCGATAATTTTTTTTGGCCAAGACTGAGCTTGATCTGTGGGTTAACCAACCAGTTGAGCATCTCAAGGTTAACAGGTGAGCCGTGTCCTTGTACAGGATTAAATCAAAATACTGAGCCTGCTTTGCTTGTGGAATGTTGAACTCTAGGATGAATCTGTCCTTTCACAATGAATATTCCACCTGTTAGGTCACTTGCCGTTGGAGACCAGAAATTCCTGAATGATCCTTGACGTTTCAATTCATTGAAGGTGGTCATAATTAGGACACTATATATACAATCAAGCAGCTAAGATTTTAATAATTGAAATTGAACAGACAGGAGTAGGGACTTAAACCTATGAAGTAGGCTTAGTAGCAGCTTTCTTAACTTCCGGGGAAATAGCAGAGATGGATTGGTTAACTTGAGGGGCTTTATCTGGGGTCTCATGATAATCCCCAAAACCAAATTGGTAATTGGGAATGACTCCCCTGCATGGTTTTTACTTCCATTATTTATAAAGAAATATTCTCTCGAATACAGAAGTAGAAAGACTCTACTGTACCATTTAAAATACATAGTTAAAATAGTTTGGTTTTATTTATTTTTATAACTCACACATTATGTAATTAGTAGTTTCGGAAATATCGAAATCATTTTAAAGTTAGCTTGGGGCTCAAATGATTTGTGGGTTCAACTGTAGATTGTACTTCTGATTGTGGGCTGATGAGTTTTGAATGCAGAAATGATTGAATTTACCATCAGAATTTGTTCAGTGTAGTGATAACATTGAGATCTTAAACCACTCTTAACCTAAATTAAGGTTCTAATTTCATGGAAATTGAACAACTCCGTAATAGGAAATTTAAACAGCAAAGTATTTGGAAAATAATATGAAAATGACTTATATAAACTTTCATTCCAAACAGATAAGTAAATTTATTACAAACTTCTACTTTTTTTCTTGTTGATGACTGTCAGGGATCTTTATTTTTATGAAAAAAGCAGCTGTCTTGAGTTTTAATCCACATAAATAAATATTATGACTAAAATGATTAATGTCGAGTTCTTATCAATATGTTTAAGAGTGAAAAGAAAAGTCTGCTAAATATTGGGCGATATATATCGAAAAATTATTATAGATTTTAATGTAATTTCATGATGAATCATCAGCCTAATGAAATGAGCTAAGCAAATGTGATTGTCCTCATTCTGATGACTCCACATACAAGTTTTTTTTCTTCGAGTCTGCAAGAAAATCCTTCTACTTATATTACGTTCGGAGAAACTAGTTAACTCTGCAGAAATAATTGAACTCAATTGTTAAAAACTAATCCTAATCCCCACACATGCGAGTCTGGGGAAAACTTTATTAAACTCTTCCCTTCCATTAACAGTGGCGAAGGGGAAACGGAAAAAGTTTTCCACGATATGCGGGACAGAACTTTTATTAATGATGATGAGAGGCTGGTCTCCTTTGATGATTATCGCATTAAACGAGGCCAACTGGTAACAGAAATGGCCAATTGCAGTGGATGATGTTTTCATTTCGATAGTGATTTTCACAAAACATTTTCGCTCTACACTTGCAAAATGGATTTGACTAATTATTAAGTGAGAAAATTATAATCAAATTCCTAGTCTCATCAAAGGACATTTGAATTGCGGCCCAGAGATGACCAGGACATTGGATATTTTTGGATCTTCAGGGTCATTTCACACTTTTCTTCGAGTGCATGGCTCATTCCAAGGACTAAGAGGAACAGCTGGCAGGATGGTTTTCCCTACCCCCCGTCGCACAGTGCTTTGATGCCTCCAAGGATAACACTTTGCTTGACCTTTCTCGCTGTGTGCGTGTGTGTGTGCTGTGTGTGTGTGAGAGCGCGTGATAAATGATGACGCCAGTCTACCTCAGCATCTCGTCCTCCCTCGTCCTCACCCTCTCTCCCACCTCATGTCCTTCCTTCCTGCGACCCTTTTTGGTTACTTATTGTTTCAGCCCGCATCCTTTGTGCCCGGCGACAGTTTTTCCAAGTTTGTTTCTGTTACTTTGCCCCTGCGCCTGCCACACGGTGCCACCACATCCTCTCTCTCTCCGCAGGATTTTCCTCGCACGTGCTCATTTTCCTTATTGCCCAGCCTGACTTAGCGCCTTTCTGCCAGTCTCGATTTGGCTCACAAAAATATTGACATTGATTTTGATTTCCAATTTTTTGTTGTCTTTTTTTGCAATTTGATGGCTTGGCTCCTTGCACGTACTGAGTGAGATCCTGCAGCAGGAGCAGCAGTTGCCAGATGCCTCCGGCGTTGCAGCCTCAGATCCGAGGATACATTTTACATCGCAACTATATGAGTTTGGAAATTAAAGTTACTTTGCCAACATTCGATTGCCAAACAATAATGTTCAATATCTGCAATTTAATTTATTAAAGATAACTTACAAAATGGGTTGTAAAATGAATTTTAATATCACCCCAAGGTTATCAAGCATACAAATCGTATTTTGATTTACCTTTGCCATTAAATATATTAAACTCAATATAACAATGTTATTTATTATTAATTCATTTACATTTTAATGCATTCTAAACGTTTATTTGATTTTTTATTAAATCCAACTTGTAACAATTGGCATTTTATGATGATAGACATTGGAAAATAAATTATGCAAACGGCGAACAACGGCGAAAAAATGCAAATCAAATTTTACACAATGTAATTAAGTTCGGTTTTTTTTATTCCTCTTTTTGTCATTTGACACAAATCTAATATTAATTAAGCAGACCAGAGAGAGAGACATCGGACTCTTGTCGAGCTAGAATATAATCAAACTAATTGAATTCGCATTAAATTCCATTGCAATCGATTGTAAAAAAAGCGTAAATAAAGAATAAACAAATGTAAGCGTATTTTCCAGGCAGCAAAAAAAAACTTGCTGCAGGCATGAATTTAATATTATTATTCAAAACATTCATGACGATGAGTCTGGTTACCGCTTTGAGTTTGGACTTTGTATGGTTTTACCTCGCATAATGACGCTATATTTCTTAGCTGACCCACTGCACTATGGGAAAGTTCACTTATTTTGTTGATAAAATGTATTTATTTTCAATTTTATTTATTTATTTATTTATTTTCAATTTTAATATAAAAACGAACCAACTGATTCAGTCAGATGTTGAAAGCGTATAGCATTTGTGCTTAATTTTAAACCAAACTATAAAATCTCTAACTCTTGGGCCACAATATGTAAAGCCTTAAAATGTGAAACTAATATTAATTCCATTAATTTAATTTTTTATTTATTTTATTTTAATTAATATTTCTAATATTATTTAATATTTATTTAATTTTAAGGTAATAAATCCTAAACATTTTTCTAACATTTTAATTTATTTCTATGCATTTTGAGAAGGACTTAAAAGATGTTTAAGTTTCTTTAGTTTATAATTATCTTATATTTTGTCCCATGAGCTATTGAGAAATTTAGATTTTGAGCTAAAAAGCAATTTTCAGTCTGATTTTTAATCCGATTTTGATAAAATATTGTATATCCTTTCAAGGTTGTATTTTAGGTTTTATAGAGTTATCTTAAATTGTATTTGATTTTTCTTACAACAGCTACATTTATTTTAAAATGGTTTGATGTGGATAATTTTTATTCTGAATCTGCGCATGAAGATGATGTTCTTAATTAATACTTAATTAATTCCAAAAAAAAACGACAATAATCCCCACAGTACTGTGGTAACGAATAAACACAAAACAAGCAACGCGAGAATCTGACAACTAATTATTATAATATCCTAGATTTATCCGGCACACGACACTACGAGTTTTTCTAGTTGAGTTTCTATAATGACAGCTTAATTGGAATCGGAATCAGAATTGGATGGGATGTTTGTAATAAAAAACTTTTGACAGCCTACGGCCTTGTGAGGCCGTCAAAACAACTTTGTGGAAAGCGGGATGATGATGATGTTGATGATGATGATGGGGCGGAAAAGAAAAACAAAGAACAGAAAAAAAGACAAATGGATGAATGTACATAGTTACATATGTGTGTACATACATATTGTATGTTACATAATTGGATGTTATTTATGTTTTATTTAATAAGTTTATAGGTAAAATATACAGCATATTTATTGTAATAGATATTTAGAAAGGGTTTGAAAGGTGATTTGCCGCCTCTTAATGACAGATTTACAACATTTTCGCTGATTTGTTTACGAAGTTGATTATAAACTTGTAAGACTTGGTGTTAAAATACCCGGAACACAAAGCAATATGTGTTTAATTAAAATATCTGCCAAAGAGTCGAGTTCTAATCTCACTGTAAAATCGCTGAGAGGTAAGTGATCGCAAAAAATCATCAGATAAAGTTATTAAAAAGCAACACGATTTTATGCCCTTGTATAGTTTATCTGAACATGAACAAATACCAAAGTATTGTTAATTGTGATGAAAACTGTTATAATGGTCTCTACTGGTATTTTTCATTTTTGTGTTTGTAAAAAGTATTATTCTAATTTTAGCCAATTAATTTAATATCCTATATTCTTATATTCCATCTTTTCTCAGTTGGAACTTTATCAGTATAATTATAGATTAATCTTTTTTGGCATCGTTTATAATACATAAAATCTATCAATGCGGAATGCACAAGAATATGTATGTTGCTAGGCAAATGTTATCAGAAACATGTTGAGCAACATTGATGCTGTCAACATCTCAATGCTTGACAGTCAAAGCGAAATTTTTGTTAAATAACTCTCTTATTTATTCAATTTATTTCCTTATATTTTGGGGTCATGTCGTTAAAAGACTAAATATCATATAACTATTTTTTGGCTTAAATATGGTTACTGGTTACATATAAATATATTTTGTAGTACAAGAATTAGGAGGAAGTCCATTAAGTTATATATGTATTTTGGTTATAAATCAGGTTGCTTATCTAAGTAACTAATTTTATGTAATATTATATTATATTATTATTATATTATATTATATTATATTATATTGTATAATATTATATTTTATTACATTATATTATATTATATTATATTATATTAGATTACATTATATTTGATCAACAAAATAGTTTCTATTTCTCTGTGCTCAGACTCAAGAGGCGGTCACTTTTTTGATTGAAGTCAATTGAAATTGCAACGGCAGTTCATTGAGAAAAGTGTTTACTTAGCTTTAATAGACTTAGCCAAGGATATAGATGCCAAGAGGACGACTCTGATGCTGCTGCTGGTGCGTCCTTGGAGCGACAACTGCTTCTGTTTTATGCTTTTCTGCTGCAGCTCCATCGCATTTGTCTGACAAATTGAGTTTCCGGACGGACACGGTCTCGGAAAAAGCTCAAATAAAATCAAATGTGCGGCTGGCAATAAGAAAATACAGAGAAAGAAAATGTTATGAAGATATATGCAGATATACTGGGAAATAATAACTGAAGCTGAAGTAGGGTTATGAGAAACGTTTAAGCTTTAAAATAAATTTAAAAGAAAACGAGTAGGAATTAAGTAAGGATATACTTTATTATACTAATATTGTAAACTCTTTTCGAAATATTTAAAAGTATAAGAACCTTAAAGTTCAATTAGTAAAAGTTGCTGCGACAAGATCAAAGAAGGTACGGAAACATATTAAGACTAATAATGACTGATTTTAATTTTAAACTATAGATAAATCTACCTTAGATTTTCTCAATACTTAACTAGTAATTTTTCTTTCCGTGCAATAAGGAATCTGGTGGAAGGAGCACGCTCTAATGATTCGGTTTCCTCATATATAAAGCCATCGCCTGGAGTTGCCCAATTGCACATGACACTCTTTGAGGGCAGAGAATTTAATTTCAGTATCGAAGGGAAACCCCCTTCTTTATTTCCACATTTATTGCTCGCCTTTTCTGTGTAAAATTTCCGTTGTGCGACTCTTTGTTTCGAGAGGGCCATTTGCCGGGCGGCCAACAAAAATTGTCAATTAGAGCTATTAGGGCCAATGGCAATTAGTTGCCTGCCCATTATGCGGAAAGCCATTTTCTTCAGCTCTCTTATTTGTATTTATACATTTTCCAGCACTTTTTTCACTTGCCACACAACGATCTTTGTGCAGGAATTTTCAATTTGAAGCACACACACACATTTCCTGGTTGCCTGGGGCAAGATGTGCAAATAATGGTAACGTAATGGTAAAAGCGTCACAATGTGTACAATAGAAGCATATATGCACATACATCCAGTTTAATTGTCATGTACAAGGACATCAGAGTGGGTCCTGCAGAGCATAGACTCGAATTGAAGCGGAGTTTTTACATAGCAATGAAATATAATAAAATGATATATAATAAATAAAGAATATGTGTTTCTTTTACGATTTAAAAAAAGCTGAATAATATAAATATTAACAATAAAAACCTTTTGCAATGTTCAATGTTCAAGAGAAAATATATATTTATATACTTCCTCTTGCTCGAAATACAATCTGTTTATTTATTTTTAGGAAAGGTCAGCAAACAGTATTTTCATTTATTCCGTTATTAAGATATTATACATTTTTAGCTTTGTATTTATTTATAGCTTTTATTGTTCAAAAAATAATTAAAGCATCCATTTTCCTTAAACTAATTGGTGGGTGTAGAAAACACAAATCAAAATCAATCAAAGCTGTGACAAAAGTAACACAAAATGTGCGCATTTAACGGCTTAACAAAAAATATGATAAAGCTAGAAAAAAAAACATTAATTTAAAGAAAATATCCTTAAGGACATCTCTACAAGGTCTCTCCTATTGGTTTTATGGTCAACTCATGGACTTGGACATGTGGCGGAGTACCGATGGCATACAGCACACCTTGGGAAATATCCTCCGAATGGAGCATGCGGTCCTTGATCGCCTCCCGGATGCTGTCGGGCAGGATCTCCGTGTCCACCACTCCCGGACTGACGCTCTGAAGGATGATATACCAGGAAATGTATCACTTTGCACAAAAAGGAATAAATCACAAAGAAATCCAAACACAACCCACCGTAATCTTGATGCGAGTGCCCAATCCAAGGAACTCCTGGCGATATCCTTCGGCCAGGGCAGTCACAGCATGCTTACTCGGCGGATAGACATTGACATCTGGTGCCACACCCTCCATCGCCGTCATGGTCTTATGCCCAAGGATGCTGTTGATGAGCACCACATGACCATCGAATTTGCGCTCCCGCATCGAGCGGACAGCTCGTTGGGTACAGAGAACGATGCCCATGATGTTGGTCTGAAGCACTAGCTGCATCTGGGCAGGATTCATGTCCACCAGGTGACCCGACTGCAGGGTTCCAGCATTGTTCACCAGAATATCGACGGCGCCCAATTTCTTGATGATCCAATCAAAGGCTTCGTTCACAGAGCTCTCGCTGCCCACGTCGCAGTAAAGGGCAAAGAGTTTGCCCCGCTTCTCCACCGGCAGATCCTTCTGCAGCTCCTTCACCCGGTCCACCCGACGGGCCAGACCCACCACAGTCATGCCTGCCTTGACCAGATCCTTGGCTATGGCCGATCCAATGCCGGAACTTGCTCCGGTAACAACTGCGACGCGATTTTGCCAGCGTTCCATGTTGACGGTTTGAATTTTGATTGATTTTTGCTCAGATCTCGTAAAGATCTCCAGCTATATATATATGTATATGGATGGAATGGGATGGAATGGGATGGAATGGGTTGGGATGGGTTGGATTGAGATGGTTGCGTGCGAGAATCAGCCGCTCTCGGAACAAGTTTTGATCAATTACACAGAGGAAAATCTAGTACTTTAAACTCCATATAAAGCTACCTAAGAAATTAAATAAAGGAGGCTGTTTAATAAATGTAAAAGAAATGGTAGTTTGATCTAAATGAAAATGAAAATAAATAAATTAAATGTTATACATTTATGTACTTTTAAAAACATTGTATACCCAATTAAGAAACACTTCTTTCGGTGGATAGAGTCAAAGTTAGCGTGTCTTGTTTTGTGAAGAAACTGCAATATCATTTTGTGGCAATCAGTCACGCCCACGATCTGTCGGAAGGGGCAACGTGGAAAAGTCACATTTGCATAGATGAGAACGCGGCTCTTAGCATTTTCCATTGTTTTTGGCCATATTCCGGCAGTGATATATGGCTCAAAGATCTGGTTTTGGGAGTTCTAATGATGGTGTTCAGAACGCACGCTTACTCAAAGTCTGTCTCAGGCAATTAGAAGGGGCTGGTGACCCAATTAAAGTGACAAGTTTGTAGTGGAATTATGAAAATTAGCCTGGTCAGTGTGTTGTTTTATTAAATAAGGCACTTTGCTAAATATATACTTTAGCAAGTATATAATACTATAGCATTTGACAAAGCCTAACTCTCAAGTATGGCCTATGGAAGTGGCAGGCAATAATTTCATTCACGAGCTTTAAATATATACAGGTTGAGAGTTATTATCTAAACTGATACAAAATAACAGAAAATACCTCTTGAAAAAATAGCTTATATATGTACATTGCGTAACTAATGTAAATTAATCTCGGGTCTAATTACTTTTTAATTTTATTTTAATTTGAACTTCGGTTCTTCGAACACGCGATAGATATTCATGATTAAAACATAAGATACCAGTCGTCAAAGAAGCTCTCATTATGATCAGATTGGTAAATACACTGTACTATAACCAAGCCTAAAAAAATATCTTTTAAAGCCGAATAAATTGCATTTTAAATATATAATTGGTCTTGCCTAAACATTTCTTAAATGAAATAACACAACGACTAAGAGAACGAAACAAGTGATAATTTATTTGGCCACTAATACCGAGTAATGATTGTGCAATTAGGTGTTTTGCAATTGTTCGTTTTGTTTGAAATGGCTTAAAGTGCTGATGTGAATGTCATTTAATTCCGGTTTTGGAGTGATCTGCTGCTACTGCTGCTACTACTGCTGCTGCTGATCCCTTCCCGAAGGCAGAGTAAGGTCTTCCAAGGTGTGAATTGGTATCACAAGGCGGTGGTGCGCCTAGAGTATAAACGTGATAAAGATGCTTGATTTGTTTGCTGATCTTGATGTTGTGGATTACTCTGGCTATTCTTCAATTCCATGTCTTGATTCGTTTGCTGATCTTGATGTTGTGGATTTCTCTGGTTATTCTTCAATTCCATGTCTTGATTCGTTTGCTGATCTTGATGTTTTGGATTTCTCTGGTTATTCTTCAATTCCATGTCTTGATTGGCGGTCGGTCTTGTGCAAGTGGAAAACGAAACAGGCAATGTTATATACGAGGCAGCGTAATATATAACATTGCGTATCCTCGGTAATAGTGGCCTCAAGGGTTGTAAAGTGGGATGGAAGCGAATTCGAGTCGAGTGGATACTGTGGAGTGGAGTGGAGTGGAGTGGTTAAGACTGGAGTAGAGTGGAGTAGAGAACAGTAGTGTTGGAGTAAGAGAACAGTAGTGTTGGTGTAGTGTTGGAGTAGAGAACAGTAGTGTTGGAGTAGTGTTGGAGTTGCGTTGGAGTAGACTAGGAGTAGACTAGGAGTAGAATAGGAGCTGTGTAGGAGTAGAATTGGAGTAGAGGAAGAGGAAGAGTAAGTGACTGGAGGAGCTTCGCCGGATATTCGTTGCGATCCAGTTCTCATCTTGTTGTAGCGTTCCATGCAACGTTCCCTACCAGAAGCCACCCTTGCCCTGGGTGCCGCCATAGTTCATGCTCATGTCCATGCCGTTGTAGGCACAGAACGCCTCGCCGTTGTCGATGCAGGGCTCGTACTGGTTCTGTCCTTGGCTGAAGAAGTTGGTCGGAACGTTGCAGGTGAGCGGCGAACTCACATTCCCGTAGTCGCCCATGCCCATCTGGGCTCCAGGATTCATGCCCTGCATTGGCATGCCGGCCAGACCCGTTCCGCTGGCCGTGGGGTATTGTCCAGGAGACGCGGCCGAGGGGTACGATCCTGGCAACGCGGCCGAGGAGTGGGCCCGCGTCGCCGCCCCCTGGCCGGTCCATCCGCCGGAACCGAATCCTCCAGGAGCTGCTGCTGCTGCACCTCTTCCCATCTGTGGATGTGGCTGATGCTGCTGCTGCGGCTGCTGCGGCTGCGGCTGCATGAGATCTCCCATCTGTGGATAAACAGGCGCGTTCACGGGCTGTCCGTTCCAGTAAGAGAAAGAGTTCGACATTGCTGTTCACGAATCAACAAAAAAAAAAAATCAAACAAAAACTCAATAGAAACTTTAGCAATTTTGCGGTGGAAAACGAGATTATAAGACTTGGAAAAATTAGTAAGCCAGAATTTGTTGATTTACCAAACAAATTTTTTAACCAAAAAACTTTTTGTACTCTACAAATTTTGTTCCGGTAAACGGTGTGAACTGTTTGAACTCACAAGAAAGACTGAATTATTTGGTGCTTGGCTTGGGGTCGTTAGTTTTCGGATATGACATTTCGATTCCAAGGACTACTAGATTTTTATTTTGTTCAAAATTTAATATAAAATTGTAATTCAAATTGAATAAATTTTTTAGTCTAGTAGTCCCTGATATTGGAATTTTTCTATTTTGTAAAATTATAATATTTTTCGGACCGTCTTTTTCGGACTTTAAGAATATATCTAGTGAAGGAGCCAAGGTCAGGTATTTATATTTTTTGTTCGCAGATTTTTGTACATATGTATTTTATTATAAATGCTTTATGTCTTAAGAATATTGTGTAAAAGTTTAACATCTTTTATAGTAAAATATTTAAAGTTATGGGTATTTGAACGGTGGTCATTTGGTTTGGTTTTGGTCAATGTTTGATTATTTAATACGTTTAAGCGCTCCCTTTAATAGTGTTATTAAATCTTTTAAAATCTACGAATTCTACTAATCTACTAATTTGGAACTTAACTGCTTCAAGTAATTATATAGGTACACACGCCAGTTTGTCTTTATTTTTATACCCTTGCAGGGTATTATAATTTCAGTCAGAAGTTTGCAACGCAGTGAAGGAGGCACCTCCGACTATATAAAGTATATATATTCTTGATCAGGATCAACAGCCGAGTCGATCTAGCCATGTCCGTCTGTCCGTCTGTCCGTCTGTCCGTTTCTACGCAAACTAGTCTCTCAGTTTTAAGGCTATCTGAACGAAACTTTGTAGTTAGCCTTCTATATACTCTCACTCGTATATATGTCGGAACGGGCCGGATCGGACGACTATATCATATAGCTGCCATAGGAATGATCGGAAAATTAAAAAAAAAATTTTAACTTTTTCAGTTTTCAATAGAATTGAATCAAATTTGAGATATAGCCATTTTCCCATACTCTTCAATTTTGCATAAAATTTTAAGAAAATCGGACTACTATATCATATAGCTCCCATAGGAACGATCGAGAAATTAATACAATTAAATTTATAACTTTTTCTGTATTCAGCTAATTTTCATCAAATTTGAGGTATAGCCATTTTATATTAGTCTTAAATTTTGTGTCAAATTTCATGAAAATCGGACGACTATATCATATAGGTGCCATACAAACGATCGTTAGATGTAGAGGAAAAATGCAAATCTGCGAATGTAAAACTGCAAATATAATATGTATAGGTGAATGAAATGAAAGCAGATATTACTTCATTGTTTTTTAACACAAATAAATATAATTTATATTGTTGAGATTCCAAGTCATAGAAGTTATATCTGCAAGGGTATATAGACTTCGGCGTGCCGAAGTTAGCTTCCTTTCTTGTTTAGTTTATTATATTTTCAAACAAAACATAATTACACTTTCAAAAAATAGGGGATTTGTTTTTAAATGTTGATACAAATTCAGAAAAATTTTTCTAAAAATAAGGGTCTTATGAGTGCCCCGGGACACTTATCCTTCGACAAATATATTTTATTGTTTAATATTAGATAATTCTGCAAATCATTTCTTTTAGAAAAGGAATCGGCAGATTCCCTATGTAATGTCTGCTTTAATTACAGTCACCGATACTTAATAACTGAACAGTTTTATATTCACAATTTGCCTGAAAATTTTCCGATCTTTCCTATGATATAGTTGCCTGATGCGACCCGTTCCAAGGTATATCAAGAATATATATACTTTATACTTCTTAACTGATTTGCAAACTTCTGACTGAAATTATAATACCCTGCAAGGGTAAACAAATAAAATTGTTCAAATATGTTATTACATGGCATTTAATTTATTAAGCTAACTTTAGCCGATTCGTCACAATTAATTTTTGAATAGTGGACTGTTTTGCACCGAATTAACCATAACTTAACCCCCCCCCCTAAGTCAATTGAAAGCAAAACTGTGAAATTTACTGGAAAGGAAAGCGGAATCCTTTCGAACTGTCTCCAAACAAATATTTTTTCAAAGTTGGTGATGAAAGATTAAAAAAAGGACTTTTATTTCTTGCTAATAGTCTGACTTACTACAACTTCTAGAGTATCAATGAGTTTTACACGCCAAGATAATTAAATCTTTAAAATTATATATATCTGTGTGCTTTAATGAGTTGTTTTATTTTTGATTACAACTCTTCTGGCATTCCTTTGAGGACTTCACTAACTTGGTAACTAATTGGTTCAGCTTACACAGGACTTTTGCAAATAATCCCTACTACAACTGGCCCATGGCATTCTTAAATTCAGGTCATTCCATATTATTTAGCATATAGTTTTTTATATTGTGAGAAATGACATTCCTTTTCATTTCTCATTTCTCATCTCTTTGCTCTTACGTCTTATTTCTCTTATTTATATTCCCCGCCTTGGCTTAGCCTTGTGTTAATTTTTGCAAAAAGGACGAACTGCCGTGGTGCAGCGCAGATGATAATGATGAAGACGTGGCAACAAACGTTTTCCTCCGCAAAAGGGTATTATCGGGTATTATAGACCCAATATATAGTGCTTATAATACCAATTATATTTAATTATATATTATAATTAGTTTTATATGTGTGGTTTATTTGCCTTCGTTTTAAGCAATAGCTACAAAGGCCTTTTGCCGAGAGACTGAGAGATTGAATGTATTAGAATGTATTTTGGGTGCACTTTGAATCCTAATGAACATTAATTTCTATATATTTTTCTTTATTTTTTTTTTAAACTTATTTGAAGTAAACATAGGTCTAACCTTTAAATAGGATACCATTATGGTTGCCACTCAGTTGGCAATGACCATTCTCACTTGATTCCTGTTCCAAGCATAAAATGCAAAACACTTGAACTGAGTGGAAACGAAGGCGAAAGCGAAATAAGCGCCAACAAAATATCTTATAAAACAACAGATGCACAGGGAGAAAATGTGTAAAATGAAATAATGACAAGGCTATAATGTTTTACCAAATATAATGAGCATTAAATAGATTTTCACCACAGCAGCTCCTTATTTCCTCCTTACCAAAATGGATACCAAAACCACTTTGGAGATTCCAGTGCAGCGGCTAGTGAATGTGGCTAAAGAGGACCTCTTGTGTGCCTTGGACATGACGTATACGTACCGTTGGCTTTAAGGATTCTTCCACCTTTTTTCTCTCCGTGCACTACCAAGGAGATGGAGATGGGAGGAAGAATAAGCAGCGAGGCGAGAGAAAAAAAAGAACGTACACAACATGGCAGGGTGTTGATAATGATAGCAAAGACAAAGGCCCACACACCTAATGGGACACGGACACCACCGAGGAGAGAGGAGAGAGAGAGGGAGGATGTCCTGGGGGTGGCACTGGGCGGACTTTCCGGACCACCCATCCCACCATGCCAAGAGTCCTCGCGTCCTTGAGGCGCTGCAGCGGCGACATCGTAGTTAAATTGCCTGTCCTCGGCCGGCGTCAACATTGTGTCATTGCTCGTATTAAATCAGAGCCAAACAAATGATGATACACAAGTGTCACACAAGTGCGCATAAAAAAAAACACAAGAACAAACACACAAACACACAGAAATGATTAACCAAAGTGCCAGCAAAATGCAAAGCAACAAGAAAGAAACAGAAATACAAAATAGCAATCTAAACCGATACAGAAAAGAAATCCATACTACAAAGATGTGTGTGATTCTTTAATGGAAGTTAAAAAAAATGTTTGAAATTTATTTGAAGGATGCTAACTTTGACAAAGATTATGCACCTTGAAGTTTCTGAAATAATAATTGGACTTGTAAGAGTTGAAGTCATGTAATGTATCAAATCATGAGTATATAAATTTAATATCTTTTCCTAAGACCTTTTTCAGCTATAATTGAATATTTACATAAGATAAATTTGTGTTGAAAAAAAAACAAACAAAATCTATTATAATGTTTCTACAAATGTTTCGATATTTTGTAAGATAGCTAATTATGAATGATTATATATACATATCATATATGTACTTCCCGAAATAGAAAGAATACTACATATATACTACTGCAGCAAACAGTCATTAACAGTCAAAACTAGTATACTGTACTACTATATTGGTACAAAAAAAATTGTGACTGTAATTCAGTGTTGCCAGGTGATGAGCGCCCATATAAGCTAGATTTAAAAAAAAAATAAGCTAGAATAAGCTAAACAATTTTTAAAAAATGCGAAAAAACAAGCTACACCCAAATATGAGAAAACACGAAACATATAATATATATTATTATATTATATGAATATGTTATTATTAAAGAAAGTCTTAAAAATATGTTCTTAAAGTAAGCACTTAAAACAAATTAGTTAATATTTCATCAATTCCTTCATGTTGTTCGTCGCCGAGTGTTCGGCAATGAACAAACAAAGCGCTGCTTCCTGATCCTGAGTCTTGCAACACTTAGCCGGAAAATTTATTTTTTGCGATTCAGCAACTGATCTCATTGATAAAATGTGCTTTTTCGATGCCGCATGCTGCCTGATTTAAAAAATTTTGGCTGATATTGTCGACTTACAGTAGCAACAATATGCTTTGGTTCCTTCTCCTGGCACTTAAATTCGTTGTTTTGGAGCCAAGCATCCCGAAAAATCTGTTTATATATAACTTTCGGCATTTTGAGGACACGCTTTACCTATTTTCACAACACAACAAAATTATTGGTGGTAACACTTCAGCCAACAAATCGATCTCCGATGACACTTTCGATTAGAAATAAGTTCACGATCACATAAAATGCACATAACCATCGGAAAAAAAGAACAAACTCCAATATTTTCATGCTATAAAGCATATTTTTCGTAAAAAACATTCCGTGGATGTCAAAAATACATAAAAAGCTAAAATATGCTAGATGAATTTTAAAATAAGCTATATTTCAAGCTATAAGCTAGATGGAAATTTTTCAAGCTTTTCTAGTTTCAAATATGCTAGAACTAGCTTATAATAAGCTAACCTGGCAACACTGCTGTAATTGCAGTCAAATAAACTGTCCTACAGTTATCGA